TTTATGAACTACATTGAATTTGTGAATGATTATAAGAATGATTTTAGCTCATTATATATATATATATATATATATATATATATATATATATATATATATATATATATATATATATGAACGTCAAAGTAAATAAGTAAATTAAGCGTCAACCCCTCTGTTGTCATTGAGCTTCAAGCTGAAGCCAAGAAACAACGAGGTATTTTTCAAAGTAAGCTACTCACTGATGAGATGAAGGATGCGGCGAAGCAACTTAGGGAGAATAAAGATATCGTAATAAGACGCGCAGATAAATCTGCACAATATGTCATTATCGACCGAGCCGATTACCATGAAAAACTCAATGATATTCTCAATGATACAAAAAAGTTCCAAGTAATCAAAAAAGATCCCACTCCTCAACTAAAAACTAAACTAAACACAATAATTAAGAAGATAAGCAAGCACATCACCGATGTCAAACTTCCATCACTTATAGGCGAATACTCTCCTGGCTACTTATATGGAAATATTAAAACGCATAAAAATAATCAACCCATCCGACCAATTATTAGCCAAATTACAACTGTCAACTACCCTGTTGCAAAATTCTTGAACAAAATTTTAACCCCATATATTCCAAACAATTACACACTACAATCTTCCCGTGAGTTTATTAATCTCCTCAGCATTAATAAACCATCCAAATTCATGATACAATTGACATAATTATCAACACCGTTTACCACTCAGATATGGTTCCATTGAACATACCGAAAGCACGACTGAAGTCCCTTCTTCAAATTTGCACTACTGAAGCACCGTTCCACAGCCCCACAGGCAAACTTTACAACCAAATCGATGGTGTCGCTATGGGTTCCCCCCTTGGCGTCCTATTTGCCAGTTTTTACCTAGGACAGCTGGAGAATGAAACATTCAAAGACAATGCAAATTTAAAACCAAATATCAACGCCAGATACGTGGATGATATCTTTGTCTCATATAACGATCCTGAACAAATCACCCAACTTCTTGGTACCTTAAACAAATCAAAACTTAGATTTACCATTGAAAGTGAAAAGGAACAACGTTTACCTTTCCTCGATGTGTTGGTCACCCGTGGCGAAGAACGATTCAAAACCACGGTCTATGTCAAAGAAACGAATACAGGAATTTGTTTGAATGGACAAAGTGAATGCACAGAACAATTTAAAGACAGCACAATAAAATCATTTGTAAACCGGGCATTCACACACTCTTCCGATATTGAAAATCGCGACGCTGAATTAAAAAGAGTCACTAACATGCTTGTGAACAATGGATATAAGACTTATTCTATTGAAAAGATTGTTAAAGGTAATTTACTACACAACAATAACCTTCCTAGTACCAACAATCAAGATAACGACATCATCTTGTATTACAGAAATCACATGTCAACTGCATACAAGGTAGATGAAGCTATTCTTAAACATATCATCAATAAAAATGTCACACCAACCAACCCAAATAGTAAAGTTAAACTCCGAATTTATTACAACAATAAAAAGACGTCTCACCTAATACTGAAAAACAACTGCAGTCCTAGAGATAACTCTGAGTTAAAGCGTAATCACGTAATATATGAGTTTAATTGCCCCTTTGACGGCTGTGCACGTCAACATGACTCATATATCGGGATTACTACTGCCTCACTGACTAGAAGGCTTACGATGCATAAACAGAGTGGAGCTATCAAATCTCATTTGGACTCAACACATTCAATCACAATTAGCCATGAAATCCTCGACAGTAACACCAAAGTAATATACCAGAACAGCAACTGCACGCATCTTAAAATTGCAGAAGCAGTCCTAATCGACATCAATAAACCAAAAATAAATATACAACAAAAAATGACAACCTCACTTCCAACCCGGCGCCTAACCAACAACGAAAACAAAGAAGTAATAAAAACTAGCATCGTAAATAGTGACATAGAAGAATATGATGCTATCGATGAAGGAAAGGAGACCAAAGAAGATGACCAGCCAATTAAGAAACCTGACACCTAATTCGCATCAAAGTTCAATTTTACAACACCAAAGTTCATTTTTACAACGTCAAAGTTAATCTTGACAAAGTCAATATTTTCCTATATATACAGCAAGGAGCACTGACGATGATTCATTCGGAATCGAAATATGGCCTTATTTGCAGGATGAATTCGAAAAATAAGTTTATTTTGAATTTTAATAAACTAAACGTTCACCAAAAAACTTTAGTGAGAAAAATCGAAAAAACGAACTACAAACATATTAACGCCAAACATTCAGTAGAATTTATAGAATATTGTAAAAATTATGGTCTATTACCAACATATATATATATATATATATATATATATATATATATATATATATATATATATAATGTTATGTTATATATCGCTACAAAGATTGTAGACAAATTATCCAACAAAGATGTTTCCGTTGAGTGATGTTTTCTAAACCTAAACTTACATACATGAAACAAGTAATTTTGTTCCAAGTTGCTAACAAGTTTTTTAACAACTCTTTGTTCTATAACATTTGACATAAACGGGAAACTGGCTGTCGTTATTCTCATCGCTTTCATCCAGTCCATTTTTCTTTAAAAGACGTATAACCAGGGCGTGTATGTACCAAACAGGAAATTTTTTAGAACTCAAACATAGGTTGATAAAGTTGGTTACAAACTTTGAAAAAATCCTAAAAAGCTTCTTGAAATATTAAATAGGCAAGTACGCATCGAGATTGCAGGTTTTAGTCGGCAAAGCCAAAATTATTCGTTTTTTATCATTCTCGATTAATATATTATGTTATATTTATTCTAGTTATGTGTTAATATATACGTGCATTTGAGTGCATTTGCGTTTGAACGCCTGTATAGGCATTCTAGTTTTTTTCTTTAGTTAGCTTTCCATAACTTGATTTTTCTTTTGAGCTAGTCTTACTCACCACGTGTTTTTGCCTAATAGTTATCTCTATTGTGCTTGTCGTTTTGAAGCTATTTTTTAACGTTTTTATTTTGCATCGAGTTGTTTCATAACGAAAGATTTAAAGGAAAAATGCCGAGAAAACATTTTCGAAAACGCGAACCAAGGATGGACATCACTACTGAATCTGCTGGGTGAGAAAAAACTTTGTTAAAGCTTTTCTTTAAGATTTTAGTTTCTGTCTTTTAGTGTTTGTTGCCACTTTGAAAGATTTTTAAATTCTACATAAAATGAAACAAAAAATATAGTTTAACTGAGCTCATGCAAATGTGGAATGGAGATTATTATAAAACTGATCAACATTGTTTCTGTTGAGTACTGACATTCTGCCAATTGAAATAGGTTCTTTCTCATAGAATAGAATAGACAGTTCAGTATTTCTTGATCAAATCCGGCCTGTTTATTGGCTTCCCATTGACTTTAATTTCCAATTTTTTTTAATTCCTTTAATTTTCTTTTTAAAGTTGAACGTTTTACAATTTTACATTATAAACCTTAGTTAGAAACTTGTCTTAAAGACATTTGATAATATGAGACGTCATCTAAAGCCCAAGACATGTCTTTTTCGTTCCAGCCACCTTTTTAGCATTGAACTTTCTTTAACCTTGTCCTCTTGTATTCAAAAATATTAATTAAGTATTTCAGTCTAATAATAACATCACAATTAAATTTAATATTTAAGTTAAGAGTAAAATCATAAATTTCAAGATTCATAATTCATGTTTTTTTAAGATTTAAAATGCAAAAAAATATAATTTAAAATCAATTCATAGTCAATATTTATTTATTAAAATTGAAAATAAAAATAATTAATATTTACTAATGGATTCAATTAAGTATTAACAAATGTGAGTAATATCACATTATATGTATGGCGGTTCATTTGGTACACCCAACGGTGGTCTATCTTGTACTATGTAGTTGTTACAGACTAATAATGGTCCCCAAAACAATGGAAAGAGATAAAACTGTTGAATATGCACCCTCGTGTAGAGAAAGCATTATTTTATCAAAATGAGCAAAAATGAAAAATATGCCACACAAAATTTAAAAAAAAAATCAAAAACAGGTACACAAAACTTTTACTTTTTCTAAATCCAAACAAAGCAATTTGGTTAAATCTGCTTCAGAAGACATGAATTTAAATTTATATCAGGTTATGGTTATAGATAACCAAAAGACAAATTTAAATTTAAAAAAAATTAATTTTGCATTTATACTATTTTTAAATTCACTGGTCCTTTCTGCACATAGTGCATTCAGCCCCATCTTCTCTATATACTTAATCACAAACTAAAATTCAAATTACAAATATAATTTGAATACTAGAATTATCATATAAATAATAAAATATAATCATGACTGAATAAACATGTTTCTTTAATTTAAACTATTGCTCCAACTTTTTAATAACTTTGTATCAATTTAACAACAACTAAACTAATCTACAGGATTACAACAAAACATGGAGCAATAATATAGGCAGTGAACTTAAATTCTCAATGACATCCAAAAAGAATATAAAATTACATTTAAAATAAACTCAAACAAAAGTTAAAATTGTAAATATCTTTTAAAGTAACAGATGCTAAAAATTACTTTAAAAATGATTTAAATTGAATAACATAAGACTAGTGAAGTCATTCAAATCTCATGAGCAGTAAGAAATACGTGAAAATGTCTGAAAGCAGGAAGAAATGTTAGATTTAAAAGAACCTGAAATTCAAACAAAAATTTATTGAGAAAACCAGATACACAGATAAATAATTAAAATTACCAAGAAAATATATGAAGGTAAAAAACAAAATTGCATAACGATTAGAACACACAAATATGCTGTATTGACAAAGAATATTTACATATGATAATAATACACAAATATAAATAATAAACAGTCTGCTAGCTGTTAGGTTAACACAATACATTTTACAACATTCCAAGCCATTTTGTCTTGCTCTGTAATTGAAATTTTTTTTTCAGTTTTTTAGAAAAAGAAGCTGATGAGGAAGTAACACAGGAAGATATCCGTGATGCAGTTGATATTTCCAGTGCTACAAAGGTGACGAATTTGCAACATTGTTGCCTCTTTTTCTACATTGGAAAATGAAAGCATCATGACTGACTGCTTTTTTAATATTATTATATTTTTTCCAGTATTTCAATTTGACACTGGACAAATTTGGTCCTTACAGGATTGATTACACACTGAATGGGAGGTAATTTATGATGAAAATATTTTTTATTAGGACATTTGATGAAATTTAGTTGAGGGTTGTAAATAAATCATCTTCATCATTCTAATTGTTCTAAAGCTATTCACACAACATGAGGTACAAAACCATCATGTCCTGTCCCCATGCCAAACTCAAATACTGAGTTTCCCAATCATGTTCTTACAATCCATCTGTGATTTTTTTACTATTAGTAAATTTTTTCCAGTCCAATTATTGAGTCCTACATCCAGTCACTAGTCAGTTGACTTCAAGCTGTCACAATTTCCACACAACGAAACCATTGTGAACGTTTTTACTTTATTGTCTTTTTTTTCTGCATGGCCAACTTATTTCCTCTCATCACTCTCCAACTTACTCCACTCATTCTCATGCACACATTACCAGTAAGTACTTTTTCTCAGAGAGTTGTTGCACTTATCCTTCTTAATCCCTGCATCCAACTTCTTTTACCTTCTCTGGTTTTCTTTGGATTCACGTCTTAAGAGGTAGAACATGCTCCTTGAAATATCTCAGCTGGTAGACAATTCAGTTTTCGTACAGCTTACTTTGTTACAGAAGGTCTAAATATTGTTAACATTGTATGCAGATGAATATATATTTACATCATATGATGTGATTGAAGCTCAAGAGACTTATATAATTAATTGAAGGTTCCTTCTCATTGGTGGACAGAAAGGACATTTGGCAGCTTTTGATTGGCAGACCAAAAAATTGATGTGTGAGATCAATGTTATGGAAACCATCCAGGACGTCAAGTACGGCTTCAACGTTGTTTATGCTCCATATTCATAAATATTTTTATTTCTCGTCATCCTTACATCTCAAAAAACTGACAGTGATGTGATGCTCTGTTTATAATTGATAGGTGGCTGCACATAGAAACGATGTTTGCCGTGGCGCAGAACCAGTGGACGTTCATTTACGACAACCAAGGAGTGGAGCTGCACTGCTTGAAGTTCATCGACAGTGCGCTGCAGTTGCAGTTCCTGCCCTACCACTTCCTGCTTGTTGCCGCCGTTAGATTTTTCAACATTTTTTTTACATAGTTCCTTCAAATAGGATAATTTTATATAGTTTTTTTTACAAATCATCAGTCCATTGTCATTGGTTGTAAACATTTATTGTGACACTGTAATTTAATTTATTCAAAGGCAAAAGCATTTACAATTTATTTAAAAAATCCATCATACAACATTGGATTCAATGTTTCCTCTGCTGTTTGATTCTTTATTTTTAATATAGCTGTTCGTCGTTTAAGTCTCACTTAATTTTCACAAAACTCAATCTATCATTTTATTGTTAAGCAAGTTGGTCCTATATTTTTATTGATGCTTCTATAATAGTTTCGTGACCTGGTTTGAATTCGAATTTAGAATGCAGCCTGCCACATCTACATTCCATGTTTTGCTTTGAAAATTATCCAAGATTGAGTCTTGCAACACATTTTTAACACGTTATGATGTCTTGTTCTACCTGCAAATTCTGTCTATGTTAACATTTTGTTAATCTCGTAACTTTTTTTCTGTTCTATCTTGTTCTTACAGTAGCCTCACACAGAGTTTTTCATTTATCATCAATTTTTTCTTGACTACAAATTGGTAAATAACAGCACATTCATTATTAACTAATAAGTACTTAGTTCTTACGATCTAAATATTAATAATCAGTGATATTATTATTTATATTATTTTTTACATTTTCCATGCCGTGCTCATTAAACATATTTTGGCAAGCACTCCTGAATGACTATTTATATACTTGACTCAATGTCAAACATACATTAGCTTGTCTACAAAATTAACGAGATAAAATGAACAACAAATTTACCTCCATCAGACATCTCGGAGCTTCATTACGTGGATCGATGTTTCCATTGGACAGAAAGTAGCTGGCTTCACAACTGGCCTTGGAAGATTGGATGTTATGTGTCAAAACCCACAGAATGCAACAATCTTATTGGGTCACCCTGGAGGTCAGATGTCTTGCTTGTTGATTGTTTTTTTCATTTGCTTGCCTGTCTCACGTTTCAATACATCTTCCACAAACTGCATCGCACAGTTTCAAATGCAGTTTATGTCAAATCATCCACATCTCATATTTGTTTTCGTTCAACTTCCTTATTACAACGTCTGAAGTCAATGTTTTTTGAAATTTTCTTTCTGGTCTGAATATCTTTTGTTCGACCTCTCATCACGTTTATCACAGAAAGGTGGGTTCCTTCAAACTCTTTTAGAACACTCCACATGAAAATCACTTAATTTTTATACATGGATAGCCTTTCTTTGTATCTCTTCTCAAAATGAAATCACTATGACAATGTCGTTTATGAAGCGCCTGTGCATGCCACTGAGGCACCCTCATTATAGTTTTCTTAAAGATAAACTTGTTGCATCGTTTTGTACACATTTTATTTCGTTTATTATGAACAAACAATAAATTTGTTACATAATGGGGCATTCCAAAAGAGTAAATCTTAACTAAGCGGAATCCCCAACATTCAAAAAAGTAATCCATAAAATCATAATTCGATTAAAAAAATGTAAATTAAATAATTTTTTTTCTTTCTTTTTTAAATCTTTTAAAGAATCAATTTTTAAAACATATATATAAAATATGAAAAATTTATAATGTTTAACCCATATTAAACCATGACAGAATTTTATAAAATTGTGTACTTATTTTGTTTTGTTTTTACATTCAAACATCATAAAAAATTTTGAAAAAATTCTAGAGGCAAAACTTTTTTTTTCTACCCAAAAATATGACCGTCAGTTTAAACTGACGCTAGCCACAGATGTTTTGGTTTTTTTTTTATATTAAAAAATGTATAAAAATGAAAAAATGACCACCATTTGCTTAATTTTTATTAGTAAGCCGTTTATTTGATCAAGTAAATTTATTATTTCTAAAATTAAATTCAAAAAAATTTTGTTCAATAAAACGTTCATAAGAAATATTAATCATGTCAGCAAAATTATTACGGTTAAGTATGGCTCAAATGAAATGACTTGAAACAGCCCTGGATGTAATCCAACATTACATTTTTCGCATGCAAATATGGATGTCCCTTTGCATCCAGCAGCAGCACATAGTCGCTGAGAACTTTGGATAATCCAGTGTGCAAACCCATCTGTTCGTATATCAGACAAGACGCGGCGATCAAGTGAGAGTCGTGGAGCAGGACATAATAATTTTTGAGTTTTTCTTTGAGACATGCTTCGCATATACACTTGTACAATTTCACGTCGAAATGATAGCAAATCATGAACAGAAGTTCCAGTATCTATTTTTTGCAGACGATACAACTGAAAGGCATTTTGAACTGCCAAATCTAAACAGAACCTAAAGATTGGCCAGTACCACTTTTTTGATCTATGCTGTATCATATAGCAAGCTACATTTTGGTCAAAACGATCTACTCCACCCATAATAATAATAACTTTGGGCTGGTCAACTTCAATTTTTTTTTTCTGTTGACTTGAAAATCGCTTTGCTTTCTGTAGCGGATCAACTCCAGCATAAGTTGAAGCATTAGTAACAACATTACTATCGTTCCATTGAACTAGACATACTTCAGACTTTTCTTCCAAGACAACATCATAGGTGCCACGAGGTTTTTTTCATTATTACGATGCTTTTGAGAGGAGAACCTTCAACACGGTTTTGACATAGAGTGCCTGCAGCAGCCATTCCATTTTTTGCAAGTAAACGTAACAATTTAGGGCTTGTGAAAAGGTTGTCCAAAACAATGTGATATAAACTGACTTTAATTGCTGGTCAAATTTGTAACAACTGAACCGCAAAGTCCAAGACTTTTGTCTGTTGTTCTGGCTCCCTGATATGGATCAAATTTAATAACGTATCCAAGTCGTGTGGCCAGAACCGTAGCCTAACGTAAGTACAAGCCTGAGTGCTCATTATGCAAATTTCGTTTAGGAGGCGAACGCATTTTGTTTACATATATGTAGTAACGTAAATAAACAAGCTTGAGCAGTTGTTGCCAAATTATTTGAAGATCCACTTTGTCCCACAATATTACCACCCTTATAATCTAAATATGGTTTAAGATAAATTTCATCAACCATTAGCATTACCTTTTTGTCTTTCTCATTTAAATATTTAAATTTTTTAGACATGTAATGCAGACACTCTTCTCCACCTTGTTCATATTCAGGTCCTAGTCTAAAAGAATTACAAACTTTTCTGATATTGGCTGGATGAGGCAAAATTAGGCAGCCAAAGTTTCTAACATATTTGTAACCTTTAGGTGATATTAAATGGAAAATACAGGAAAATATAAAAGTGTCATTGTGGTAACGACGTCGTTCTTTATTGTCTGATATCAATTCCAGTTGATTATAACAAAATTGAAAAAAAACTTCATTATCTTGGTCATTATCTTTTACAATTTTTAACAATTCTTTTAGGTTTGACAAATTATCCTTTTTATTGTTGAAAAGACCATCTCTCTCTCTTTTTTTCAACTTCATCCAAAATAGTCATTATATCAAACATATAATTGACATTTATCGGAGACTCAATATCATTAATAAATTGTAAGCGAACACTTTTAAAAAACAATTTCAGTTCTAATTCCTTGTTTACCACGAGTAGATATACTATTTCTGTTGGTACATCATGTGATAAATTAAAAAATAAGATATCATTGTCTCGACATACGACATTCCAAAATTTAGAAAGTTTAAGTTCCTTTACTTTGTCGCACAATTCAGAAAAACTATTTATTTTGTTTTTTGTTAAATATTGACTGTGCTCCATCAGACTTTTTGTAATTGCATTGTCAATATTCAAACTTTCCATTCGCTGCCTCTTTTTATCCGGCGATACCCTGAGAGTTACTGATGTGCTGTAGTAGTCTGGGCATCCAGGAAATATTGAAGGAACTGAATCTTTTTTTAATCTTGGCCTCTCGAGAGAAGTCAAAATCATCTTTCCAGATTTAGCATCAAATGAAGATTTTTTAGTAATGATGGCCTCAGCTGGAAAGTGCTTTTCACATACCTTAGAAAAAAAAATATAATTATTATTTGTAATTAAATTATTAATAAAATTAATAAATTTCAATAAACATGCTACTCACTCACATTACAACTAATAATAATAAAACAAATAACATAGCTATGTAATGTATTATAATTTTGTAACAATGTAAGGAATTTAGTTAAAATCTGAAATCCTGGTCATGCACTTTATTCAATAGATCATGCTTACTCGTGAATGCAAAGTAGGTTTCCAATCTTTTCTCGGAATTGCAGATATCCATTTTTGAAACATGTGTTCATCTTTAGGAAAACGAAAGGAATGTACTTTTTGTTCAATTGTATAATTCCCTTGGCAAAACGGAACAATACATTTATTCACCATTATTACAAAATATTATTCCTTCCGAAATTTTTTGATAATTAAATCCGAATAAGTAACCAATTACGAAGAAACAAATAAAACGTGCAACGCTGATCAAGTAAACAAGAAAATGAAATAAATCGTTCGCCTCCTATTTGATCAAAACATTAAAATAGGGATGTGAGCGCTCAGGCTTGTTATTTACGTTAGGCTACGCCAGAACCCACATTTGTAACCAAATTTTATTGGCTTGCCATGGATATATTGTTTAGCCCCATGACGGCCAAAATGGGGACCATACTTTCGTCTATGCTAAGTACTTGCTCTAATTGAAAATTTCTCTGACATAAAGCATCTATTTGGACGCACTTTTCCAAATTTGTCTCCTGGGTTTAAGTCGTTATTGTTAGCAAAGTGAATATTGCTCATTATGGCACTGAATCTATTTCGTGACATGGCACTAGACACCATTTCATTGTGAGTATCATGTGCTGTTTCCCAATACATTGAACGCCTGGGAAGAGAAACATACCCACTGAGCAGCAGGATCGAAAAAAATAGTTTGAGAGTTGGAATGTCTAAATCAAAGTTCAATATACCTTTTTGAGCAGCATAAAAGTTTGATTCATCACAAATATGTTGCATTAACTCGGGTGTAAAAAACAGTTAAAATAATGTAACAGGTGAAGAATTTGTATTCAAAGATGGTGGAAGAATATTCCATGCAAATTTTACTTTCCTAACACTTTCTTTCAAATCATGTTTTTTCCAGGATGGCTGATAGTCTGGTTCTGTTGTTACTTTTGTGGCTTGTTCTTGTCTCTCAACTTCAAATAAATTTTCTTTTTCCTTTGACTTTTTGCTACTTGTTGCTTTCAATGAACCAGTTTCTTTAAAAAAAACAAACATTATTTTCATCTTAAAAAACAACGAGGTTTTACACATACTTTTCATAGAATGTTTTCTTTCTGATTGTCTTTGTCCAGTTATAATTTTTTCATTTGATTTTTTAATAATTGTTCTTGGCTTATCACTACTTGTTGACGGTAGACAAGTTTCACCACTTTCAAAAATAAAGTCATCTAAATTGTCATCTAAGTCAAGGACAACATCTCCAGAAGTTTTATGCAATCGCACTGATGCCTCTGCGAAAAGTTGATTAGAATTTAAATGATTCAAATTTCCTTCATTTGAACATTCTTCTCCAGAATCTTCATCAGTACCATTTACATTTGTAGGTGGAACAATTGTGACATCTATGTCAAGCAAATTTTCATCGTCGTCGTCTTCTAGCATCCGAATCACTTCATGAACGTTATAACTTTAAAGAAATTATTAATGTTGAATTTTACTAAATTTTAAAAATAGAAAACAATATTGACCCATAAAAACTCAACTTAATTAGTTACTTATGATATAATAAATGACCTACGCGTCTGTGCCTAGCGTCAGTTTAAACTGACACATCAAAAGCAGCTATACCGTTAGTTTTTTCTTCAACCTTTTTTATTGTACTAGCTGATGTTCACATAGTTGAATCGTCAGCAAAGATTCGAAAATGTGATACATTTGAGGCCATAACCAAGTCATTAATGTATAATAAAAATAATTTAGGCACAAGTGTGCTTCCCTGAGGGACACCACTATGGACACGTTGAAACAAGGATATAGACTCACCAATGGCAACATATTGACAACGTTCTGACAGATAACTTTCAAACCATCTCTACGAAACACTTTGGGTTTACAAAGGGTCGTTCCACAGAGATGTGTTTAATGGAAATAACAAACTATAAAATAAACAAATTGTGTCTTCAGTCTTTCTTGCTCATTCACAAGAATATTACAATGATTTAAAAAAACTGTTAGTCTATTATCAACTATCTTCTCCAAAATCTTTGATATTGGATTGAGGATGGTGATAGGTCGGTAGTTTTTGACATCTTGTTTAGACCCAGACTTGAAAATGGGCACCTACCCTATGTTTGACTTTGTGTTATGATATGATGGTCAAATTTTTTGTGTGTAATTTCATCAGTGAAAATATGTTTTAATTGCAAATACATAATATTCTAGGTACGGTGAGCATGTGGTCTCCGAATGTGAAGGAGCCCTTGGTGAAGATGTTATGTCATGGCTCTGCTACCAAATCAATTGCTGTTGATAAGACTGGAAAGTTAGTCCATAATTTATGATTGTTATTAAAACTGGTTGTTGAAGCCTGCTGTTAATATTTCTCGTGGCATGTTTGATTCACTAAGACTTATTTATTTGAAACTATCCTTTACAATTACTCTGGTGAATATATCAAAAATATCCTCACGAATGACCCAGTTACATGGCCACTTCTGGACTGGACAGGCAGCTGCGAATCTGGGACTTGAGAATGTACAAGGAGGTGCATGGCAGTTATTTGAAGTTTGGCGCCAACCGGCTGGATTTCAGTCAGAGAGGATTGCTGGCAGTAGGGTTGAACGATATAGTACAGGTTAATTCCTTTATTATGTTTATTATGTTCGTATGTTGCTGACTGTTAATCAGAATGACCACGTTAATTTTTAATATTTTTAAAATCAACTTTACATTTTTAAAGAACTGTTGTGTTTGGTCATTTTCTATCTTTTGATACTTTCCAAGCATTTGTCTAGACGTAGAAATGACTAAATATTGTGTGTAATGTATAAATATATCCTGTTTAGGTATATACCGATCCCGTTTCAAGTCCTCCGACCACTCCTTACTTGAGTCACACACTAAGGAGACCGGGATTGCACGGAATGCAGTTCTGTCCATTTGAAGATGTCCTGGGTGTTGGTCACTTGGAAGGATTTACAAGTTTGCTCGTGCCAGGTTCTTACTAAATTTGCATGTAGCATTATCCCTGTCTTTAACGTTTTGCTCATATTTTCAATTCGCGGTTTAATTTTTCCTTTCATTGTTTGCAAATATAAAAATGATAAATGCGACAATGATAAAATGATGATGATAAATATAATGATGACTTTTCAGGATCTGGTGAGCCCAATTACGATGCACTGGAAGCCAATCCTTACCAGACGAAACAACAGAGGAGGCAGAAGGAAGTTAAGATGCTCTTAGAAAAGGTATTTCAATTTTTATAACTTTTTTCGAACACGCTATTGCTACATTTATTATTTTTATTAAATGTTCGCGTCTTTACTAACTTGTAACTATTCTTGAATGACTTGAAGGTGCAACCAGATATGATAACATTAGACACCAGTGCACTTGGAAAAGTCAACGTTAAGACATTAAAAGAGAAAATGGAAGAGAAGGCAAAATTGAAGGTTTGTTGAGTTCTGTCCATTTGAAGATGTCCTGGGTGTTGCTCACTTCTTTGTTAGATCCTTCGTTTATTAAATCAATTATTGTTACAAACTTTTAATTTCATCTTATTATTATTTAGTTTCTAAAGATGAAGAAAATAGACTTTGAACCAAAGTACAAGAAAAAAGGAAGAAGCAAATCTGGTAATCTATTTTCAGTTGATAAATTTCACTTACATTTCCCGATGTTTTTTATTTACTTGCTTAAGGATGTTTGTGTCTGTAAATTGTTAATGCTATTTAATACATATTTATTGTACTCTAGTCTACTGAACACATTTGTAACAAATTGAATTTTATTATTAATCATCAGGCAAGAAGGAATTGAGGAAACAAGGTGTTAGAGCTGAACAAACAAAACACTTTATAAGAAAAGTTTTAACAAATAAAAAACGGGAAGAAACAGAACCAAGCAAAGATTCAAAAAGAAAAAAAGATGTTTTGGACCGATTTAAATCTAAAACATAGTTTTTTGTCTACGTCATCTAACAGTTTCTTTTAGGTGAAAATTTGTAAATAAATTTTTTTTATTCAACCCTGTCAGTAGTTTTAATCAGTGATGTGTTCTTATACTTGCTACTTGTACTCGAGTACCAAATTTAAGTACTTGTACTTGACACCTAAGTACTTGTACTCGTACTTGTTATTTTACAATGTACTTGTACTTGAAATTTACTTTACTTAAAAGTACTTTACAAAAATTTACAAAATTATAGTTAAAAATTTTAAAGAGACTAATATTTTGTTTGGAGATTTCAACCATTTTTTCATATTCGGCTAGGTCAAATTTGAGCCAGATTTTTTTGTCATCTAAGTTATAATATAAGCATAGGTATGTCTACGTTTGCACATTGTACATTTATTCGTCTACATGTGAACTTAGGTTGGTTACGATGATACCGGTGAAAAATGTTTTTGGGAAAATTAAGTGCAGAGACCCTCTAAGCTGTGCCACTTGGCTAAAAAATGGCATTTGTAAAGATTCGGCTCAATTTGGTGATACCAACCCGGACCTCATCGAGGTTGAAATTTTAAAAAATTTGGAAAACTCATTTTTGTTTGTAAAATGAGAACGGTTCATCCTAGAAACATGGTTTTGGTTTTGTTTATCTGTTAATTCTCTTTAAATTTTATTATCATCATTATTTAGCTACAACTATGGATATATATAATATATTCATGGCTACAACGTATAGTTTCTGAGATTTTTGCATTTTTACCCATAAATCATAAGAAAAAGTTGAATTCTGATGTTACGCAAAAATTATTAATATATATTACAATTTTTTACATATATGGAAGTAAGCAAGAACTTGGGCGTTTGTGGGTCTGCTTGTATAGCATGGACTTTTAGTTAAAACTATAGAACTTTTAACTTTTTGTTGACGCGGAAGCGGTTACGACTCGCGTTATCATATAATTACCAACAATCGTTCAATATTCATTTCCCACTTTAAGATTAATACTGAAATGAATGCTTGCCGTCAATGCCACACGCTTGTGCTTCCAAGTAAAGTTTATGATTAGAAGAATAGAGCAATTTCACTCTAAAATTCCATAGCGATTTGTTCATTTAATATTTGTATGCAGTTTTTTAAATCACTTATTCACAACAACAACAATAGTATAAATTATTTTATGTATGAACAACTTTTCAGTTTTTTTTCATGGATATATGAACATCCATGGTTTGTTTCCTTTTTTGTTATTCTAGACCTGAAATTGCATTTGATTATGTAGCTGGCAAAAATGTTGAAAAAACTTCTTTAATCAAAAAACTATCCCTTGTATTTAATATTCATTAAACACTTTGCTGTTCAATCGCAAAATCCAGAAAATTACAAAATTTCGCAGGCATGAAATGAAAAATATAATATCGAGCCTTACCTATTAGTCCTGCTAACTCGCGATTGGCTTATAAATAGCACCGGACCAGTTCACAAGCAAACGCTGTTAACGAACCTTATAGACTGCATAACATCGAGCTCTATATGGAAACACCCAATTGTCACCGTTTATTATTTATATTATAATATATATATATATTTTACAATATTCTATAAATTCTACCGAATGTTTGGCGTTAATATGTTTGTAGTTCGTTTTTTCGATTTTTCTCACTAAAGTTTTTTGGAGAACGTTTAGTTTATTAAAATTTAAAATAAACTTAAGAGTAAATTACTACACAACAATAACCTTCCTAGTACCAACAATCAAGATAACGACATCATCTTGTATTAGAGAAATCACATGTCAACTGCATACAAAGTAGATGAAGCTATTCTTAAACATATCATCAATAAAAATGTCACACCAACCAACCCAAATAGTAAAGTTAAACTCCGAATTTATTACAACAATAAAAAACGTCTCACCTAATACTGAAAAACTTTAATCCTAAAGATAACTCTGCGTTAAAGCGTAATCACGTAATATATGAATTTAATTGCCCCTTTGACGGCTATGCACGTCAACATGACTCATATATCGGGATTACTACTACCTCAGTAGAAGGCTTACGATGCATAAACAAAGTGGTGCTATCAAATCTCATTTGGACTCAACACACTCAATCACTATTAGCCATGAAATCCTCGACAGTAACACCAAAGTAATATACCAGAACACCAACTACACACATTTTAAAATTGCAGAAGCAGTCCTAATTGACATCAATAAACCAAAAATAAATATACAACAAAAAATGACAATCTCGCTTCCAACCCAGCGCTTAATCAACAATGAAAACAAAGAAGTGATAAAAACTAGCATCGTAAATAGTGACAGAAGAATATGATGCTATCGATGAAGGAAAGGAGACCAAAGAAGATGGACCAACCAATAAAGAAATTTGACACCTATTTTCCATCTAAGTTCACTTTCACAAAGTGAATATTTCCCTATATAAATCAAATTGCACTGATGGTGATTCATTCGGAATCGAAATATGGCCTTATTTGCAGCATGAATTCGGAAAATAAGTTTATTTTGAATTTTAATAAACTAAACGTTCTCCAAAAAACTATAGTGAGAAAATCGAAAAAACGAACTTCAAACATATTAACGCCAAACAGTTACATTGATTGATTGGTTGATTTATTTTTTCATTTATTTGTTTATACTGTACCAAAAAAATTAATTGTGATTAGATAAAAAAAGTCAATAATTCAGTTAACGGTTCTTTTTTATCCTAGCAAGCTGCATTTGTTCTACTAAATAATGAAATATAAATTAATTTCATTTGATATTGAAAAATTAAGTAGATCAATGCAATGAATTACAAACATACATACTCTCATACATACTTATATATTTATAAATAATAATAATATATAATTATGAAACAGATAAATTTCTTTGAAACAGTAACAAAAAGCAAACTAAAAGTCTAGTTCTTAAAATCTTTCTATTTTTTATTTTCTTTCTTATCTTTGACTCTGCGATTTTGAAACCAAAATTTAATTTGACGATCATCTAATCCGGTTTTTTCCGCGATCCGAATCTGATCCTTTCGATCAATAAACTCTTTGCTTCTATATTCCATCTCTAATATATCTCTTTGACGAGCAGTGTATACCATTCTGTAACTTTCGGTCGTCCTTTTCACTGGTCTGCTTCGTCTTTTTTTCGAAATCCTTGTTTTTGGTTTTGATTCTGTTAGTTGTTCGCAATTGAGAGGTTGTTGCAGTTGAAATGGCTGTGGCATTATTTGTTGCTCTTGTTCGTCGTTTTTTTGTTGATAAGTAGAAAAATTTTGGGATGAAGGAAGCTGTTGTTGGAATTGTGGAAGCTGCTGGAATTGTGAAAGTTGTTGCTGGAACGGTGAAAGTTGTTGCTGGAATGGTGGTGGTTGCTGAAATGCATTTGGTTGTTGTTGGAACTCCGGTTGTTGATATCCAAATTCTGTCAGTTTTTGTTCAAATTCCGGGAGGTTATGTTGAAATGTTGAAGGTTGAATCGGAGGTAATCGCTGTTCGAAAGTTGGCAGAACCAAGTGTCGTTCTTGTCGTTGAATTACTGGTTGTTCGTTTGATAACACTTGTTGGGTAGGTTTGTTTGGTTGTTGTGTTTCGTATTCATTTAGTTGCATAGGATCGCATGCTTGTAGTTGTTGAAGCTGCTGTATGGGCTTGCAAGCAGGGTTTTCTTCTTGTCCCATAAGATCGCATGCTTGTCCTTTTAGCAGTTGTCTAGGATTATATGAAGGTTCGTGTTGCATGAGATTGCGTGCTTGTCCTTGTTGAAGCTGTCGCCTGGACTTATATGCAGGTTCTTGTTGCTGGTACATGAGTTCGGATACTGGTTCCTGTGGTTTGTATGTTGCAACTGCTTGCCTATAAACTTGCCGGAATTCTTGAAATGATGGTATTATTGAGTGCTCATCAAATTGTGGTGTTGTTTGTTGTTGATGCTGACGTGATGGTAACATTGACTGCTGTTGTCGGTAGTTAAAATTGGGCATCTGATAATCTTCATGCTGTTGAAAATGTGGTTGTAAGTCAAACATTTGATTATTCAAAGTTCTTGGCACGGAAAAAGATTTTGATGCTGACACTGACGTTTCGGAAGAAGTTGAAAAAGGAATCTGATTATTTAGCCTATTCCACCCATCATTCGAACATGAGTTTGAGAAGACATTGTTGTTTGTGTCTGAATGAATAACGCAAATTTTTTCTATATTTAATGTACCCATGAAACCTCCTTGAAATAATTCGTCTTCTCCAGCACTTAACAAGTACGATGGCTCAAACAAATCATCTTTCTGATTGTAATACATTTATGCTCAGTCTATTGTTTACTGCAAAATTTACTATTGAGCTCTTCAAATCTAAGAAGTGAAATAATTAAATTTGGAAAGCATCTCCTTATATATACGCCCTAACAATGATGAACAAAGGCATGTTTTACACTTTAGCCTTCATCCTTAAACAAAGGCACTTTAGCCTTCATTCTAAGTTTTTATTTCCCTTTCTATAACTAAATCGTAAAATTCATCAAACTCATAAAAATTGTAAAACTCATAAAAATCTTGTAGTGGTTTTAAATTCTCACAGCCAATAAAAGTGGCCTTTGATGGGCCTGTTTTGTTGGGCGATCTTTTTGATGAAGAAGGAGGAAGACAGGCGTGCCTTTATCGATCGTTCATTGGCATCAATTAACATTAAGGGGACACCCATCAATTAGCTATCGATTCTTCTCACGAGCGCCATTTACGGGTTGAACAGTTTAGTTTTGGGAAAAACAATAAAAAAGAAAAATTACTAGAATGCTTTCTTTCACTTTCAGGATTTGCAGTTAATTATTTTACTACACCTCAACAAATGCAATAATTTAAACGCGTATACAAAATTTAAATTTTGGTAATTAATTATCAAGTAAAATAATTAGTGAAATACTTCAACATATAGAATATAGAAAATATTCCAGTGACAATACAAAAAAAATACTTATTTATTTTTGTTGATCCGCACATACACATCACAAATTTTCACAAACATGCACACGCACGCGCACACACACAATCGCACAATGTATGAAATTTGCTAAATACAGTTATCTCACGCGCAATCTTTTCTAAAAATCGATTCTAAACATATTTAACTTAACTTAAAAATTTAATTTGCAAACAACTACGTGTTAATTTGGGATGGCTTATTGTTGGCGATATTTTTAAAATTTCGGTATCACTTTCTGCTCTTCTTCATTTTCTGGCCTGTTTGCTGGTAATATTTGATGTTGTTGTCGTTGCTGTTGAAAAATTGGTTGTAAAATGTTGGTATTAATTGTTCCTCAGCATCTTCTTGTTGAAAGTAAGATTGTTTTTGTTGTATTGGTTGTAATACTTGCTCTTGTTCGTGTTCAATTTGGGTTGGCGGAAATAATTGTTATTGCTGTTGTGTGACTTTGTAGGCTTGATGTTAAGTAAAGTTGCTTTCATGTTGCTGTTGCAGTTGTTGCGCGGGCTTGTTTGCTTGTAGCTGTGTAGGCTCATATCATTGTTGCTGTTTGTAGTTGTTTCTGCTTCTGTTGCTGTCGTTGTGCGGGCTTGTTTGCTTGTAGTTGTTGCTACTGCGGGGGTTTGTATGCTTGTTGTTGTTTTGTTAGTATGTTGGAACGGTTTGTCTAAAGTGTTGATAAAAGTGTTCAAATGGTGGTAATATTGAACGTTGCTGAAATGACGGTAATCTTTTTATGTGTTGTTGATGTAATGGTAAGATTAGCTGTTGCTGTTCGTGGTGGTTGCTGGGAATCAGTTGGAGACAAAAGATAAGAAACGATGCCATAAGAAAACAACTTGGAAGACAAAAAACTGTGTATGAAAGTGTCAAGGAAAGAAAGCTGGGTATCTTTGGGCACATCTGCAGAATGACAGACGACAGACTGATCAAAAAAGTACTGATGAGAAAGAGGGACTGGAAGAAAAAAGTTGGAAGACCTGTGAGGAAATGGATGGATGATATCACGGAATGGACGGGGGTTGGAACATTGGGCTCAATGAAGATGGCGAGGGAAAGAAAAGGAATTTGGAGAGATAGAAGAATACCATTGGCCTCAACGGTCCCTTAAGGGATTACAGAGAATCATTGAATGAATGAATGTTCGTGGTGGTGGAAAGGCTGCATTTGATAGTCTACATGCCGCTGAAATTGTGGTTTTATTTTATGCATTTGATTATTTAAAAGTTTTGGGACAGATGATGGGGAATAGGAGGAGAAAAAGAGGAAGAGGTTGGAGGAACATACGGAGCATCGACAACATTCCACCCATCATTGACATTTTTGTTTGGGAAGAAGACTTTATTTGAATTAGCTTGAGCATTTGAAATGTCAGCACCGTTCAACGGAGGTTCGTTGTTTTCCATTGTTTGCAACAAATTCAAAAAACTTTCTTGAACATGTTGCGGCTCAGCACCGTACAAATACACTGGATCACACAAGTCATTTTATTAAAACATTTTTGCTCAGACTAAATGTGGTTTGCGGAAAAATTGATTTTTTTACAACTGTTATGCAGTAAATGTATTATTTTAACACTTTGATCTGGATCGTATAAAACCAAGTTAATAAGTTATCTGGAATTCTATACCTGTACGACACTCGCACTGCTCGTTATTGGAAATTCAATAAAGAAACACATTTATTTCATTACGTGCTTCTCCAGTTTATCGAAATCTTCCATTCAATCTACTCAAAATAATACAAAATCGTAAATCTCGTAAATATCTGGTGTTGGTTTCAAATTCTCGCAGCCAATAAAAGTGGCTTCTGATGTGCCTGCTTTGTTGGGCGATCTTTACGATGAAGGAGGAAGACAAGTTTCGCTGTTTTATTACACTGAGCAACAAAAAAAAATTTTGAGGAAATTTCCTAATTTTTTACAACTGATTTATGATAATTTGGCCCCGCTGAGTCCGAAAATGACATCCGTTTCCCTAGAAAAACTGGACCTAGGTCAGGTCCAGTTTTTCTGCTAAGTTAAATGTTTATTTTATTTTATTTGTGAATAAATCAGTAAAATTTTTGTGCCATAATCGGTTTATTTCTATGAACATTTCTCATTCGGAATTGGTTTTAAAGAGAAAAAAGCGTTCTGAAACACAGTACCTTAAGTAAGGGTCATTAATGTTCGTCATTGTTAAGAATTTAGGGCTGGAACTTCCGTTTATTGGATACCCTGGAATGCTCAGCATCAGGGATGTCTCTCTTTAGAGTCCAGCAGTAATCAGCCATCATGACGGCATTCCAACGTCCCTGATACCTGGTCTCCATCTCCTTCATCTCCTGGAGGAATCTCTCTTCCTGCTCGTCGCTCATTGATTCAAGATTCTCAGGAAAACGATCCATATGTGAAAATAGATAATGCAGTTTGATGCTCATGTTGCATCCGAGTTTTTTGAAAGCAGTCACCATATTGTTGACAAGTTCAGCATAGTTTCTGGCCTTGTTGTTGCCAAGGAAGTTTTTCACAACGAGAACAAAAGCATTCCATGCTTCCTGTTCCACTTTGTTCATTGACTTTTCAAACTCTGGATCTCTGATGAGCCGACGGATTTGAGGACCGTCAAAGATACCAGCTTTTAACTTCACTATGGTTACTCCCGGAAATGTCTGGCACATGTAATTGAAGCAGCCACCTTCCTTGTCTAGAGCTTTTGTGAACTGCTTGATCAAGCCAAGCTTGATGTGCAGTGGTGGGAAGAGTATCCTGTCTCTGTCCACCAGAGGGCTGTTGATAACGTTACTTGCTCTGCAAGGCACTAGTTCCTCTCGCACAGGCCAGTCCTTCTTCGTGTAATGGTGAGCAGTGTCCCTACTGTCCCACATGCACAGAAAACATGGGTATTTGGTGAACCCGGATTGTTGCCCCAACAAAAAATTCACCATCTTCAGGTCGACACAAATAACCCACTTATGCTGATCATAACGAATCATCTCCAGCACATACTTCACCGCTTCATACTTCTCCTTCAGTTTAGTAGAGTGAGCAAGGGGAACAGAGGCAAACTGGTTGCCGTTGTGCAGTAGAACACATTTCAGTGACCGCTTGCTGCTGTCAATGAACAGTCTCCAGTCTTCGGGCTTGTACTGCGGCACTCCCAGGTGGTGCAGAAGCTGTGCAATATCTGTGCAGTACACCAAGTCCTGCACCTCCGAGAAAAATTGGAGGTACTCTTGATGCCTGTTGCGGTACAGGGTGATGCGAGCACAGCCAGAGAGGAGGTTTTTTTTTCAATCTGGATGCCAACAGTTCAGCAGAGGCCTTTGACAAGCTGAGGTCGCGAACTAGATCATTTAGCTCCTGTTGGGAAAAAAGCTGTGGAGTTTCATCGTCAACAACTGGCCATTCTTCTTCTGTTTCCTGATCTTCATCACTGGAGGATTCGTCATCACTGATGTCTTGAAGTTTGTGAAACACAGGTACTGGGATATCATCACAATGAGCTACAGGACGACGTGCGGATTGCAAATCAGGATACTCGAGGCTGCTTCGGTTCTTTCTGTTTATCCCAGTCAGATCGATGCTACAGAAGTAGCAGTCAATGTCATGGTTTCTCTGCTCCCGCCAAACCATGGGAATTCCAAACTTCAGACACGTCTTCTTGCCCTTGGTCCACTGACGCAGATACACGGTGCAAGCCTTGCATACCATGTGTGGCGCCCAATCTTTATCCTGGTCACCAAGTTTAATACAAAAATAAGCATGGTAAGCACGCTTTATGAAACATGTGACTTGATTCCTGTTATGAACAAGTGTGTATTCACCGCAGATATAGCAAAATACGTCGGGTTTATTTTTACAAGATCTTCTCTTGGAAGCCATGTCGTTCGCTTGCGATTCGTTTGCAACTGATACCTATACTAATGCAATCTGCTATATGGCTCAGATTTGGAAAATGCTGACGTAACTATCCATAGTTATACACAGCCTCGTCCGGGCATGTCTGCGATTGTCTGATCACGTGACTGTAGTTACGTGATTTAATGCATTGAACGTGTGTGTGTGTGTGTGTGTGTGCATAGGGGAAACATAAAAATATCAATTAATTAAAAATTGCAAATTCCTCATAGTGATGAAGTGATTAAGAACAAAGCATCACATACAGCGAAAATACCTGGGACTGTACACAAAAAAGTGAAAATGAAGATATGGCCATAGCTTAGAAAGTTGACCTGATCTAGAAAAACCAATGTGATATTTGGATTCAGGATATCAAAATTTCCATAAATCAGCCGAAAGACCTTAGGAAATTTTTTGGGTGTTGACCAGTGTTAGCATCGATTAAGCGGACACCTCTGAAACACGTGCGCCATCAACGTTTCGACGATTTTTTTGAAAATTTAGAAAAAAGTAAAATTTCAAAAAGTAACAACAGTATTTTACAAAAAATGCAATTAGTCCAACTTTAGAAGCAATTCATTAATCGTGTTTAAGTTATTAAGCATATAAAGCCATAATAAAAGAATTCAAATTTTTCCTATGGTACAAGGATAAAAATGCAAATATCTCAGAAAATATAGGTTGTAGCTAAATAATATCGATATTAAAATTTAAAGAGAATAAACAGATAAACAAAATAAAATTAAAATCATATTTCAAGATAAACTGTTTTTATTTTACAAACAAAAAATGAGGTTTTTCCAAATTTTTTCAATTTTTGAAGCTTTCATCCTTGACGAGGCACAGGCTAGAATTATCAAATTGAGCTAAAACTTTACAAAAATGTAATCTTTTTGCCAAGTGACACAATTTAAGAGGTTCTTCCGTTAAGATTATGAAAAATTTTTGTGACTACCCTAGAACATATTAGTGTTTGTCATTTAATGAACGTGTCGTATTGTTTTGTTTTTCAAAATGTGTTAACGCGTGGAGTGCATGCATGCATAATCACTGATGCTATCATAATGCATGCAAGTTTGTTTTAATGTGTATGTTTATATATGATAGTATATCAAAAAATCAAGCAAGAGGTATTCGTTCAATTTTTATAAAATTCAAGCTAATTTATTGATAGGGCTGCAATACAACAAGGTTTTGTGCTGGGTTTAAGACACAGTAAAGCCACAGTCGCAAATTATAACAAAATGCACCGTGCACAAATCTACTTGCGACTACGTCTCTGGTTGGATTTGTTTCTGTCAATTCGGGTAAATCGGTACATTTCTAGAAATAAAATAGTTGATTGATTTTTTTTTATTTTGATTGATTGAAAATGTTTTGTTGTTAAGTGTCCTTCGTCATTAACATTTGATATAAAAGTACTCGTACTCGAACTATAGTACTTGTATTTAAGGGCTAGGCACCTGTACTCGTACTAGAAACATTTTTTTCAATACTTGCACTCGTACTTGAGACCTGAGCACTTGCATCTGAGAAAAAGTATTGTAAACACCTCTGGTTTGAATGCCAACTACGTAGAAATAACGAAACAACAGCGCCGTTAACAAAACTGCACCTTGCACTAAAATTTATTGTTCAATTTAATACAAAAAAAAAACATGCAAATGCAAACATGTTGTGTGTATATACTTTTATATACATATGTATATTATATATATATATATATATATATATATATACATTAGGGGTGCATCCCTAATATATATATATATATAAATCAATATACAGTACTGTTTGAATAATATGAATATATAATGACGAAAAGTCTGTCAGGAACGTTTTATTTTTGTGTTGGGTCATCTTCTTCCTCACCGAAACTTCGTAGGCAGCATGGGTGTCTCGGGATCGTTGTCGATTGTGTGATGCAGCATGAGGGCCAACACACCAGCACGATTCGCCATGGCCGTCCTCACCTGACGTTCTTGCTCAAACAAGTCATCCAGCGACATCCACTGTACGTCATGGATGAATGTGTTTGTATGTATGCATATTTGTGTGCATTTAAGTTCACAAAAGCATTAGAAAATTATTCTTTTACAAAATATTTTTTTATTTGTTAATGATTTTAATGACCTGGGATTTTTAACAATTGTATTTTTTCTTAGAATTTAATTTGTTAATCGTAATTTATTTTCATTTATTTTATCACAATTATATAATAATTTCTCATGTACGTTTTAGAAAACAATCATATAACAACGTGGCAATATTATTTAATTTCGATAAGCGACGCACGAGGTGGACAGCTAGCAGAATGAAACACACGACCCTCTGTGCTCGAGAATTCGCAAAAGTTCATTTGGACTGAGAGTTGTTACAATTTCAAAATGGGTAGTTAAATAAAGTTCGCGGGAATCAAACTAATAAATAACATTTGCGTTTTTTAACTAATTAGGATTTAATAATCAGCATAAATTAATGAAAACAAAATTTGTAGCTGCAAGCTCAACTTGAAGTCGAACCTGTCGCAGTCTTTCCATGTCAATTTGTGCCTTCCTCAGCTTCTCCCAGCAATGATGCTTCACGCATTTCCTTTTTGAAACTCGGCAGAACTCTCCATTCGGTTCAAAAACGTTGGACACCAGCGGACATCCACATACTTCGTTTTCAGGTGCCTTCATGTGGTTTAAATAACAATGATACGACAAATAAAGAATGTGAGCAATTTATAAACACCAAAAAATGAAAAATTATAATCGTGTTCCTTATAAGTTTTTAGTTAATTAGTAATTTAATTTTAATACGGCTCATAACACTTGAACCAAAGTATAAAAATGAGAGTTACGAGCCACGATGTGATTGAATGAGATATTCATTAAGTCTTACCCTTGGCTCTTTGGTGTGTTCAGGACAGAGAACCTTCAATCTTTTGCAGTAAGTTTTTTGATGGGGGTTGTAAAAGTCACAAAACATTGGATCTCCCTCAATGCGGGTTTTATATATCGAACCGAACGACGTCTGACTCTCAAACTGGACAATAATTTATTAGGAATCATAATTTCAATCCAACAATAAAATAATTTAAAAAACTATATCAAATTTTAATACAATATTGAAAATATTTTAAAGTGTGAAAGTATCTTAAGTATCTTTTGCACATAATATGACCATGACCATGAATGGTTATCAGCATTTAATACGTTGTTATTTTCCATTGAACTAAAAATTTAATAAACTGAAAAATTAGTTTTTAAGTATTGAATCATTGAGCACGGCTCTAAAAAATTTAAAAAAAAAGCCTTAATTTCTGAGGAATGTTATAGTTACAACATTATGCCTTTGGGTAATTAACAATTTAATTCATTCATCAAATTAAAATACAGCAAAACAACCTTATTAAAACATTTTTCCATGTGCCTAAGAGCGCCTTTTTGAGCCAATTCGTGTCCACAAGTTATGCAAAATGTGCTCAAATCGGAATCATCATCTTGATCGACCTGAAAAATGCAAACGTAACATTTTATGACATCAAATTTGAACGAACGCAGGTCTAAAAATGGCTTAATAACTCGATTCTATCATCCCCTTCTCCACCAAATAATCATGTCATGGACCGCTCCAATTTTAACATTCTTCTACATGCCGTTAAATTCGGCAATCGATGGTGAACATTAACAGACAAAAAATTAAACCGATATCTATACACAATCTATGTGATTTTTATTGTATGCATTTTAATCTTATTGACTATCGTGTGCATTCTGATCTTTTTGTATAGTAGAGACACGCTGCGCAATTCTGGTTTCTGAGAGGTGACTCGGTTTGTATATGAGTAGGTATATAGGTCAATCCTGGTCTACGAATCTGTTGCGTAGGGGAAAAACGCACGTCTCAAGTTTCTTATTTGAAATGGAAGACTTTATGGATTTTTGAACTTTTTATTTTACTTTAAAATTTTTTTTAGATCGGTTAAATTTTCTTTTTTACCTTTGCATCATTTCAATATTTTATTTAATATTGTTGGTATTTAGTAATATTTTTCAATCTTTTCAAGTTATTTTTTAATTATTAAATTTTTCATTAAAAATAACAAAGTTTTTAGTTTAAAACCAGAGTTTTGAATTTTACTCTATTCAATAGTTGTCATGTTGAACTTTTTGAATTGAAATGAATTTAAAAAAAGTTTACTTCAAAAATTATTTAGATTATCAATGTTACAAATTAATTTATTTTCTATGAAACAATTTTAATTTAATTTGTTATAACAGCTATTTTTTAAACATGTGGTTCAACGACATCGTTTCAAAATTCATTGAAGATTATCATGGGTCTTGTTCTTGTGAGTGGGATGTATCGAGTCCGACTTCAAAAATCGAGTCTAAAGAAAAACGGCCCTGTACTCTCTGGCTGCAAAATACAATATAACTGTGAATGACGTAGAGAAGAATTCATAATATGAAAACATCCTTCAACTGGGGGCGGAAAAATTAGTTCAACAAGCGGGACCTCTCTCAGAAAGTCAGCATAGTTAGCTTGCAATTACTTACAGTTCCTGGCGCCAGTAGACGAAACAGATTTTGACGATGAACAGAATGAAAGCAATTAGATGAAGTAAGAAAAAAATTAGATTATTTTATATCGTGGGTTATGTTATTGTTGTGAGTTGTTTAATTTCAATTCTTTATTGCATTAAATTAAATTCAATGAAGCTTTGCTCGAATTTTTTTATTATTTTGAAAACGTCAATTATTATATGTAAAAATAGTTTGTAATCACATATATTATTTTATTTATTTTCATTGCAGTTACTGTATTGCCTCATATTGCCAAACTACTTCTACCTCTTAAGTCATGAAATTTATCAAAATTAGTTGATGATTTTCGCGGAGTGTTTTGAAGAATTACCAACTCACACTCTTCTAATTTTCCCTTCTCCGGGATCCTTCAATTATTTTTCCAGAACCGTCGTACAACCGCAGGTGGAGTATAGGCAAGTCTTCAGAATTGAAAATTGTGCAGATACACGCAAGATCAAAAAAAGACTCCACTTTATTTAACTGTAATGCAACTGGTTTGAGAAACACTCAAAATTTGGATGGCATAATACCAAAAACATTTTCAATGACCCTTCTAGCTCTACTCAGTCTGTAGTTGTCTACTCTTTCTGGAATGTGTATTGTTTAATCAAATAATTAGATAGAGCGAAAACATCATCTCCCACAATGACGTATGGCACCAGATATATTCTTCTAGATAATTACTCGCTTGCAGGTTAATGTGCTGTATTGTTTTCCAGATCATTGCTCAGTGAAGCAAATCTGAAAATACACCATTCTGTAGCGCAATTTATTCATGAACCGTTCAACAACGAAGGCCTGCAGCGCGCCATGAGACGTTGTTCATCATCCCGTCTATCACGCAATAATATGATTATCTTAATGTCGTTTAAAAAAAGTTCAATGAAATTTCTGAACACTGTTTAAAAAAATATACTTTATCATTTTATAAATATATATATATATTTATATATATATATAAATTTACTTGAAAAAATTACTTTTTTTAAGTTTGAAAAAATAAAAATAAATTAAAACTGACAACAGACGTGAAAAGAACAAAATGAAATAAAATTCTAAAAAACCAATTATATTAAAAATAAAACCAATCCAAAAAATAAAAAAAAAAGAAAGTTTTAAAATTGTATAGTCTCCTTTTTAATCTGGTAACTATAAACGTGTGATTTTCGCCTTCACAACAGGTCCGAAGACGAGACTGATAGACATATTTCGTAGACAAACCTAGTCACATCTCAGAAACCAGAATTGCGCAACATGTCTACTAGTGTGTACTAGACAAAATGGACTAAAAATGTCCTTTAACTCAATACGAAAGTGAGCCCATATCCGCTAAATTCCAGCACAAGTGGAAACTTAACGTGACTTTTTATTAGCTCAAGCATGCACACAGAGTACACATCAAAAAACCTATAACGCATAACCAAAAACTAAGGTGGCACCCATTTTAACCTTCTGGTTATCAGTCTTTTCTGCTCCTGTCTATTTTAGCTAAGTTATGCAGTCACCACTTTAGGCGGGCTCTGTCAAAATGTCCACTTCTACTCTTGAGTAAGAGGTCTTCCGTTTTTCCTAATTTTAAAACTCAGGTTTCTTCATTTCAAACTCAACTCAATTTACAGATACACTATTTCACCAAGAATGATCAAGATGCTATGCAACTCTGATATAAACACGATGACGAATAAAATTTAAAAAATGATGATGGAATGAATATAACTACCTCCTCGTCCGCATTTAAAACAGTTCCTCTCTTTCCTATCATAATGATCTCATCCAACTTTCTGCGTTTCTGCTCCAACTCCAGTAATTGCTCCTTGGCTTGTAACTGTTTGTATCTGATCTTGTCCAGAAGTTTCATGTTGTTCTGTTCAGCTATACAAGGAGTTGACTGCCATTCAAGTATTCGACGGGGAAGAATTTCAAATATTCGACTGTGCAAAGTAAAAAAATAAAAATCTGTTTCAACATATTTGTGTCTCCAAATACTTTTGAAAAATTTTTCTCTTTTAGAAATTAAACATTTCCATAGTGTAATAGATTTTAACTAATCAAAACACTTATTCCTTAGGTAGAGGCATTGATTAAGCAGAGGGAAGTATGAAATGAAGTAATCAATTGTGAACGACAGGAATGTATTACTTAGTGGCGAGTTTCATACCACAGTCATCTGAGCAGTACTTGGAGCCCTGTCTTGCAGACTCTGTACAACCAGGTCCCAGACACTGTCTCGGACCATTCTCGTCATAATACTTGTTAGGGTAACTGTACCTTTGTTGAGCTGTTGTATGTTGTTGAGTTGGTGCTAACTTTGATGAATGCTTTTTCTCTTTATTAGGTTGAGAATATCCTACATAATCATCATCAATATAATAACTGTGTTGCATGCGTTTGCGATGATGTTGTTGTTGTTGTTGTTGCATTTGTTGTTGCACCTGTTGTTGTTGTTGCTGCTGCTGTTGAAACATGTAATTGTTGTTGGACTCTAAAGCAGCCTGAGAAACATTTTGAATGGCGTCCTGTAGAGAGAAAGAGCATATGCATATTATCTGGTGCATGCACGTGCATTATGGGTGATCTATCATCCAAGACGATTTTTATGGATGGTGATGGTTGATGATGGCGACAAAAAGCAAGAACAAACAAACCATTTTTAGTGATTCACTGAACTTGCTACTTTCATGACTGCTTTCCTTTTTGCTGCTATGATGTTAAATAATGTAAATATATATGCATTATAAAATTTATAAGGTATTCAACAAAAGGTATGTATGAAAAGTTTGAAGATGTCATGAAAAGACTGTAAAGAAACAAACAAGAATGAATGGTGGAACCAAGAGCAGCAAGGAGACGATAATAACATACCAAAAATTAAATGATGGAAAAGACTAAAAAATGTGACCTTCTAAAATAATGAGTACAAATCGGAATGAAAAAAATATAAAACAAGCCTTTTAGAAAAAATTGGATCATCGTTCACCATTGTAGAGATTCCCTAGTTGATACGTTTCATATTTATTAAAATGGAGGATTGCAATTTATAATTAGTGATCAAAAAATTTCTAGCAAATGCAAAAATGTTAAAAAAACAAACGTAAAATGTAGAAATCATACATAATTTAGGCACTGTCTAAGTCGACATTTCTGTCGTAACTTGTTTGGTCCACCAAATTTTTTCATGTCCTGTTTGAATGAATACAAAATCTAATTTAATAATTGGTAAGCAACCGTGATGCCATTATATTGATTTTTTAAATATCACTATCATTATTACAATATCAAATCGTTCTTTGCCTTAAGGATATATTAATAACCACCACCATATCTCTCACCTCAACAACCAACTGACTGCTCAATAATTATAAATTCGTTCATCTCATTGCTCGAACATTCTCCAAAGCTTTTGATGCTTTTAATTACTTCTCACTTGCCTCAAGCCTAGCTACTCTTTCTATTCCTGACAACATATAAATAAATTATGCCTGCACTACTGCCTCTCATATACCGCACATACAAATTACATACACATTTTACCAAATAATACTTAATTAACTATTAATATTAATTAAAAACTAGAACTTGAAACAAAATTAAAATTACTCATACAAAATAAGTCAAATAAACAAATAGATCAATGAGAATGAACACATGATAAAATGAAAAATTGCCTTAAGAAACTAGAAGTAAAAAAGCAATATAGAATGACCTTGCAAAAATCACACTTGGCACAGTCTTCATTTCTGATGCACGCTTTGCATGAGCCACACATTCGAGATGATTTTTTTCTGTTTAATTCCTTTTCTTGCTGTTGTATGTAAACAAAACATGTATTCATCGTCAACCATAATACAAGGGAGTTAAAACTAAAATATAAGTATGAAAATCAACTATATATATATATATATATACAATTAAGGTGTTCCAGATCAATCAATCAATCAATCTTCATTTTGCGTCCAGAGACCCGGTTTCCCGAGGTAGGACGTTGTTTTCTTTACCATCAACTTTTTGCGCCACATTAGACGATCAGTTGTATCCATTTCATTTAAATTTAGAGTTTTCATTTCTTGCTCGATTGTTTGCGACCAGGACTTCTTTGGACGGCCTTTTGGACGTGTGCCAGATACTTCAACATCTGCAAGAGAAGTTATGGCACTGTTTCCACAGTTTTCCCAGAAAAAAGTGAAATTTGGAAATTGTCAAGTGTCACCCTCTTAAAAGTTTCTATGTGGCATTTTAAATAAACTGTGCAATTTCATATCATTTGAACAAGGTTTAGGGGTCCCTCAAAGCTTTCGATGGTACTTGAATAATATCCTAATGTGAATGACTGAACGTATTCACCAACAAACTGCTAGCATGTAACTAAGTGTAATCGTGTAAGCAAAAGCGACTGTTCCCTGTATTTGTGGACTTGGAAAAAGCTTTTGACAAAGTGCTTTTTGAGGCAACCAAGTGGAATCTACATAAACAGCTTGTTCCAGAATATCTGGTTCACGGGCTAAAGGCAAATCTTGACAAACAAAAATTATGATCCCCGGTGGTACCGCTGAGCCTGTAGTCTCTGGTCATTGTCCATGTTTGGTGTGTGGGGCTGGAGTTGGAAGCAACTCGGTCAAATGTCTACGATGTTAGCAGTGGTGTCACAGATGATGCTCGAGAATTACCGGATCAGTGAGAAAAATGATCGATTTCGTATACCCCACCTGCATCAATCTACGAAAACGGGGCCCAGGTGATGATACGATTTCCGGGATCGAAATCTTTACTTCATTTCATTATTTGGGAGATGTGCTAAATTGTACTGGAACAGCTGATGCCGCCGTTCGTGGACACATACGTGCGGCGTGGGACGGCGTGGGGCAGATGGCACCTTCTTACATCGGTACTAATGCGGTATAGCATTTCTCTACTGCTGCTCTCAGAGCTGTACAACACAGCTAGACGTTCCGTTCTGACGTATGGTGCAAAGACCTGGCCGAAACTCGAACAGCAGCTTCACCGAACTGACATGAAGTCGATTCGTTGGATGTAGCATGTTGACCTAAGGGACCATATCCATACGACCGAGATCCTGAACCGATCGGAACTGTGCATGTTGAAGGATGCATGTCGTTGTCATCGCCTACGATGGTTTGGCCATGTGAAGCGATAACGATACAATAATTTCCGTTACTGAGAACCAGGTGCCTGGAACCCGCCCAAGTGGTCGCCTAAAGAAGTCCTTGAAGCAGACCATACAGGACTTGAAGGCACTTGGTCTCAAAGAGACAGACACAATGGATAGATCGACTTGGAGACAGAAGCTCATGAATGGAATAAAAAAGTCCGACCCATAACGGATGGAGACTATAAACGAGGATTGATTGATTGATATTTCAGGATAATGGCACAATCAAAACTGGCAAGATCATCACAAAAAAGTGACCATATTTGGCGATTGGGTATCCTACTGAGACTGACAGGTGCTAGACTACCTTTTGGCCATGATGTTATCAAAAACTTTACGCATTACCACCATTCGCAAAATCTCACAGTTAGTGAATGTGCAAAACATGTATATATAAAACTGATGCATTTCTGGATTAAGTCACGACTACCTACACGTCAAAAACATTACATAATAAAGAAGATTACAGATTTACACAGTGAGTGGGACAAAGAGGTTGTCAACAGATGTGAAATAGCCCTCCTGAAAAAGTTTGAGATGGAAGGACAGTGTTATGAAGTCCGCGTATGTGTAAAAACACTGCTCTGTTCTCCAACCATCTCCGTTAAGCTTGCTGACAGATGATCAATTTGATGGAGGACAGACTGTCGTCCCAATCGATCAGCCACATTCTACGATCAGAACACTGGATTGGAAAATGGTGGGTTACCGATCGAGACGGCCGTTATTGAGGCTCCGGTACCGAAAAAAGAACCATACAGCGGAAAGAAGCTGCAAAAATCCTTGAACTCGAAAGATGGACCATCAACGTCCCTGACTGCGAATGCAAATGTCGGGACAACGTTCAATGAGGTGGGGGATGTTGAGAGATTTGCGTGACGCGTGTATGTGCATATGTTGGTATAATATTGCATGAACGCTGTTGAATTGGCTGTGCATATATGCTATTGTTAGAATGCAAGTACGGTTAAATATACTAAATATACTAGAAATTGAATTCATATATATATATATATATATATATATATATATATCTATATATATATATATTTATTTATTTATTTACAATATTCTATAAATTCTACCGAATGTATGGCGTTAATATGTTTGCCAAACAATCGGTAGAACTTATAGAATATTGTAAAAATTATGATCTTTTACCAGCATATAAACATATATATATATATAATATATATATTATGAAATTTTGGCTCTCCGTCGAAGTTGTCTAGATCAGCCACTAAACATTTGTATGTACAAGCAAATGCCTCATCAATATATATAATTATATATATATATATATTTATATTATATATATATATATATATATATATAATAGTCTAACTTTTGTGCAGACTACATTCAAACTAGCTCAGCACAAAAATAAAACCTTGCAAAACCTATCATGCTTTTTGAATGAAAACTTACACAGATTCAAAAATTCACTGATTAGAAAACAATGGCAAAAAATAAAACAAACTCTTTTAGTATGCTTGTGATGTTTAGATTCGCCATCATACTTGGTCTTGTTTTTGTGATTTTTATGTTTCCAATCGTCTTCATCGTCATCATCATCATCATCGCAATCATCGTCATCATCTTTGTAGGATTTTGAATCAATGGAAGTTTTTGATAGATGACTTTTCTTGTACAAAATTTTCAACGTTGGATTTGATTCTGAATAGTATTTATGTCAAACAAATCTTTGGCATCACCATCATATATTGATAAATCATATATAGATAAATTAATATACCATTTAATGATCTAACAACAATGTTACAGTCCTTGATATTTCAATAGATTTTCTTATTTGATAGAATATTGAAAAAAGAAAAAGAATAGATAAGTAAAAAAAAGAATTTGAACATTTGAAGATCCAATGAACTAGCCATAACCTGCTTCAATGATGGAACAAAACTTTCAAAAGTCTAATTTAAACTCAAAACATCAAATAGAATGATTTCAAGCATGAGCTATGTAGTGAAGAAGGTAGAGGACTCGTTAATATTAGCCAAAGTGTGAAATTATTAATCAAGTATGCATTAATTTAGTGACGAGGTGATGATGGTGCTGATAATAATGGTGATTGCAATGGAAACTTACTTAAGCAAAAGTTGCAGAACCAGTGTTCAATGTTTTGGGCATCATCTGAAGTTAGATTAATACAATCTCCATGATACCATCCATTGCATTCTTCACAACCACTGTGTGCAGTGCATAGTTTAACAATGTATTTCAGTTTTATAAGCCAATAGATCATTTGTTTGTAAAGATAAAAAATGAAGTAAAATGTGGTGAAGTTGCATCACAGGAAAATAATTTTTAAAAAATTTGATTTAAATTTAGTTATTCATTCAAAGAAATAGTCTCTATTAAGATTAATACCAGAGTAAAAAAGAGAGATTTGAAATATATTAGATTAGTACTAGAGTAAAAAAAATTTGAAATATATTATTTGGATTAAAGTGTGAAAACAAATTTAAGTTTAGTGTGTTCCAGTTCAGATGAGCTCTATTCAGATGAGAACCAAATTATCAATTAATTTGTGTGAAAAAACAAAAAACAAACCAGAGGTGCATGGGGTTAGCCAAAGATATTCACAGCCAAGGAATTTAATCTTAGAGTTTAATAATGAAACTCAAACAACTTGTAAAAAAATCATCCACAGCAGGTGAAATTTTCAGGGTAAATATTTATATGGTAAAAATTATAATGTATTCTGTAGTTCAGGGGTGGGCAAATTTTTTGCTGTGAGGGCCGCATTGAAAACTATTTTATCTTTGAAGGGCCACATATGTATTTGAGTATATACTCAAACCCGGAGGAAAATTTTTTTAAGATTTGTGGTCATGTCTGGCTGACGACCATTTTTTGGCGAACAAGGCCTCGCGGGCCATAGTTTGCCCACCCCTGCTGTAGTTTTTTAAAAAATCATTAAAGCTGAATGCAAATAACTAATTTAAATGGACTCTGTTAAAAACAATTCAAATAATCAATTAATTTTCAGAGTTTATTTATAACAATAAATATATGATCTATGATGGACATAGTTTAAGATGTTTTGCAAAAAAAGCCACAGCATTTACTGCGAATATCAGATTGGTAATAACCATCAACTAGGTTAAAAAGTCACAGTATCTACAGCAGACCTAGTAAATTTTTGTGAATATATAGTCAGACCTACTTATAGCAAACTACTATACTATGAAAATCTTTATATAATAGTAAACTTAAGTTAAATTTTTGCATTACTGTTTTGGTTATTATGCTTTTTGTTGTATACATATGGTGTAAGTATATACATATAATAACATACTATTTATTAAATTTTTTGCAATTACACTATGTATCATTACTGTTTGTTATAAAAACAAATAATTGAGAGGTTGTTTTTCCTAAATAAATCGCATATAAACACCTTCAAAGCAATATAGATTTTTTTTCCAAAGCAATTCTATATAACAAAATTTGTATGTGATGAATTATTTCATAGAACCATCAAATTTGTTGCAAGGAGGTCCAACTGTATATCATATATATATATCATATATATATATATATATATATATATATATATATAATATTTATATGACATTGGCATCATAGGTAGTATTTAGTATTTATCATAGACTAACTAAAAAAATATGTTAAATGTTTATTTATGCGGACCAGAGATGTTGTTTGTCTGGTCACTCAAAAGTAATTAAGATATAACCAAGATAGCCACATCAATCAGATGGTTCAAGATGGTATTTTTTCATGCTTCAAATCATTTCACACATATACAATATGTTCATTAAATAGCACACATTAACATACTTGTTCAAATGTAGACAAACAAATATACAATGTGTAAGCATAGACATACATACGCAACGCATATATTAAAACTTAGAGGATAAAAAATTTGGCTCAAATCTTAAATCTAGCTCGACTTTGACCAATCCAAATATGAAAAAATGGCTGAAATCTCTAAACAAAATATTAGTCTCTTTAAAATTTGTAAATTTTTGTAAAGCACTTGTACCTGTACTTGAAAAATTTCAAGTCATAAGTACAAGTACATGCACATTGTGAAACAGCAAATATAAGTATAAGTATTTAGGTGTCAAGTACCAGTACTTAAAATTGGTACTTGAGGAGTACTCATAGAAGTACACAGTAGTATTAAATTTATTAGCTATTAAAATTAAATTAAATTTATTACCTATTATATTTTTATTAGCAAAGTAAAAAAGATATGTCGCTTTATTTGCCGCAGACATAGTAATTTTTCATATAGGCAGTGGCATTTTATTTGTATTTATTAATTTTTTTAGATATTTACCAAGATTCATAGTCATGGAAGTAGCTTTGTTGTGCAATCAAAATTGAGGATAAAATAAAAACCCTGAAAATGTAACCTAATATGATTATTTTAGTCTCCAGTTACTTGAGTTGAAAGTCTCAACAACGATAAATTTTAGGCTGCGCTAAAATCTTTGGCTGATTTCATAAAAAGTAAAAATAAAAACCAACATCAAACCTGTCCTAACTCAACCAACTCCAACAAACAACAACCTACGTACATCATAAACCGAGAAATATCAGAACTTCGACAAATGCAATAAATTTCCTCAGTTTTTTCGTCGCCATCATTACTTTTACTCATTTTTATTTTTTATTAACTACTTAAATTTAAAAAATTTTCATAAAAATTACACTAATACCACTTTGTAAACAAAACCAGCGATACAAAAATTACGATGTCCAAAAATCTACTAGGTGGCTTATTATTCTATGCCGGACATTTATATATATATATACATATATTTATATATATATATATATATTTATATATATACAATACGTTTACAATTTTCATAAAATTCTATCGTTGTATTAATATAATGTTTTATAATATCAATTTTATTTTTATTAATTTAAAAATATATATTAAAATTAAAATAAATTAATAAAATATATTAAATAAAAACTAATAAAATTAAAATAGGCAAGCTTTTTTGGCAAACTTTTGCCTTTTCTTGGCGATCCTTCTCTTCTCCTTCTTGTTACTTAGTTAGTCGTATCTGGGATTGATTATTGTAACTCACTCTACTATGGTCTTCCTGATTCTACACTCCATCCTTAAAGTAAAGCTTTTAACTTTGCTGCTCGTCTAGTTGCTCGTGCCTCTTTCTTTTTCATATATCTCCATATCTTGTTCTCTTCCACTTACCACCCATAAAATAATTTTTAAAATTTGCACATTTATGTATTAAGTCTCAATCTAAATTATTTCATAAGCACTTACCAGATATATTAATTAAAACTAAACGCTCCGGTTTACAATCGTCTTTTTGTTCTCACACTTCTTAATTAGTGTTAAACACTCTTTTGCTAAGTCTGCATTTGCTTTTTCTGGCACTCTCTACCTCCTTCTCTGACTACTTCTCCATCACTTACGAAGTTCAGAGCGGATCTCAAGACCCATCTGTTTGCAAAATTTCTTGAGTAGTGCTATTGAACATCGCGGAAATAGCGCTTTATAAACTAATTGATTGATTGATTGAAAACTGCCATCATCATTAAATACGGGTGATATTCCAAGTGATTGGAAGACAGCTCTGGTGGTACCATTACATAAAAAAGGTAACAAAATTTTGGCAACCAATTACAGACCAATTGCACTAACGCCAATATGTTGCAAAATAATGGAATCAATTATAGCTGATCATATTAAAAATTATTTTTTAAGCAACCATCTATTCACAGAGAGACAATATGGGTTCCTCCCGTCTCGTTCAGTCACATTACAGCTTTTGAAATTTGTTGATGAGATAACGGCGTCATTGGAAGCAGGTATGAGTACAGATATTGTTTATACAGATTTGGAGAAAGCTTTTGATACAATTTCCCATTCTAGTCTGTTTTCAAATTAAAAAATATAAAGTTCAGAACAAGATAATAAAATGGATAGAAAGCTATCTTAGGGATAGAACGTTTCGTGTTAGAGTAAATGACCAACTTTCAAGAGCTAAACCTGTTGCTAGTGGTGTTCCCCAAGGAGGAGTACTCAGTCCACTTTTATTTGTGATTTACGTCAACGACATTCACTCAACAACAATATTTTTTATATGCAGATGATGCAAAGAAATTTGGTTCAATATCTGTTCCACAGGATGAGGCGGTGTTGCAAGGTTGTTTGGATAATGTAATGATGTGGTTCCACAGATGGAGTTTGAAGGTTAACGTCAGTAAATGCAGTTTGTTGAAAATAGGCAGATGTTTGTCAAGGGAATATTTTATCATTGATTCAGATGATGTAGCTCAGGCCTTGCCAAGGGTGAAGAGTATATTTGACCTGGGTCGGGTAATGGATGATCGCCTCCAATTCAAAGAGCATGTTTTGAGTCAAATAAAAAAAAATCTAACTCCATGTTAAGATTACTATCAAGAAATTTTAGTTGCCTGTCTGATGAAGCTTTTATCTGTGTCTACAAGTCTGTTCGCTCACGACTGGAATTTGCTGTTCAAGTTTGGTGTCCATATAGAAAAGGTCTAATAAATGAATTGGAAAAAAATCAGAGGAGAGCTACCAAAATTCCAAAGTCTTGTAAAAATCTGGAATACAGTTTGAGGTTGGTGAAATTAAACCTCCCTTCCCTTAATTACCGCAGAATCAGAGGAGATTTAATCCTGGTCTATAGAATGCTTCACGGCATGGTGGACCCTGTGATTTGCCCTCAGTTGTGCGGTAGGGCTGATGTAAACACCAGGGGTCATCAGCTCAGATTGTGTACTCGACTGGCCAGAAAAGATTGCAGGAAATATTTTTTCTCGAATCGAGTGGTTAGCCCATGGAATGCATTGCCAGAGGATATTGTTAATGCTCCGTCATTGGCTATTTTTAAAACTAAACTAGACTTACTTTATGGTGACGCAAATTATTCTATATTTTAATTTTAGTTTGTTTTGTGCCTGATGTTTATTATAAATTATTTGCAAATGTACGTACCTGTAATAATCAATTTTCGGAATTTGCATTTTTTTCAAACATTGATAATTGTCTTAAACATTGACTCTTTAATTTTATTCTGATTTATTTTTGTTATGTTATTTCAGTTTTTGGCAAGGGGCTTTGCCTAAGCCTTTCTTCTTATAATATATATATATATATATATATATATATATATATATATATTTACAATATTCTATAAATTCTACCGAATGTTTGGCGTTAATATGTTTGTAGTTCGTTTTTTCAATTTTTCTCACTAAAGTTTTTTGGTGAACGTTTAGTTTATTAAAATTCAAAATAAACTTATTTTCCGAATTCATGCTGCAAATAAGGCCATATTCCGATTCCGAATGAATCATCATCAGTGCATTTCTGTTGTTTATATAGGTAAATATATTGACTTTGTCAAAATGAATTTAGATGGAGATTGACTTTGTCAAAGTGAACTTAGATGGAAATTAGGTGTCAGGTTTCTTTATTGGCTGGTCATCTTCTTTGGTCTCCTTTTCTTCATCGATAGCATCATATTCTTCTTTGTCACTATTTACAATGCTAGTTTTTATTACTTCTTTGTTTTTGTTGTTGGTTAAGCGCCGGGCTGGAAGTGAGGTTGTCATTTTTTGTTGTATATTTATTTTTGGTTTATTGATGTCAATTAGGACTGCTTCTGCAATTTTAAGATGCGTGTAGTTGCTGTTCTGGTATATTACTTTGGTGTTACTGTCGAGGATTTCACGGCTAATAGTGATTGAGTGTGTTGAGTCCAAATGAGATTTGATAGCACCACTCTGCTTAAGCATCGTAAGCCTTCTAGTCAATCAGGTAGTAGTAATCCCGATATATGAGCCATGTTGACGTGCACAGCCGTCAAAGGGGCAATTAAATTCATATATTACGTGATTACGCCTTAGCTCAGAGTTATCTCTAGGACTGCAGTTGTTTTTCAGTAAATTCGGAGTTTAACTTTATTATTTGGGTTGGTTAGTGTCATATTTTTATTGATGATATGTTTAAGAATAGCTTCATCTACCTTGTATGCAGTTGACATGTGATTTCTGTAATACAAGATAATGTCGTTATCTTAATTGTTGGTACTAGGAAAGTTATTGTTGTGTAGTAATTTGCCTTTAGCAATCTTTTCAATAGAATAAGTCTTATATCCATTGTTTACAAGCAGGTTAGTGACTCTTTTTAATTTGGCGTCGCGATTTTCAATATCGGAAGAGTGTGTGAATGCCCGGTTTACAAATCATTTTATTCTGCTGTCTTTAAATTGTTAGGTACATTCACTTTGTCCATTCAAACAAATTTCTTTCTTTGGCATAGACCGTAGTCTTGAATCGTTCTTCGCCACGGGTGACCAACACATCAAGGAAAGGTAAAAGTTGTTCATTTTTAAATCTCATTTGGACTCAACACACTCAATCACTATTAGCCGTGAAATCCTCGACAGTAACACTAAAGTAATAAACTTATTGACATCAATAAACCAAAAATAAATATACAACAAAAAATGACAACCTCACTTCCAGCCCGGCGCTTAACCAACAACAAAAACAAAGAAGTAATAAAAACTAGCATTGTAAATAGTGACAAAGAAGAATATGATGCTATCGATGAAGAAAAGGAGACCAAAGAAGATGACCAGCCAATAAAGAAACCTGACACCTAATTTCCATCTAAGTTCACTTTGACAAAGTCAATCTCCATCTAAATTCATTTTGACAAAGTCAATATATTTACCTATATAAACAACAGAAATGCACTGATGATGATTCATTCGGAATCGGAATATGGCCTTATTTGCAGCATGAATTCGGAAAATAAGTTTATTTTGAATTTTAATAAACTAAACGTTCACCAAAAAACTTTAGTGAGAAAAATTGAAAAAACGAACTACAAACATATTAACGCCAAACATTCGGTAGAATTTATAGAATATTGTAAATATATATATATATATATATATGCATATATATATATATATATATATATGCAGTAATTTATAAAGTCTACCAAATTTCTAACGTTAGATGGTTTTTTCTTACATTTCTCAATATTTCTGACCAAATTCTGGTCGCCATTATTTATTTTATGAAAGTTAGAATAATATACATTTTTCCTTTTCATTCTCGAGTGAATTTTTTCGATCATTTTCAGCACTTGTTGCAGTTTATATAGAGAATCTGTATAACACAGTATTTGTTGAAGTTTACATAGGATATTTGTATAATTAATAAATTGTACTGTCTTCATTATTAATTGATATGATTTCTTTGTTCGGGCTATAATTACTGTGTTAGGTGTTATCAAATTTGTCATGAACAACTGGACTCCTCATAAAGGTTCGGCTTTAAAACGTAGCCACGTCAGAATATTTCATATATCGGAGTAACTGCAACATCGCTAATTAGACGTCTCGCCATGCACAAAAGGGAAGGTTCTATAAAAACACACATAGAACACAAATAATATTGAAATTACAAGAGAAATCCTGGACAACACCAAAATAATCTACTGTAGTTCCAGCCATTCCCAACTGAAATTAACAGAAGCCATTCTCATCGACATAAAATAACTCCTGAAAAACAAATTTGAGATTTCAACATTACCCCCGACAAGAAGGATATTAATAAAATATAAAACGACTCCAATGATACCAATGAAGACACTGAAGAACGTAGCATCGACCAAAGTGCTATCAAAAAGCGAGTAAATGATACCAATAAAATTAGCGCAATAAAACATAAGACCGAAGTAATTAGCACAATAAAACATAACACCGTAGCAATAAAACAACACCGAAGCAATAAAACAAAGTAACCATATCAATTACTAAAGACAGTAAAATTAACTAAGTTTGTAATTACAAGAACCAAAACCTAAGTTATACAAATTCTCTACAACAAATACTGCGTTATAAAAATTCTTTTGAACAGAGACATGATCTCAATAATATATATCGAACATTATTGTTAGTAGCTAAATATTTTAAAATAGTTGAGCGAATTTTGCTTTCAATTACGCTTCCCGGTTCAGGAGATTTATAAACCTCACCGGCAGACCGTGTAGTTATCAGAAATTGTGCTGTAACCCTCAATGAGAGACCCAACAAACTAGCCATACAAAAATTAAAACAGGAGCATAAAATTAGTGTAAATATTATTCTTGTAAACTTTAGACGTCCTTTAAAATGTTAGGAAATAAATTTATAATTGACGGCAAAATAAATGCTGAAAACTTTTTTATACAAGACACAAACAAAAAAACAAATCTCATAGATAAGAGTTGATATCGATTGGAAAAAAATTACAAAGCATTTCAAATAAATGGATATGTAGTGCGTTGCTAAAATATCTGCTAAAAACATGGAATGGAATACAGCCTCAAAAAATGACCAGTTGAAATTGAATGTAAGATCTTTAAATTTTATTTTAATCTTACCGTGAAATTCGCAGTATTGTCCCCAGAATGGTATAACATCTGTAACTACATAGAAGAATGAATTGTCTATGTTAAACAAAGAAATTGAATAAGTTTACAAAAAGATGCGAAAGGCTAAGAGTAACACAAGTAATATTTGGACTAAAATTTTAATTCAGTCAGAAAATGTTTTTTTTCGCTAATATTTGTTACTGTTATACAACTGGAGTAATAAAATAATTGCAGATAAGGGGTCCAATTTAATCTTTCTGATCTGTTTTCTTTTTTCCATCTCCTCCGAAAGGTGGAAACCGTTTGCCTGAAAATAAATATTTGAGCAACTTTCTAACGTTTCATAAGATAAAAAAAGTCACAAAATCTACTTGGTGGCTGGTTAATCTTGCTTGTCAACCAAACAAATGGATCGATCAAAGACTGACGATTACTAACAGATATTTCCCAGAGTCTCACTGTTGATGAATTTTTGACTTTAGTTTGAATAAACTGCGGGTAAGAATGTATCATGAAGCTTGCAATCAAACCCACCTTTCTCAGTTTGCGCCCACCTATTTGCTACGCTAAAATCAACTTTTCTGGCATCTTTCAAATCACATTTATTTCCCAGAGCTATTATTACTGCCTGCCAATTCATTCAACAACAACAACAGCATATATCATCAAATTATTATCAATTATATCAAAATGTTTTTTAATATAATTATTACCTCTTTCTTTTCTTTATTTTTTTCTATAAATTTCTTCAGCTTATCCATGCAATGAAATGATAATTCATTGGTAACATCATATACAATTATGAAACCCTACAAAAGTCACAATTGTTATTATATAATGTATATCATTGATTTATTGTTGATTGGTTACATCAAAAAAACATAATATAATAAACATAACATAGAGCTGAACAAGGGTGAGGGGCAACATTTGACCTTGGTTAAAAACTAGAAATACTTGGTGACCAACCTTTTTATACTGGACAATTTTTTGTAAATTTTCTCATTTTAAACGATGTTTATATGTACAAAAAAGATATGGTTAACATCATAAATTTCAACATTAATTACAAAGATTAAAACTATCAGACTTCATTTATATTTCTTAACTAGCACTAATAATATATTTAACTAAGCAAACAAATTGTTGTTAACAAAAAAAAACAAATTTAGCTCAATGATGTTTCACACAAGTGCCTTATTCCACCAACTATACTTTACTGTTTTGTCTAGCAATAAGAGTAGTAGAAAAATGTCTTTTCCAAATCATCAACAAACATCTAACTGGCAAATCATCCACACGGCTTCCGTGTTCCGTCCGAGACATTAAAAACTCTGCTCTCACCATAATTACCCCAGACATCTTTAATGGCTTAAACCAGAAAAAACAAGACCACCGCACCATCCTCACTGCATTGGACCACACCAATGCATTTGATACAGTCAAACATCATCGAATGCTGATTTCCGATCTCCTCTCCTCTATACTTCTTAGATCAGTCGTTCATTGGATCTCCAACCACCTATATGGACGATCTGCCATAACCGAAACGACACCAGGCCACCAGACAGCGCATCATCCGAAAGTGTGTAACTCAAAGCTCAGTGTTGTCGCCATACCATTTCAACTACTATGTCTCCAAAACACCTGAACTGCCGCCCTACATTAAAATTGTTTCCTATGCTGATGACTTTTTTATTTGCACACCCCGACTAAATGCGGACATTCTAACTAAACTACCTGACCATGTTATATAAAATTTTTGACCATCAAAACCTGGAGATCTTAACCACAAAATTTACAGTAATCTTCTTCCCTACTGCAATCCTCAAATTAAAATCAAGAACCTGCTCCTACCTATGGAACAAAACCCAAAAATACTAGGCCTCAAATTTGACACAATGCTGAATTTCACCAAAAGTTGACAGCATCAAAGACGTCCAAACGCAACCTCTATAAAGACTCAATGGATGATGATGATGTTAATACAAAGTAAAGACATCTGAGTGAATAAAAACAAAATCATCTGAATCTATTTAATGACGTAATCACAGTGATTAGAAGACTGATATGATTTGGAGTTGTTCAGCAGCATTACTCTTTTTGGTCCAAATGGAATCAATCAATTTTCGTTTTGCGTCCAGAGACCCGGTTTCCCGAGGTAGGACGTTGTTTTCTTTGCCATCCAATTTTTGCGCCAAATTAGACGATCAGTTGTATCCATTTCATTTAAATTTAGAGCTTTCATGTCTTGCTCGATTGTTTGCGACCAGGACTTCTTTGGACAGCCTTTGGGACGTGTGCCAGATACTTCAACATCTGCAAGAGAAGTTATGGCACTGTTTCCACTTCGTTTGACATGACCAAACCACCGCAGACGGTGTTGCCGGCATTCGTACTTTATATCATCTAAACCAGCACGACGCAGGATTTCGGTAGATTTGATGTGGTCCTTCAGACTAATTCGTTGCATCCATCGGAGCATTTTCATGTCGGTTCGGTGAAGTTGTTGTTCCAGTTTGGTTGTCATTGGCCATGTTTCTGCACCATATAACAACACCGGACGTATCACAGATTTATATAGTCTTGATCGTAGTGGTAGTGGGATGTCACGCCGCATCAATATAGAGGCAAGGAGATGCTATTTATTCCAGGCTGCACGTATGCGTGCTCAAACGGCAGCTTCAGCTGTTCCAGTACAATCCAGAACATCCCCTAGATATTGAAACGATGTGACTTTCTCTACCTTAATGGCTTCAAAAACAGTGCTATTTCGAATTTGTTATTGTGGATTGATAAAAGCAGGACAAACAAAATTGGACACTTTAGATAAATTACCAATTATTTTTGAACAACGTTTGTGACACCACTGGTTACACTGCTGACACTTGATTGTATTGTTATCTCCACCAGCTTTACAAACTGAACAGGGCCATCGTCCAGTAGCTGTGGATTGGATGGGTTCACCAGTGTTCATTGCTTTGGTTTTGCTGATGTTGACTTTGAATCCATGATCGGCGAGTCTAGTGTTCCAATCTTCAAACATCTGTGCTGCATTCTGCTCAGACGTGGCTGTTAAAACGATATCATCAGCATATATTAGATTCCAAATGTCAGCAGTGCGTATCGGTTTTGTGATTTCTTCCATCACAGTTATAAATAACAGTGGACTGAGAATCGAGCCTTGGTGAACTCAAACGACGATGTCAAATGCATCAGTGTTTCCAACCGTTGTGCTGACAAGTCTTAGTATTCGTATACATTTCTATCACAAGTCGAACAAGATATTCTGGAACGAATTGTCGACGTAGACTCCACCTAATTGCTTCACGGGGAACTCGATCAAATGCTTTTTCAAGGTCTACAAAAATCTGTGATAGTTGTTGATGCTTTGCGAGGTACTTCTCTTGCAGTTGCCGAAGGATGTGAATTGCATCAATTGTTGATTTCCCCGATAGAAAACCAAATTGATAATTTCCGATTGTGATGCACGACGTTAATCTTCTCTCAATGATTTTTTCGACAATTTTCAGGGAGTGTTCTAACAGACGTATACCCCGATATGATGAACAGTTCAATGGATCACCTTTGCCTTTGTATAGCGGGACTGTCATGCTATAGTTCCATTCAATCGGCATTGAGCAATTTCTCCAGATTTCACGGCAAAGTTGTAGTAACGTTTGGATACCTGCAGTACCAGATGCTTTGATTATGTCATTTGTGAGTCCAGAGGGCCCTGCGATGGGTGGAGCGTCAAAGTTAACATTGATGGGATTTGACAGACGATTGAAGTATTCTCTCCACTGTAGCTTGATCTCATCTTGTTCAAGAACCATCTCATTTTTGTCGTTTTTGATACATAAGGCACCAACTATGTCTTTTTTCGTACGCTTTGCTTGTTTTGCTATACGATACAGAGATTTCATTTGTTCACCTTTGCTTTTAGTGAGCCACTCTCTGCACTGATCTGTCCGTGCCAGTGCAACTTGACGTCTTGTATAGTTGTTCTTCTCACGGAAAATTTTATGGTCATCTACAGACTTTGATTTTTGCCATTGCTTGTATGCAACTTTCTTTTCAGCTATTGCATTTTGTACACTGTCATTCCACCACCAAGTGTCACTTTCATGCTAACGTTTTGTACCAGTTTTCCCACAAACTGTAGTTGCAGCGTTCATTAAAACGGTTTTGTATGTACTCCAATCTGTACTGGCTTGCGATTGGTGGTCTAACTGTGTGGCGACAATCTGTTGAAATTTTTCTTGATGAATATTGATTTTCAGCTTCCACGTTTTGATTCTCCGAGGCATTTGTTTAGACTTATGTTTTGACAGTTCGACAACCAGGTCTGCCACAAGGAGTCTATGTTGGGCGACACATGATTCGCCAGGTATAACTTTGACGTTTTTGAACAGCCTTCGGTGTGGTTGCTTGACAACGAAGAAATCAATTTGCGTGGCTGATGGTCCCCTTTTGTATGTTATGAGATGTTCCAACCTCTTTCTAAAATATGTGTTCAGTAAACAAAACCCGTGACTTTCAGCAAACTCAAGGATGCGGTTGCCATCTTCATTCCGTTTTCCATAGCCAAAACCACCATGTACGTTGTCAAAACCATCTGTTTTCTCTCCAACGTGGCCATTGAGATCGCCTCCAATCAGGATTGTTTCAGATTTTGGTATTGTTGAGATGGTGTCCGAGAATGCAGTCCAGAAGTCATTTTTCATCTCTTCTGATTCGCCTGTCTGTGGTGCGTATGCAGAAAAAATAATCATTGTTTGCTTTTCTATGCGAAGCTTGATCCACATGAGACGTGAATTAATCCTTTTAATATCCAGTACTTCTTGGGCTAGCGGTTCTCTGACAAAAATTCCAACACCATTTTTGGCCGTCTTTTGACCATTCCAGAATAGTTTATATTTTTCTTTGTCTGAGTTGACATGACAGACACCATTCGATCTCCATCAGGTTTCCTGAAGGCAGCAGATGTCAATCCTTCCACGCTCGAGCATTTCTGAGATTTCCATGCTGCAGCCAGTCAGTGATCCAACATTGAGCGTTCCAAGTCTAAGTACCATAGAGGGTTCATTCTGACTGTAAAGTTTTAAAGTTGGAGCATCTACAAAAGAAATACCAAATGTAGAATGTATAAAGATAAATTACATCACATCAATAAAAACAATACTGAAAACATAAAATTGCTGTCTTTCCAAAAAAAATTATCTTTTGCAACAAAAATAAGAAAAAAGTAAAAAAAACAAACCAACATCAGCATAAGAAAGATAATGTTTTGCCAACTCCGGTCTTGAATGATCCTGGAAAAAAGTTTTGCTAACAAAATATATTTATGATTTCCTAAAATTGAAGATTATGAAAAATTGTTTGAACTAACTAGACCAGCTGTGTCATAGAAATGTACTTTTTCTTTTTGATTTTTATCTGTATCTATTTGAGCAACATAGATATCTTCTATTGTCGAAAACATTGACTAAATTTATAAAAAAAATAATTAACAAAATTGTGTAAACAACTAAATATGAAAACGGAATTATAAAAGTCAAAGGTAATAAATAATGTAATATGCTTGGTGCAAAAAAAAACAAATGTCACTATTACGTCTTTAAAAATATGCATGTCAGGGTGATTCTAAAATTAGGAGCTTTCAACATTAGAGTTTTTTTTTATGTAAAAACAATTAGATGGGATTTGTTTGAATTCGTAAGTTAAGGATAAGTAAGAATTTGAAGTTATTTATAGAAAAGCTAAAAAATTAGTTTTTTTTTATACTCCATGAAATCTAAAAGTTATATAGCATTAGCAATGAATTTCAAATTCAAAGCATGACTAATTAAAATTGCTAAACTGCAAATAACAAAATTTCACTTTTCTGCCCAGTTTAATACTATTATAACTCATAAAATTTTACAACTTTTACATTTTCATAATTTATTAACAAAAATTTATTCATTTTTTAAAAATTATTAATTTTAATTATTTTTTAACTGATTTATTTGATGTATTTGCATAATATTTAAGCATATACAGTATCTTTTTTGGTGTAAGTATATGCAAACTGAAATGAGCTTTACAGCTTTAAAGGCATCCCCCTGCATCTACGTAAGTGCTTGTAAAAATTCTTTTTATTTATTTATGCAGTAGACTCAAGTGTACTTTCTGTATCTATACTTTAGAGTAATAACAATTTTAAAATTATTTTAAAAGCAATGAAATATTTATATATTTTATGTTAAATCAATATCATAAATCATGTCCAGCAGTGTTTCTTTATAGGTTTAGATAGAATGATAAACAAACCAAGCAGAACAATTTGGAAATCTGTGTTTGACAGTTATTGCCCTGATATATAGCGTGCAGGGCAAAGTAAAGGTTGTGATGGAAAGTCTGTAGCTGCCAAAGATCAGTAGTATAGATCTGAGTTTTCTCAATCAGTCAGAACTGATGAGACCAATTGCACAAGCTCTTAAAATCTTAACAAGCTTCAAGAAAATGTTTTTGTGGAGTCTTACTTTGGGCTTGTTTTGTAGACTATATTTTTAGTCAGTGTTGGTATAATTGCTAACATGCCTGGCACTGCAATTGCAGCGAATGGGCTCAAATGGAATGGGATCCAAAGGTAAAGTATGTGATGAATTGATTCACATGTATATGCATACACTATGCGCTTGTTGTTGGTAACTCTGAGCAATACTTAAAAGAGAATTATAAAAAATGTAAATAAATAAATTCAAATAAAAATGTAAATGAATTTATCTTGTAAATGAATACATAACGTTTTAATTTAATTTTTTTTTTAGAAAATCAAAATCTGACAAATGCACAAACTGTTGGAGCATGCAAGGCAATAGTATAAAATGATAGCAAAAAATAAATAACGGAGAAAAATATGGAAAATAAAATAAAGTAACAGTTTAAAAAGACAAACAAATAAAAGAATTAATTAATAGACTAGTTAATAACTTAAGTAATCGATAAGAAAAAAGAATAGACCAAATTTAGTAAATGACAATTTAACTTGAATATGGCATTTACTTACATTACACATCTTACAGACTCAAATATGAATATGTACATGTGTGTACACAAGACATAAAATAAACTACATTAAAATTTACCATTACATTATTACATGAATACATTAATTTAATTTTATATTATAATAATTCTATATACCATAAAAAAATTACAATACCTTTATACAACAAAAAACCTTAAGTTCAAGACTTAAAGTTTAACTTAGACAGATAATTATAGTAAGAAAGTGATCAAGAAAATGAAACTTTGGTTCTAAAATTACTAAGAAATAAAACTTTATTATTATTTTATATGTTTTTGTTTATTAGTTTATTTTATTTTATAAGCTTTATTATTTACTTTTTTACATGTTGAGCATTTTTCAGTTCATCTGGTTTATGTATTTATAAATTTATATATATTATATATCTTATATTATATATATATATGTATGTATATATAAATAAATTTTAATAATTTTTCCTATATTATTGTGAAAGTTGAAAATCGACCAATATAAAATAAAATAAACTTACTGAGCCAACAACATGATCACCATTTATCAGCTGTTCAAGTACAGCAGTTTTGCCAACGCCTGCCTGCCCACAAATGACTACTTTTGATATTTTACCCATGCAACCAGTGACCAATCAATTTAATATTAATTTGATTAATGTATGTATCTTATACTTATATAATATTATAATACAAATAAATTATATATATTTAATATTATATATATATATAGTCCATGAAATATACATTATTTTATAAGACCAGGTATATGTCATGATAAAAACTAAAAAGGACAAACTACTACTATAGTAGTCTTTTATTGTTTATTATTCTTTTACTTTTAATTTAAGTTTTATTTTTTTTATTAATAAATAATTAAAAGAATAAGATTTAAATTAAAATTTAGTTATTATCCGTCTTCTTGTCGTTATCTCTAGTAAATTTCTTTCTTATTTGGCTTGTAGGACTCAAACTTAACTCAAAATTTTTGTATTTTCAAAAGCTGTTTATGTTTAACTTCTATCTTTCATTTACGTTTCGCTGACCAAAACTCCAAAAAAAGACGATTCATGACTTGGTCACAATAGCCGACCTATATTACTATCAACAAAAAGATCATGAAAAAGAGAGGCGCATCGCGCAACCATAGAATTTTAGACTGAAATCGCCCTATCATGTCTCTCATTATTTGCATCATTTTACTGGAAACAAATAGCAATGACATTATGTGTTTTTTAGTGGCGGAGCTAAGGGCGATCAATGCTTTTTTGGAATTGATCAAAGGTTTTATTTTGTTTCAATGAACTTCAAACCAATCAGGATGTTTCCTCCTTCCGTAGGCAGCAATGGCGGAGCTTTAGACGGCACCGCGAAGACGTTACCAACTCAAATCCACTATATCATTAATCATCACTAACCCCTTGAAAGCGTTCTCTAAATTTCTGATAAACTACTGGGTTTTTGAGATTGTTGATACAACTGGTATTATTGCGTGGGCGTTTCTTCCTTTTAGAATGAGGCAATTTTTCTGACTTTAGACGCACCCTGATAACAACCAAAACATGATACGTATCACAGTCTGCACTGTGGTAACTGCAGGTAAGTAACATACAACTAACATCTGCTCTTCTGGTGAGGACAAGGTCCAGCTGATGCCAGTTGCGAAAGCGTGGGTGCTTTCATAACATCTGATGAATTTCCTTGCACTTCAAAAAATGTGTTTGTCACGCACAGTTTGTGATTATCTAAAATCTACCGCAGTCTTATTTATGTCTCCGGCCCCAAAGTTCCAAGACAGGCCGACCAGGCATCCCGATTTACACCCAACCTTGCATTGAAATCCCCAAAAAATAAAGGCTTTCATTTTGAAATATTCTTTAAAACACTCTATCCAAATCTTATTAAAATTGACACTTTTTTCAAAAGCAAAGTAGAAAATTTGAGCGTATGCAGTTATGCACTGAGAACATTAACTGTGCCAGATTACGTCGACAGCGGAATAATAAGCAGCATTTCCGAGCTTTTAACAGGCGACTGAGTAGAACCAAGCAGCGTATTTCTTACAGCAAAACCAACACCGTACTGCCTAGGTTGATTCAGTGACATTTCTTGCTAATAGAATGTTTAATTGGCCTCATTGATAACACTACTGTTTGCAAGCCTAGTCTCCTGTAGAGCGACAATATCGACATTAAAACACAAAAGGATTTTGTTGATAACGGAAGTTTTTCTTACATCATCCATCATCTGTATTTACCAATTTTTGTCACTGCTCTTTGGTCCGAATAGTGGTATTTTATAACTCAACTCAACTTTTATAACTTTTTTAAAACTTTTCCTGAGAATTCTGACGATGAGAGCAGGAAGCAAAATCAGATCTGAAATTTCAAATGTCCAGTGTGGTTTTGTAAAGGATTGTGGCACAAGAATTGCTATCTTCATGCTACGAATGGTCAGTGAACGAGCGATTTAAAAGAAGAAAGACTTTTTTTTTATTATTCTTTAAAAATCAGGATCTGACGGACGCAGAAACTGTAACAACATGCAAGGCAGTGAAACAAAATTAAACAAATAAGTGAGAAAATAAATACAAAAAGTGAGGAAGAGAAATGATAAAACATGAAAAATAAAATATGTTAGAATAAAATAAATAATAATAACACAAATAAAAGAAAAGTAATTTACGATGAAATATAAAATGAAGTAACGGCAAATTGATAGACTAGATGATGATTTAGTGGGTTAGTGAGGTGATCGATAGATAAAGGCTAGGCCTGTGTGTGAAAAATTTAATGAGTATTAATATATTTGGTGACTTATTAATAGACTAAATGATGACTTAGTGAGTTAATGAAGTGATCGATAAAGTGAGGTGATCAATAAGTAAAAACTAGTTCAGTAATGATGAATTTCTTAAGTGCTAATAATATGTTTGAGGTGTCTTGTAATGAAGGTCTTTTCCTGGTATGTAGATTGGGCGACGACTTGATATTTATGTTTGCGCTGACGAAGGTTGTGTGTTGTAGTTTTGATTGGTGGTAGTAGAGGATGGATGACGTGGTTGTTGTTATTTTCTATTTTCTTGAACAGCCTTAATATATATATATATATATATATATATATGTATTAATGTACATATATATATATGTATATATGTATAAATGTACATATGTATTAATGTACATAATGTATATATGTACAGCCTTAATACATATATATATATATATGTATATATATATATATATATATATATTAAAGTTGTTTAGAAAAGACACAACATTTTTAGCGTTGCTTAATTTTTTATTTAATTTTTCAATCTTTTTCACGATAGAAGATCATCGTAAGAAAGTTTGAAAAATTAAATAGATATCGTAAGAAAGATTGAAAAATTGCACAGGAAATGAAGCTACGCTGAAAATGCTGTGACTCTCCTAAACAACCGTATATCTGATAGTCTGAATCCTAAATATATATGTTAGTTAGTGAATGGTGGTAATGATAACTGTTTATATATAAATATATATGTATATATATGTATATATAAAAATATATGTAAATATATATGTTTATATATATTTATTTATGTGTTGGTAATAGACCATAATTTTTACAATATTCTATAAATTCTACCGAATGTTTGGCGTTAATATGTTTGTAGTTCGTTTTTGCGATTTTTCTCACGATTTATTTATGTATAAACAGTTATCATACAATTTATTTATATACAAGTGTATATAAACGTGTTAATATTTGTATATAAATAAATATATTTATATATATAAATATTTATTTTTATTTATATATTTTCAAGTATATGCGTGCACGCCTACAGCAGTTCCTGTAAGAAGTTTCAGTTCAGTTAATCATCATCGCCTTTATTTTTTTCCATTTCGCTCGTTGTTGTGGTGGCGTGTGGATCTTCAACGTTGCCATTTTAAGTTCTATATACTTTCAAAAAGTTAGTAAATACGGTTTTTGTTCTTTTTATCATGCTAGTGTTCTCTTTTGAAATTTAAATTTTTTAAACCTGTACGCATTTGCATGCATCTTTATGTGTGGCTAGTAATAGTTACTAGTAGAGACGTTTTGGTTTTATTTATTTATAAAATTGAAATATAAAATAAATAAATAAATAATAATAATAATAAATAGATTTAACTTTATTTTAAAAGTTATTAACTTATTAACTAACAACCTGCCAACAATAATAATTTATTTATGAATATCGTAATTAATTAAATGAATTAATTAAAATAAAATAATCATAACTACATGATATAATCATATAATATTATAATCATAATAAATAATGGCTTGATGTCTTGTGTGATTGAGATTGAATTGAATATTCATTACTGATTAACATGCTGTTTTCAGTTTTTTGGTTAGAGGCTTAGTTTTTTAGTTTAGAGCTTAGAGACTTCTTAGAGAGCAAAACTAGAGATTCACTCTGGATTTTAGTTAGATATATACATATTTAAATATATTCCCTTTGGAATGTTTAATGTATCATTGTCCACTTTAAAATTAATTAAATTTAATAATTAATTAAATGGTCAAAAAACAGTGGTTCTGATTTTAAAATTATTTAATTATTGAAATTGAAAAGTAAGTTCTTTTGTAATTTAAATTTTAAAAACTACTAAAAACATTTAAACCAGGTGTTTTAATGGTCAGGCTTTTTTCATTGTTATAATTTAAATTTATTGTTTAACTTTTCATGTTATTTTTTAATATATTATTATTTATTGTTTTAACTTAATTATAGCAATAATTAATCTTTCATGTCTTGACCCCCATTTTTGCCTCTGTTGTTAGAGACAGGGTAGATCCTAACTACTGATATAAACGAAACTGTTCATTCTCAAAAAATATTGAAAAACTGTTAACATTTGTAAAAGTTGTGTGGATTTCCAATTTTTTGTTTTTTCTGTTTAAAATTTTTTTTTAATACTTTTATCATTATGTTTTAAATTCTGTGATATAATTTTTTTATATTTTAGATTTCTCAAGTAACTGAACAGCCAAACAAGTACAATGCAGGTTTGTATTATATTCAATAAACACTAATCAGTTACTCATTGAACTAATCAGGGTCAAACCGAGCTGTATCAGTTATATTGTATCCTCTAAAATTTTTTTCTATCATGTACAACAGCATGGGAAACAGATCATAACTTCCATTTTTACCTCTGTCATTTCTTCAGCACACATTTATGTATGCATGTACACATTAAAATATACAATACAAATTTTATTGTTATAGAATTTCTAATTTTAATTTATATTTATATGACATCGCACATGAACTATAACTTCCTTTATATAGTCATTCATTACCCCATTCATTACATATATATTTCTTCACCTTCATCTTTTTAATCTCCTACCTTTGTCACACAATGTCTTACTCTTTTTTAAACAACAACCTACAAGAAATTTGATTTTCAGTTGTACATAAAATCTCCTTTATTCAATATTAAATCATCCACACTCACTATATCAACTTCTGTTAAATCATTCCTCTCATAAAACACTCTATTAATAAATCATCATTTTCAGCATACAAATTTACCCTTACTCACAATAAGTTTTTTGTCATTCGGTAGTAAATCTATATATGGTACCTTTGCTACATCATTTCCATACAATACTAAGACATATCTTTAATATAAATACTTGTAGTTGAGTTTCTCAATTTTTCTAACGAGACTTTTATCACCTTGATGAAGTCTATTAAGGTTAAATAAAAAATTTTTAATATTTGACATTTTTGACAAAACATTATTAATAACGTTATTACTAAAGAAAAGCTCTTTTTGGCATCAACTGCCATCATCAGTGTAGTTATATAGCATTGTTCCGTCTTTGTGTCTTTGTTTTTACAGAGACTTTTATTGTAACTTAATTAGAATTCAAGTGTTTTTTTGTTGGAAGAATATTGGTATTATTTAGTTGAATATTTATTGCTGGTTTACGTTTATCAACGAAAATTGGTTCTGCTATCTTCAATTTGAAGTATTCTCTGTTGTAATAAATTGCTTTGGTGTTATTGTCTAAAATTTCCCTTGTTATAATAGTTTTGTGTTGTTTCATTAGGTGGTCTTTTATTGCTCCATGCTGCTTATGAATAGTGAGTCTTCTTGTTAATGTTGTTGTAGTCATTCCGATGTATTCAGAATTTTGATGCACGCACTCACCAATTTTACATGTAAATGAATAAATCAAATGACTACTTTTCTTATCCGAGGAAGGTTTAATGTTGGAATTGTTTTTTATTATTAGAGATGATGTTTTCCTGTTCGTGCAGTAAATTCTTAATTTTAATGAGCTGTTTGTATCTATGACTTTAACATTGTTATTTATTATCTTTTTCATTATTGTCGTTTGTATTTTCATTGTTAAGTTGTTGTTCTTCGCGGTGAATTATTTTCTTTACTTATGATAGTTTGTATCCATTATTAATTAGGAGATTGGTTACTCGTTGGAGTTCTTTTTCTCTATCTTCAGCTTTTGATGAGTGAGTATACAGTACACCCTGTTGATGAAGGCACTGATCGTACTGGTTAGGAATGTTTCAGTGCACTCACTAATCCCATTGAGACAGAGTCCTTTGTTCGTTGGTTTTGTGTAGACTGTAGTTGTGAATTTATTTTCTTCTTTGTTTGTAAGCATGTCTAAGAATGGTAATTTATTATCAATTGATTTTTCTGTAGTAAATTTCAAATTGTATATTTCCAGTAGTTATATTGAGGTTGTTGTAGGCAACAAATATATCATCGATAATATAAATAATAAATATCACAGGGCCCAACAAACTAAAGATTCTAATCATCAGATATTTAATAATGAGTACAAATATTTTGTAATTTTTATTCTAAAATAATCCTCAGAAATAGTGTTGATGCCTGATTGTCTTTCTTTATAATATACATCCAGCTGTTAAAATGTTTAATTTTAGATGTTAAATAGTTTTTAAGTTTTAATCTTCATAATGATCTTTTTGAAAAAAACCTACTTATTGAGTAATTAAATGTTCAATATAGAAAATGCTGTACGTCTGTGGTTTTTGGATACAAATTAATTTGATTCCAAGTGAAAGAAATTGTTTCAGAACATTTATTTTTTCAGCTAGCATTTAATTGTCTCTTCCATTAATGCTAAAACTTAAAAAGAAGCCAAAGATAATTTTTAGCACTAATTTCATTTAACTTTTAAACCATTTTTAAATGCTAAGAATCTTGTGTGTAATGCACTTTCATATGTAACGCTCCTGACTTATTTTATTTATCAAAAGATGGTTGGGCTTGTGTTTAACATGCATCCAGAAATCTCATCCAACTAAAATAGCAGCTAAAATAAGAGATGTAAATTCTAGAACAAGATGTTGCTTTATGTACATGTACACTGATTGTCTTTTATAATTAATCAACTAATCACAACCCTTTCATTAAAAGGTTTATCAATATTAAAAATGACTCTCAAAACTTGCTAATAATAAGTCTGTTTTATCAAAGTTATTATATTATTGAACTTTTTTGCATAATACTGTTATTATTCTAATGCACTTGCTATGTTAGTTCACTAACTCAAAAATCTACATTATTTCCAACATGTCTTATATCCACTAAGCATGGCTTGGCCTTGCATGGCTTCTTTTGATCCTTTTCCACCTTTTATTATCCTCTGTTAACATACTTATGCCAATTTTATTTGATATCTTTACTTTCTTCTGAGATTTCTCTTTAGTCACTCAACAAAGATCAATGCATCTTTTGATAGCTGCATGCAAAGATTATGGATAAAAGCTTTTAAACATGATGAGATGGGTCTATAGAATAAAGAAAAAATTTGGTTATTGAAAATATCTACATATTCTATTAATTATTTTTTGCTTTATGTTAAAGATATAATTTTAATATCATAATTATTTGTTAAGGATCCTAATATGGACACACAATGGAATGATGTTCTTAGAGAGAAAGGAATTATTCCACCTAAAAAGGATGTTGAAATGACAGAAGAAGATATAGTCAACATGGTTGAAAACACAATACAGCAAAAAAGTCAAAGTAAATAAAATTGAATTTGAAATTAAATGAATTTTTTGTAGTTTTTGTTCTACCTGTTTAACTGCTTCTTACAGAGAAAGGCTACAGTGATATGAATATAGATGAACTAAATGAAAATGAAGATGACATTGATGAAGATGATGAAAGAATGTTTGAAGAGTATAGGTACTCCAAAAAATAATCATTGAAGTTTTATTTCTGAAAAATTTTTGTGATAGATGGTTTTGCTTTGTAGAAATTGATTTTGTTGTTTCTGTTGAATGATATTCAGACGACAAAGACTTGCTGAATTAAAAGCTACACAAAAGAAGGCAATTTTTGGTGATGTTCGAGAAATCAGTCGTGATGAATATGTTGACCAGGTAAATAAGGCCGGAGAAAATATATGGGTTGTTCTTCTTGTTTATAAACAATCGTTAGTCCATTTTCATGTTCAGTTTGTATTTTTTGAAGTTGTTTGGTTTACTGGAAATTAAATTTTAATGATTTTCGTTTAACCCTCAAATGGTACTTGATAAAAAGTTACGTTCCCGGTTCGTGGGGTGCATTTTTATTTTTTCTAAAATATATTTATAGAAAGCATGTATTATAGCATTTTATATGCAGTGAAATAAGGCACTAAACTGGGTTACGGTGGTACGGAGAAACATCGATATAAGATACTTATATTAAATTCATTAAAATCATAGTTATATACTCGATATAAGTATGATTTTAATTCTAGCATCAATGTAATCAAATGTCGTAACAATCCGCATGCACATGCCGTTCAGTGTTTCTTCAAATTATATATTTAAATAGGATTAAAAAACACTGTTCACACAGTATTTTTGAGCTGTTCATAGAATATGCTGAACAAGCGGGCCTAGAGCACATGTCAAAGAAGTTTCGTACTTTCCTTTTCGAGCACAGATGACAATGTTCCTTTATCATCTTCATTTATTTTGCCTTTTTTTTCACTTTCTCTTTATGCAATATTTGGCTTTAGAAATTGGTTTTAATAATCTATGATTGGTTTCATAACCTGAATAGAATTGTCCAAACGTTTCCTAATTTATGACTCGCAAAACATTTCCCATGAATAGGCGAGATATACAGCTTCAGATTATTTGTTCCAATCAGAGTTATTGCATATGCAGATCATGAAACAGCAATGAAAGCTTGTCAAGCATGTTCAAAAACAAAGCCATCGGCCGTCAGTTGATCTTCTCTTTATAAGACTAGATTGAACACAAATGACCTGTTATCGACGCCATTTTCAGTAGAGTTATAAAGAAGGACCATCTCCGGTTTATCAACAGATTTGTCATAATGCATTGCATTGTGTACTAAAGTACTAAACTATTTTGGGTACATATAATACCAAAGTTTTGTTACAAAGTAAAATTCGCATCACGTATATTTGTGTATTAATATTTAATATTTATTTAATGGATCTCGTGGCCGAGTAGTTTGCATGTCCGTCTACTAATCCCATGACCCGGGTTCGAGTCTTGCACACAAGTTCATCCTTCCGAGGTCGAACATTTTTCACATCCAGACACCCATCCTGACGACAACCACCAGTTATAAGCGGTGAGTCAAACATCTCAATAGCTATCACATATCAATCAATCAATCTTTGTTTAGCGTCCAGAGACCCAGTTCTCCCGGGGTAGGACGTTAATTCTTTTAATATCCAGTACTTCTTGAGCTAGCGGTTCTTTGACAAAAATTCCAACACCATTTTTGGCCGTCTTTTGACCATTCCAGAATAGTTTATATTTTTATTTGTCTGAATTGATATGACAGACACCATTCGATTTCCATCGGGTCTCCTGAAGGCAGCAGATGTCAATCCTACCTTCGAGCATTTCTGCGATTTCCATGCTGCGGCCAGTCAGTGATCCAACATTGAGCGTTCCAAGTCTATGTACCATAGAGGGGCCATACTGAATTTTTCTGCAACATCCCTCCGCTATTTCATACTTCCCAGGGATTCTTAACATTCCTTGATCACTTAAGGCCTGCTGGGGACTAGGGGCCGTTGTTTTTGTTTGTGATGGCATGGAATAAATTTTGGGGAAATTTTTCACATCCAGACACCCATCCTGACGACAACCACCAGTTATAAGCGGTGGGCCTAAACTTTTGCTCAAAAGCACGCAAGGCAGCGTGGATGCAGTTTTATGTCATGCCCAGGACTTAATGGCTATCATATATTCAGTGTATATGAATCGGTGCTTGCGGATGCACATACATGTGTACGTCGTGTGAAAAGGATAAACAGCCTTTGTGGCGAAGATGGCTGCTTCAAATCAATGAATGAGTGAAGGTATGAAGAACGTAATAAAAGATTTTTAGATAATATATGTAATATTGTAAGTGGTTCTGCGTATGTCAGAGGTGCAATAATAAAGACTAAAAAAATTTATTTAATAATTTATTTAATAAAAAGTAATTAATGTCGAATTATTATTATTAATGTTAATTGTGTATCATATTGAAATTTTAAGTAACGCTCGTCTGGGGTGCAAAATGCAACTCCAAAGAAAATATTCCGGTAAAAATTGACGTTGATATTTTTTTACAATTTTATGCGTAAAATTATGACACAATGATATTCTACACGCTTTAGAGCATGGCTACTACTTTGTTATTAACAAAAGTTAATAACAAAGTAGTAGTAGCCATGGAGTGCATTGGGGTGCAGATGGCACTCCATTTCAAGTTCCTCTGACTGTTTATAACAGTACTCTATGAAATACTGATCAATAATTCGAACTTACTATTCTTTGTAGCATACTGAAAAAGAATTTTTGTGGAAATCACAAATGGCAAGTTTTGAATTAAGTGCATCCTTTCAATGCAACTGAATGTAGAGTAGACATTATTGTCATCAATTACGTTTTTTGGATAGGTTGAAATAACTGATATGAACATTTGTCTATTTTGATGTTTTAAAGTTACCGGATTCTGAAAGGTTGAATTGTTTTTAGTAGATATGATATTAAAGATGAAGGAACCCGGAATGAAAGATGGCTGAGATTTATAGAAAATAGAAACACGGTTTTAGGCTGTTGTCCTCTACACCACCATTTATTAATATTTATTCGCATTTTTTTTCACCATATATAAAGTTTTTTCTACTCACAGCTTCTTTATAGTGCTTACATTTTAGGAAAGAGTTATCAAGGACTGAGATGAACAAAATGTAGAATACCCTACATCAGACGGTTTATGGTTGATAGTTAAAACAGACAAAAACAGACAATTATTTCATTTTATTTCCAAGCATTTACGTTTATGAAAAAGCCAAATAAGAAGACTTAGAAACTTGAAAAAAAGAAATGGGTACACATTAGAATGGAATTATTGAAAATTTTGAAACATTATTATAGCCTTACAGTTTTGTATTTCGTTTTTACATTTTTAGGGAATTGGCTGCTACTTTCATGTTATTCATGAATTCATAAGCTGATGATTTTACTTATTTTGAAAACTCATTAATTATTTTTCATTTGAAAGGATACCATTATGCAAATTAATAGAGCAGTACTTTCATGAACTTTCTCGCAAATTCCCCGCTACTAAGTTTTTAAAAAGTATCTCAAGTGTCTGCATACCGAACTATCCTGACAAAAATCTGCCAACGATATTTATTTATCAAAATGGGGAGCTGAAACAACAATTTGTTGGACCTCTTGTTTTTGGTGGCATGAAATTAACAAAAGATGGTAAACTTAATTGTTCTAAAAATTCTTATTAAAATAATTTCCGTGCCCTCATTTCGTACATAAATTTTCAGAATTGGAATGGATGCTGTCTGACGCTGGTGCCATAAAAACTGATCTCGAAGAACGGCCAAGAAAGGAAACACATGATGTTTTGACATCCTCGCTAAAGTCTACAAATTATGACGACGATGACGATGATTAACTAATATCTTTGAAATTATATTATTAAAGTTGCTGCATTCTGTTGGATATTTATTACAGGATTCTCTTTGTTTATAAAGTGTTCTGCAATTTTAAGTTGAAACGGATTCCCGTTGCAATACACTATCTTTGTGTTATTGTTGATTACCTACGTTAAAACCATTTATGTAGAATAAAGCCGAATTTTTGTAGGTTAAAACCATGGTTAAAACCGAATATGGTTATTGGCATGTTTGTTCTATACATATGGTTTAAGCAAAGGGCGGCGTATCAGATGGATTTCCGTGGGCTTGAGAAACATACATAATATGCTAAAGATCCCTCAACAGCACATGTTCTCTCTAGTGACAATAGTAATCTTACTCTTCTTCTTGCTCTTGACTTTACCTCGGCTTTTGATACTGTTGACCATACTATTCTCTTGAGACTGCTGCATCTTTTTTTTAATATTACTGATTCTTGTCTATCTTGGTTTTCTTCTTATCTCTGTAATCGTTTTTCTTCTGTTGTTCTCAATAATTCTACTTCGAACTCCTCTACTCTTACTTTCGGGGTACCTCAGGGTTCTATCCTTGGCCCTCTTCTATTTATACTCTATATTTCTGAACTACCTCGTATTATTAATAACTTTTCTTTCTCTAGTCAACTATATGCTGATGATTATTACATTTATACTTCTTTTCCTCCATCTAATCTCAATAGTGTTCTTCATAATTTATCTCTATGTCTTTCTTCAATTATCGCTTGGTTTGACTCTATGTGTCTTAAACTTAATTCTTCTAAGTTTGAATTAATTTGTTTTAATAAATCTAAACACTCTATTACTATTCCTCATATTATCTTACCTGATTCTAAAACTCTTGATGTCTCTCATAAGTTTCGTAGTCTAGGTTTTATCTTTGATTCTACTATGTCTCTCTTCTCAGATTAATAGTGTTGCTAGAAGCTCTTACTTTCATCTACGTAGAATAAAAAAACTTTTGACTTTTCTCGATGATCCTACTCTTCTCCTTCTTGTTACTTCGTTAGTCTTATCTAGGATTGATTATTGTAACTCGCTCTGCTGCTCGTCTAGTTGCTCGTACCCCTTTCTTTTCTCATATATCTCCATATCTTGTTCTCTTGCACTGGCTACCTATAAAATATAGAATAATTTTTAAAATTTGCACGTTCATGTATAAGTCTCAATCTAAATTATTTCCTAAGTATTTATCAGATATATTAATTGAACCTAAACGCCCTGGTTTACGATCGTCTTCTTCTCGCTTTTTCTTAACTCGTGTTAAACACTCTTTTGCCAAATCTGCTTTTGCTTTTTCTTTGGAAAAAAATATGCTAGCTGCTCACATGCTAATGACACTTTAGCGCAATATGCAAATGACCATTCAAAGTGCTTTTTTTATAACTCAATACAACAAAAACAACACGTTTAGACGAAATTTTCCCCTAGATCGGGGGTTGCCGTTTGGCTAGCTATGATGAAACCGAAATACTCCACGACGCCATTCACATCTGTCACTCGCCTCAGTATCACGCAACCCCGCTTTCACTATGTCCTCCACCTGCTCTCTCTATCCCAATCACGGACGACTCCTTCCTATCACTCTTTCAACCTCGAACTCCAACGCTCGCCTAATCCCAACCCTTTCATTCCTTCTCAACACATGTCCATACCACAGCAATCTCAATCTCCTTATCAATGTCACAATGTCCTCATTCAGTCCCATCATCGACATCAGCTCTGTACTACTCCTCCTATCCTTCACTTTAACCCCACACATCATCCTCACCATAGCTCTTTCAGCCCTCTGCAGTACACTTTCCTCCTCTCTCCTCAACACCCAAGCTTTATATACCGTCCCTTTCATCTTCACTGACTATTTCTTTCCACATAATACCCCACCAAGTTCCCTAAATTTTATCAATCCCACACGAACTCTAGTTGTAACAGCGCTCAAACATACTCTATCCGCGTTCAGCTTAACCCCTAAACTTTTTTACTTCAAATTACTTTATATTAAACTTTTTATTTTATATTAAACTAACTTTTTTTATAACTCAATAGCATATATATTTTATTCTACATAAATTATGGGTCTAAGTAATAAAATTGTATTCTATATATATATATGTGAATGTTGCTTATAAATACATTTTTAGTATTGATATATGAAAATAGCAATTTGTTGGCAATTTCAAAATTGGACACACGCGAGGACACATGTGTTGCACATGCACATACGCCGATTTTTTGATCTTTCTAACAAAAATATAACAAAAAATTAACAGTTTTTCACTTCGATATCATTTATTGTGATTCTAATAGAACATCAATAAAAAATGCCGACTATTCATTTAATTTTTAAGATAAATATCGAAGAACTGTTCCGAATATATAGGCATACACACACACATACATATATGTATACTAGTGAAATTAGGTCTCAAGTTTTCATGAAATGCGATTGAAATATTATTATTTTCTATTTTTTAATTAATTTAAGAAAAATTAATATTTCACATTTTCAGAAACGCATATTTTTTCAGTTCATTTATCAAATTATTAGCAGAAAATCACGTGATTTTTGAATACTAAGTGGTACACTTGGAAGGTAGTCCCTAGATGATGTTGATGTTTGGATAATTATGCATTTATCGTTGGTGTAATTGATGGTTTGATCAGATGAATGAATTGGATAAAGTGTTCTGGCTTTCATCATATAGAAGATGCTCCACGGACAAAACCTAATCAGAATTGTTTTGATTTATTGTAAGTAGACTGAGTTCAAGCAAAGAGAATAGAAATTACAAAAAAAGTTGTAAATGTTATCAAATTAAATCATACATATAAAACATAATTATTCGTATGAGCTAAAATAGATTTCCAAGATTTTAAACTACTGTTGAAAATGAAACAAAATAAATAAAAGTGTAACAGGCTTTAACAAAATAAAGAGTTAGATAATGAACGAAGTTGTTAGTTTTGGAGAGTAAAATTATCCGTGAGATCGTAAGATGATGTGTTAACTGGAATAACCCTATCATATTTTTCCTATTACATGCTCTACAATCTACTGAAAGGCAAAGGAAACAATGAAATGACGCACTCATTAAAATTGATGTATTGTCAAATGGGTTAACGTTGTTTGACCGATTTATTGTGGTTTTGAGCTTTCTTTCAATAATTAGGGGTTTTTGATGAGGAACTTTTGGTTTGGTCCCACTCAATTTGCGTTTTCTGGGATCACAATATACCTTAGTGTCAAAACTAGCTTTATTTGATTGTTGTTGCTTATTGTGAAGTTGATTTTGAAAAACTATTTTTTGTTTTATATTTTTTTAAGGCTTGCGGTGAAAATTAAATATTAATTTTTGTTGTTGTTTCTAATGTCAAAGTGTCATACTTATAGGTGTTAGTTCTGTCGTTACTATTGATGCATAAGGGGTGAGATGTCAAAATATGTTTTGATTCATATTGGTAAAAACAGCTGCTGTTAAAAATTGATTATTTTTATTAAGTTGAGTGCTTTTTGTTTGGCTGATGTGGCATGTGGGAAATAAAATTTAATTTTTCGTCAAATATGAAACTTACAAATTTGTTTTCTGCTTTAAATTTTATCTCATTATTTTGAAAGTTGGATTTTGAATACGTCTCACTTTTTTGTTTTGGAGTATGCAGATTTTTTCGGAGAAGTTTACCCAATTTTACTTTAACCAATTGGCTATGTTTTCCAGTAGTTTGTTTTGATTTCTATTTTTTATGCATTTGTCTTTTAATATTATAGTGAGGCCGTCGTCCATATAACATGACACATAACATGACATAACAAAGATTTGTTATAGTGATCCAAGAAGACTAAGTTTGTGACAGGACCACTCTGAGACTTTTTTAAAAATCTATTTTTGCTAAGTTTGCTTTAAAATTAATAGTTTTTTACTGGAAATTGTTCAATTTGTTGAAAATTAATTTAAAAAAAATAATTTTCAACAAATTCAACAATTTCCAAAAAATTCTAGTAAGGAAAATTGAAAAGACAAACTTTAAATTGATTAATGCCAACAATTTGGTAGAATATATACAATACTGTATACACCTATCTCCCGATTTACATGGTAGATACGTTCCTGAGAAAAATATGTAAATCGAAAATTAAAAATTTTCAAGTCAAAACCGTGTAAAACCGTAAATCGAAAAGCTTGCAAAAAATGCATAATTTTGCTATTTAACAGTTGTGATTTTTTTCAATATTTTTAGGTGCACACAAAAATAAAAATAAAAAATGCATTGACAGGTTAAAATATGTAGTATATATATTTTTATTTTATTACAATACATTAAACAGAAAAACAAATAAAACCAAAGGTGTTTTTTTTATCATTCATCACTGTCAGAAATTATTCTCATTCTTTTTTTCTGAATCAAAGGTTCGAATTCACTTTCATCACTCGAAGTTATTTGTGCCGATTCGATGTTTGAACCAGAAATATTTACATTATGAGAGATGGTAATAAAATCGGTTATTAACAATTGCTTCGAATTTTTTGTAAACTTTTTCATATTGGGACAAGCAAGCACGTGTTCAACCACAGTAACATTTAGTAGAATGTGATAAAAACAAAAAAAACTTATATGAAAAAAAAAGCGAAAACGTGTAACACAAGCGCCGTGTAAATCGGGGGATAAGTGTATTTATATTTACATTAATACATAACCGTATATATCCATGCGTTTATAAAATATAACTTCTGAAATTATTTTAATGTTAATTAAAATGTATGAAAAAACAAAAAATGTGTAGTAAAATTTTCAACTCCAAGTAATTGAATAAAATTTATTTGATCAAAAATTCTAAAATTATTGCGGAACACTTACACATGGCAAATGTAACGATGATAAAAAATAATCTGTGTATGTTATTCTATGTACATGATATACAATCTATATATATATATATATATACATAGATATACACATATATATATATAGACTATAATACAAAGAAAGCCAATAATACGACCTAATTTTGGTACAGTAAAGTCTCATTTTAGTTTCATGTTAACTTTCATTTATTTCTAAAGTTTGTTTTTATGGAATTTTTATAATATTCGTATTCATTTTGGGTCGAAAGTAAAATATTACTGTTTATTAAATTTCACTAAACATTTAGAAATACTTTTTACGTTTTTAAAATGAAATTCATTTAGTTTTAAAAAATTTAGTTTTTATTAATTTTTTTTTCTTTTTAGTAGATTATAGTATTATACAGTAGGAGTAGCAGTAGTAGTAGAGTATTATTACTATTATTATTATTACTTATTATCAGTATTTAATTTAGTAATTAGTTGTTAAATTATTGGTAGTTTTTAGCTAAACTGATGAAGATTAGTAGCTTAGCTTATTTCATTTTACTTGCTCAATGCTTCGATTTGGAAAGTAGTTTTTTAATACAGTAGAGCTCTCAGGAAACGGAGTATAATTATAACACTGTATAGTGGGGAGAAAGACCAATACGAAGAGAGAGTTGTTGTAGTAAAAGTTGTGAAGTGAAAGTCAAAGGATGGAAATGGTCTATGATGATTCAAATGACAGTCGCTTTTGTTTGAAATTGACTAGTAAGTTTTTAATTTAACAAATTACTATTTATCATTTTCCATTGTCCTAGCTGAAATTAAAATTGATATATTCAATAAATAATTTTATGAAAATTTGATTAAATCAATTTAAAATAATTTTGATAAATTTTATTTTACGTAAAACGGTAAAAGCTAAAGTTAGTGCATTGCACACTAAAGAGGACCAGATAAAACCTACTTTTTTGAGTGCACGTAGATTTGCACATATGCGTACATGTAAATGTATATATTTATATATATTCTTTCTTTGTTGACCTATATTTGCATATATTTTTTAAATAAGACCCCAACAATGTGATTACAATGTGATGGGTGCATCCAATAGCAATTTTAATGCACACGATTGCTGAACTTTATAATAGGATTTGTGTATATTTATTATCATTATGCATATCCATCATCAGATTTTAGTTTGTTATTTGTATGTTACCCCTACCACATTTAATTACAACTTAGAGTTGAAATGTAACACTCAACACGATTGGTTACTTGGGGGAAGCATTTGCTCTGTCATGTTTAATATGAATTAAAACAGTGTTTGGGAGTTTCCTCACCAGTTTTAATGAATGTGTGATGCCACTGTTGCTTTTGTTTCCAGTAAAGCTTATAATGGGAATAATAGCGGGTGGCAATACAGCTTGAGATTTTCCGTGCAGATTACAGTAAACGTGAGCAAACCATTCAGTAGTACAATACGACAGAATGTTCTGCGGTTCAACTGATGTGTAAGCAACTTGGCTGATTAATGGTTTAAAATGCAAAGTGGATCAGGGAAATTTAAACTGGAATTGCCCTGTCGTATCTATACCATTATATTTATTATATACGTTATTGTAAGCAAGAGAAGCAATGACAGAGGAAGATTGACTAAACCATAAAAATACAACGTGACGATGCAATTGCTTCCAGGTCAACGTTTGTGCCATATGTATAGTTTCAATTTTCTGTGCATAATTTAATGGAGAGTACTAATAAAAGTAATTAATGGCCATCGCTCATGGTGCACATTGCACTGGTGTGAGCACTGTCCTCAATTTTAATTAGTTAATTTTGATTTTGAGAAGCTAGTACCTAGTGCTGGCTAGTTATTATTAACTTTACTGTTCGTTTTGTAAGATTTAAGTCATTTAGTTGCCGTTCACAATTTTTATTTATTTATTAAATTTTAAAAAGTTATTATCAAAAGGTCACCTTTTTAATTGAATGAGTTCAACATTTTAAAATCTTGTTTAAGTTTGCTTTCTTATCTTTGGCGAATAGTTCAAGAGTAGATTTATGATATTAGAAATTTAATTTTAATAATTATCATTATTTTAAATTGTTTCTTGAAAGAAAATCAGATACTTTTATTTTAAATTGTTTCTTGAAAGAAAATCAGATACTTTTTGTTATGCTAATAAATTTAATAATAAATTTTACTTGTTACACTAAGAATGTTACATTTAATTTTATGTTTTACACAATTCACTTTTTTCACAGTATTGTCTGCTACCAACTTGATGAAAAAAAGTTTTTTCAGTAAGTCCATTAAACTATTTCTACTTCAAATTCTTAATATATGATTAATTCAAAAATGTGCTTCTTAATTTTTATTCAATATTCTCAATTTGATCAAGGCCATCCAGATCCTTTGGCTAAAATCAGTATTGATGGTTCAGGGTATGTTTGTTCAACTGATGTTAAGAAGGCCACTCTTAACCCAAAATGGAACCAGCACTTTGAGTTGTTGGTGAAATTTTTGTTTATTGTTTCCTATGTTTCTAATGTTCTATTATATATACATTGGAAGACAGTTAATCAGCCCACCGATTTTTGAGACCATCTGCTTTTTATAAGCAAATCTTTAGGAATGGAAGCAAATGTAATTTAGTTTGCTTAATTAGATCAAAAAGCTGCTTAATGTAGGGACAGTTTATGAAAAAACTTTAGTTCAGAATTAAAATTTATTTGACTAGGATGAAACAAATTAGATATTTAAAAGTAAACTATTCTTCATCATCAACATTTTTCTGAAGTTGCTGTGAACTGTCTGGGTGTGCATTTAATGAATGAACGTGTTGATATTTTGAGTTTGCACAAGTTCCCATCATCCTGTACATGTTTCATTCTATAAATTATAAGAATTAAAATTTTAATGACTTATGATTTAGCAGAATATCTCTTGCAGATTTATTTTAGCCTCAAATCTTTTATAAATCACTGAATAAAAGTTATTTGAAATAATTGATTGAAAAGATGCATGCTTGAAAAAGTGCATGCCTGGAAAGGTGCATGCTTGAAAAAGTGCATGCCTGGAAAGGTGCATGCTTGAAAAAGTGCATGGTTGGAAAGATGCATGCTTGAAAAAGTGCATGGTTGGAAAGGTGCATGCTTGAAAAAGTGCATGCCTGGAAAGGTGCATGCTTGAAAAAGTGCATGGTTGGAAAGATGCATGCTTCCAGCTAAATTGATTGTTAATTTTTTTTTAGGATTTTGAATGTCAAAGATTCAATAACAATCACAGTGTGGAATCAGAAAAAACTCTACAAAAGTTATGCATCAGGATTTCTGGGTTGTGTTAAATTATCTGCTACAGCAATTCAAAGAATTAAAGATTCTGGTGGTTAGAAATGGTTGCTTCTTCCGAAATTTCTTATATTTCAAAACTTGTAAAAAAAATTCCTTCACCAGCTCACAGATTGGAATTAAATGTAGCTCCTGGGTCGACTTGCAGCAAGAAGAAGAAAAAGTCGTCCGTGAGAGGTTGGATCAGTCTGAGTGTCAGTCTCGTTGAGAAACATGATCCTCCTCCACCTCCTCAGTCATCATCCAGTATTAACTTCAACACCCACAATCATTACAGCAGCAATAATAATAATAATGACAACAGTAATTATAATAATAATCGACTTGCTTATCAAAATGTCGTTAATAAACGCAGTAGCGTCCACAACCTGATAGAGAACTTGACACAGGTCACAATCTCAAGAGGCGCAGCTGCTTCTACTGCCGCTGCTACTAATACTAATATTTACAAAAATGCAGATTACAACTTGAAACATAAAAGTGAGTTGAAGCTAAAGAAGAATAACAAGAAAAACAAAGCTCAATTAATATCTGCAGCTGTAGATGAAGCAGGCATGAATGTTTTCAGGTAATTATCATCTGTCCTCTCTAATTAACACTTCTTACACTTTTTTAAAATGTTTTTGGTTTTAATCACACAATTTCTATTATGCCAAATTTCTGTTATGCGAATGCTGTGAAAATAAATTTCAATTCGTGCTTCTTTTGGTTGCATTTTTTTCATTAGCTCATACATAATTTATTTCAAGTTTTCTCCAAATTTATGATTGAAACATATTACTAGGTGTTCTTAATTTTCCTCTAATAACTCCGCAATTTTGTCTTTTTACACAGACGTGTAAATGGTTTTGCATTGGAAGCATCATCTGATCATGCCCGCGGACAAAAGGTTGGTGGGTACAATAGCACAGCTGCCACAAACAGCACCGACGTTAATAACACTGATCGATGTAATTCTAATATTATCGTTCATCATAACAACGTCGACAACATTTACAACAACATCACCATTCCTTTCAATGTTGATCTCACACCAAGAAGGCTTTCAGATGATCTTACTAACGAAACAACGAACAACAATGCGACTACTTTCACTAGTCAAACAGTGAATGAGGACAACGACAGATTTGTTAATACACCGTTAATACCATCAGCTCCACCACTTTGTTCCTTTGTAGCTGATCATCTTTCCAACCTTCCCACGTACAACATCCAGCCAACAACAAAACTACACAATCTTCAAACCAATTGCGTTTCCAACTACACCAACAAAAACGTGAATAACAACTTCAACCTGAACAGCAAGCATGATAACTCGAGTGATGCAAACCTCCTCCTACCTACCCGCACCATCTCCACCTCCATAACACCTTCAGCAACTGCTCCTCGACCGCTGACGAAGAATGCATTGAACAAAACATTTGTCATATCATCAGAGGCTCTTGATCCTCTATCGAAATTCAACAACGAAGCAGTCAGTGCACGAGAAGATGTTGACGCAACGGACGAGGAAATGTTCTTCCCCGTTCTCGACCCAAAGAAGTTCATTTGTTCTCTTCCTATGCCGTCTGATTATCGTAAATTTTTTATTTTGTTATATTTTTGCATTATTATCATCATCACTTGTGAGTATATATTTCTGTCTGAACTTGAGACTTGGCTAGTGGTTTGTCCAGATGTTCACATGTTTGCACATATCAATGAATTGTTTGCATAAGAATGTTCAATGCAGTTTTTGTTTCAGACCAAATCTGTTTGCATCATTCCGCACTTTCAATCAGTCATTCCAGTTTTCTTTCCCTTTACAAAATTATCTCAACCTCACACTTTTTTTGGGTGATGTGCAACTATAGCCAAATAAAACTTGTTGTAAAAACGAAATTGATGATTGCACTTTCAAGTGTATTGTATTTAATTACTGACTTATTGAAACTTCTTAAACCGGTGACGAAACAGAAGAGAGAGTGTCGAGGCAGGGGCAGATATATTACGTTCACCTTCCTTCAGGTACAAGCACCTGGTACCATCCAACGATGCCGAGGTTTCTTCCATTCTTTCTTCTTCTCTTTTATTTGTTTGTCAAATTTTAAAAAATAAAAATTTTCTTGTTCTTCTCAAGGAGTTCAAATGATGAACCTTGTCCTGATCTTTTGAAGGCAATTGAAAATCTTCCATTGTCTTCAGTGTGGGAGGTGAGGTTCACATTGACTGGGAGGAAGTACTTCGTGGACCACGCCAACAAAACAACGCAATTCACTGATCCCAGATTCTTTGCCTACATCAATGATCAACAGTAAGCTAAGATGGATTGCTGTTCCTGGGTCTTGTTGATCTTGTTGGCGTTTCTTTTGACTCTGTTATTTTCGACGGTTTTGTTGACTTGGCTACTAATGTTATTGTTTTTATTGCTGAATAGTTAGATGGAGTAAGAAGCAGCAAGTTTGTTGCGATTTAATCATCATTTTTATTGATTTGTGACTGTGTGAGATTTTCATTGCTGTTGTTAACTTAGTTTTTTTTTATTTTTTTATAGGAGGAATTCAAAAAGTGATCACAACTCCCATGTCAGCACACGGCATGATTTAAAAAGCAAACAACTACCACTCATCTTTCAAAACTTGCAGCGAAATCATTTTTTGCCACAACAAGCGACATCAAATCAACCTTTGACCGTAAAGTACAATTCAAAACGGACTGTAAAATCAAATTCAAAAACTCAGAAACCATCGGCAACGACAGGAAACAAGTTGGACACAGCTGCAACAAATGAAACCACTGCAGCAGCACCACCAACAGTAACGACATCTTCATTATTAAGTCAAATATCTTTGGAGATGTTGGAAGAAAAGATGAGCAAGTTGAATGAAGAACTTCTGAAGTTAAAAGCACCAACCGGTCACTGCAGGTTGGAAATCAACCGAAACAACATTTTCACCGTATGTTCTGATTTTCTGGTTCAATTTTTGTTTTGTTTCATAATTGACATGAGATGTAGTTTAGAAGTGTTCAAACATTTGAGAGTGACATGTTGGCTGTAAATGATTAGGGGATTGGGAAATTCGGAAATGAACCAGTAAGAAAGAAGCAGAGAGGTATGTATATTTGTTGACGAGGGAGGTGAACGTCACTGGAGATGTCGTTGGTTTTTTTCAAATTCACTGTTGATGTTTGCGCTTTGGTAGAGGAAGGAATCTTCTGACAAATGACTTGCAAAAATTGCTTAAAACCAATCTTTCCATAAAAAATTCTGGTAAATTGGGAGATAACATTATGCATATGAAGTTTTGATTATATGCGTTGTGTAATGTAATGCAATGGTTGAGATACGAGTTATTTATTTGAATTGATGCAATGAAATGGTATTTTTAGCAATTTCTCAATGACTCAATCCCCTACTAAGTGCACATTACTTAAAAAGCATCAACCCATCTAAATCATCGTTTATATTGTAAATAAATGGGTGGAGTTGAGAGTAGATTTTGAAGGTGTATTGGAAGAAATAGTTGCAGTCATGTTGAGGACTGCTTCTTGTTAAGCAGAGATTATGTGGTGAGTTGGCAGGAGCTGTCAGAAGGAACATGCCGATTGTGAGGTTCAGTTCAGTTCGTACCTCAACTGACTCCAATCTTAATGAGGAAGCACAACTGGCTGTTACTGCCTGTTGTGCTTGGTTGGGAAAGTTTGCAAGCGTGCTTACAAGGAGTTTATTTATTGTTTGTTGGCGATGGCATGTTGATGAGCATTTGTTGTCGGTGCTGTAAACTGCGGTAACTTTTGTTATGTGTGATATAAACTGTTTAATGAACTATCCTGTTGGGTTTCCTTTTAACTGTTCATTCATTTGCGTTGATATCTTTTACATTGTTTAATAATAATTTGTGACAACATGTTCTATGTTTTTTCAGGAGTCTTTCCGACAAATCATGAGAAAGAGAGCTACTGACTGTTATAAAAGGTCGGAAAAGTTTTTCAATGTTTCAAATTTTTACTTCACTAATATTTTAAAAATTTATTGTTTAGTTATTACCCACAAATCCATTCATTGGTGTTATAGATGTCTATTTTAATTATTTCATGACACTGATTTTAATAAATGATATGAACATGTTTAATTGACCACTAACCATCGATAAATAAATGTGATGCACCAATGCTTTCTTATTCAATATATGCCGAGACAGACTGCTAGTGAAATTTAAAGGCGAGGAAGGAATCGATTATGGCGGTATTGCGAGGTTCGTAACTTTTCTTAATTCCTTTTTTAAATAAATTTTATTGCAACTGGTGTGTTTTTATTTGCCAAAAAGTGAGCAACGTTTGCCTTGGAAACGTAAAATCTGTGGTGAAAATAGACAAGATGGCTTGAAAGAATATATGTTCAGTTGCTTGCCTAATAAGAATGTACAGCTAGATTCTGCAGGATAAATTTGAGATTGAATCAATGGTAGATGTGATGTTGTTTTAAGATGGCAGCGGTTGGCTGCATCGTATTTATAAGCGCAAAAGTAGGGCCGATTTGTTCTGCTTCTCTATTAGCCAACGAGATGGGCAGCCTAGAAATATTTTTTCCAACGTCATCAACAATCTGCTACTTAGGAGGTCATATGGAAGAATGAATATTTATTGTAACATTTTTGTTTCACACAGAGAATGGTTGAGTCTGCTCTCCAAAGAGATGTTCAATCCAGCGTTCGGGCTCTTCCAGTACACGAGAGACAACCAGTTGTACATCAACCCCGACTCTCACGTTAATTCTGTACGTTGTTTTTGATAATGTTTTGAATCACGTTTACAAATTTTTTAAATGTTCATTAATTTTTTTTATTGTAACTAAAATCTCTGTTTTCGATTTTAAAATTGATGAAGATAATTGTATTAAAGTGACAAATAAAATTATTTTAAAAATTTCCAGTCGCACTTGTACTACTTTAAATTTGTTGGTCGCATCATGGCTCTCTGCATCCTGCACGGCCATCAAATTGACGCCGACTTCACTCTGCCATTCTACAAACAAATGCTCAGACAGGAAGTCACACTAGACGATTTGCGGTTCGTCGACGTCCAATTGTACAACAGTCTTGTCTGGTTCAGGTTTGTTTGTTAGCTATCTCTTTATTTATGTGGCTTCTTTAAATATTTTTCTACATTACATTTCTGAGAAAATACTTTTTCGCATTTATTTGTACTATAATTAGTTTAGTAGAATCCGATGTTTCATGTTGAAGCTTTTTGCTGGAGATGTTCATGATTGTTTGGTAACATTCTAATCTCTTAAATAGCATTCGTGGTTGATAGTTACGGGGTCCCACAATCATTACGCTGCCTCACACGCTGGTCTGCTTCATGCTGGCCATCTTGCAAGCACCCGTTTAGACTTTGCTTGCGCCAACTCAGGCAAACTACATTACTTCAAGAAAATAAAAAATCTGTAAAATTAGTAGGAAATTAGGAGTGAAACATCCAGACAAAAAATGGACAGGAAGCCGAATGCTTTTTTTTATGGAACTGAACATTCGAATTTTCTGCTTTTAATCTAACTTGTGTAAAAAAACACTTATTCATAAGTTGTCAAAAAATTTTACCTTTTGTACTGATTTAAAGATTTTTATAGTGTTTGTTTTAATCTTGTGGTTATGTTCTGGCATGATGGGATTGATGGGAGTTCATTTATTGTGATTATTCAGGACAAACGACATAACTGACATGATAGAGAGCACCTTCACGGTGAATCACAACTCGTTTGGAGAGGTACACGTGCATGAGTTGAAGACCGGAGGGTCAAACATTCCTGTCACCGAGGACAATAAGTTGGAATACATCGAGTGAGTGCTGCCTTTCATTCATTTCAAATCAATTTGGTCATCCAAAATTTTTCACTTTATTGTTATTATTATTATCCCGATTTTCACAGCTTGGTTTTTAAAGCTGGTCACTGACGAATCCAGGGTTCAACTAGATCTTAAAGAGATTTTTTTTTTTTTTATTAGTCTTTATTATTGCAGCTCTGACATACGCAGAACCACTTACAATGTTACAGATATATTATGTTACCTATATATCTTTTATTATGTTCTTTTTTTCTTCATCTATTGATTTGAAGCAGCCATCTTTTTGCCACAAAGGCTGTTTATCCTTTTCACACGACGTACACATGTATTTATGTGCACGCGCAAGCACCGCATCATATACGCTGAGTATATGATAGCCATTGAGATGTTTGACTCAGCGAGCATTTAAACCACCGAGCCATCTCGCCAGCCAGATTCATCCGAGGATTTTTCTTATTATGCTCGCTGTTCCTAATAATGCTATTTTTTGAACTTCGGTCAGAGCTGGTTTTCCCGGAAATTTTTTGAAGTTTTTTCTAAATTTTTAGAGACTACTCCTAGTGCTCCCACTACTGAAAGTGCTCTCTAAATTTTTAGAGACTACTCCTAGTGCTCCCACTACTATCAGAATAATTTTTGCTTTCAAGTTCCACATTCTTCGTATCTCGATTTGAAGGTTTTGGTACTTGCATATCTTTCCGGTCTCTTTCTGCAAAACATGTAAATCGTCTGGAACAGATAAATCTATCAATAGGCATATTTTTTAGTTTTTATTTTGGACAATGATATCTGGTCTGTTTGCTTCTATTTTTCTCTCTGTTATAACTGGCGTGTCCCATAAAATTTGACCATAAAATTTGACCATTGACATTACATTACATTACATTCTTCGGTTCATTTTTATAATATTCTACACATGCCTCTAATCCAACCTGCCTACATATCACCTAGTGGATATAGCTTGTTACTCGATTGTGTCTTTCGGTATATTCAGTTGGTGCTAATACAGTACATCCAGATATGACATGGCTAATGTCATTATTATTATTATCATTAACATTATTATGGTCAACCACTTGCCTAAAAAATGTTAATTTCCTGACGGCTCTCTTCTTCGATTGAGCCTAAAGACATCATTTCTTGATGTTCATACTTGCCCCGTTAATAATTTTCTATTAAGTTCCCTGCACATATAAAAACTCCAAAATGAATTTTCATTTTGTTTATTCGTTTTTCAAACTTAGTTCATTATAATGAAAATAAAATTAAGAACAGCACCGTCAAAAGAATCATTCATGCATTGCCTGATTTCAGCTGCTTTTTTTTATAAATTTGTATTCCAGTTGGATGAGTTATTTTATTAAATAATAATTCAAATTTGCCGTTATAAACTTTAGAAGATATAAATAAATAAAACTGCAGTTTGTACGTGAAGTGGCGCCTGACAGTCGGTTGTGAGAGTCAGATGAGGGCCTTTCTGAAGGGCTTCAACGAGCTCATCCCTATTCAGCTGATCAGTGAATTCACTCCTCAAGAGTTGCATGTTGGTTTTGTTTTAATATAGTAGTTGACAGTTCATTTTTGTATCATTTAAAAATCGAGTTTGAAATTTGTTCACTGATCTCCGTTATGATTAAAAAAAACTCACTCAGATGATGTTAGGAGGTCTAAACTACGTTGACGTATCAGATTGGAAGAAGTACACGAAATTAAAACATTGCACAGTCGACTCAAACATCGTCAGGTGGTTCTGGACGTACGTTGACCAGCTGACCACAGAGAAACGACAGGCCTTGTTGAAGTTCGTTCTCGGCAGCCACCGGATCCCATTGCAGGGATTCAAAGCCTTGCAAGGTTTCTTAAAAACCTCATTCAATTGATATTTTAACTTTGTTCAAAGTGCTATAAATTGATCATATGAGGCCACCACTTGTCATTCAGGATCGCAGGGACCTCGGCTTTTTACAATCCACCAGGTTAACATCAGCACAAATAACTTACCTCGAGCTCACACTTGGTATGTTTTTGTAAATGTTTTTCAAAATTTTTGAATTGCTTTTCAACAATTGCAAGTTTTACCTTTAGGTTTTTTCATTCCAGTCATACATACCTGCTTTCTTATTTTCTTTACCATGATATGTAAATGCACAATGCTGCTAATCAATGCACGTCTACGTCTATTTTTTCCTAATGATTCTTCTCCACACATATTCTTCTGTTCCCTGTTTTACAAAGGATGTATAAATAAGAAAATAAGATGCATATACCCTAACCGCAAATTGTTTGTATCATAATAAATGTTTTGTCTCGTCGTATCATAAAATTGTACAAATTAGGTTGTGATTTTTTGAGGTCTTGAAGACTCACACAAATTTCTTTTGCTGTTTGGATATGATAAGATTTAACTTGGCAAAGTATCTTATTTATACTTTTTAATGTGCTCTTCATCCGTATCATCCCCGTTATTACGATATTCCTAATTAATATAATTTATATCTACAAGACGTTCACTATGGTTAAACTTTCTTCTCGACCAAATGTTTTGTGTGCAAGGTGAAAGGTCATTTTAGTGCTGGTATTAAGGGCTCAGTCTTCTTCCGTTCGTACAAATCCAACTTGCAACTAGTTCCAATACTTCTTGAATAAAATTTTATTTTATTCTTTACTCCATTCTTTGTTACATGTCTAATTTAAGGAGAATTCTCCATCTTTTTTTACAAGTTAAGTGCTGTATTCTTTTATATGTGCAACATGACCGTCTCTATCTTTACCGCCGTTATATAACTGCCTTTCAGTTTCTGTTGGCCTGCTTGATTCTTATAGTAGTTTTGGATCCGGGTGATAATGATAGATGTTTATTTTTATCTTTAATTTTTTACTTTGTAGTTTCAATCGCATCGACATACCCGCCTATGAATCATATGACATTTTTCTGGAGAAGATGAACTGCGCCATCGAAGAAACTGAAGGATTTAACTTTGAATGATGTGATTCATTGCGTGGAATGATCGAATGAGTAAATAAATAGACCAGCTGTGTGAATAAATAGAGTGAATTGAATGACAATAGCGATATTTTTTAACGATGTTCTTTCACATTAATGCTTAGAGCTATAACGTTTTTATTGGTTATAATTATGCATGAAATAAAGTAATATAATTTATAAAGTATTAAAATAACGTTTATATTAATTATTATTATGAAGATTCAAATAACGTTAATAGCCAGTTTGATCATCGATTCCCATCATCTGCTAGCCTTCAATCATGAACATAACCCCACCAGAGCGTTCGCCACTGCACATAAATAATTTTATGAAGCAAACTGCTTGCCTATTATGTCACCGTAGTTTCTTGTTCACATCAATATTAGCCATTATCTAGCCAAATGTTATTTCAATGTGGTAATTACGGACTTATTGTATTTATGTATATATTTCCTATTCTCAGTGCATTATTTTTAAACTAATAGGCTTACATGTAGGACATTCGACATTTATTAAATGTATTAAAGATGGTTTGTCTTATTTTCAACCTGTAGCTTATTTCATCGTCTGACCAATTTGTCATTGCCTTTGTTGCAAACATCACAACTGTATTTTAAAAAACTTTCAATGTTTCATATTTTTTCTATTTGATGTATTTACTATTTTGATCGTACATCAGCTTATGTCAGTTATCTTTCTGTTCTGTTGTTAAAATTATGATATGAATATTTTGTTGATTCATCTGCGCATTCTTCTACGGTAAATAAAGATTACAAAATCAAATTTAAATTTGAATTTCTTAATGAGACATTTTGTAATCACGACTGCTCATATTTACAAAATTAATAAAAAGATATGTTGTACACACACGCAGTTACACGCACACACACACATATATATATATTGTATTGTATTGCAGAATTTGTACAGCGCCTCTTGTGAGTTGACTTCAGAAGCGCTCTCTACTTTCTTCGCTGTTGAATGTTGAAAAAATGAGTCTTTAGCCGTTTTTTTGATTCATTTCGACTCAATGTGTTGGAATTCTTTAGATCAACAGGCAACGCATTCCAAAATTTGGCCAGAGCTACTGAAAATCTTCTTTTTCCAAAATGAAGAGATATGAACTTAGGAATGTGTTAGGCATTGTTCATGGCCAAAGGATGAAAGTGAATGGAGAAGGAAGTAGAACCAGTATCAGAATTCATCTAGGAAGTCCCATTAACAAGCCAGATGGAATAGAGAAGAAATTAAAGAGAAGGAAACCGCTAAAAGAAGGAGTATTTCGGAGATTGTACCCCGGTTTTCAGAAGACATGACATTGGACTGAGAGTCAAATTAAGAACTTACAATGCTATGGTGGTCCCGGTTGTGATGTGTGGAGCTGAGTCGTGGGCATTGACGAGAACCATAGAAAAAAGTTGGATGTTTTTGCGAGAACATGTGGATCAGAAGAATGACGCAATTTAACTACTACATTTAACGCAATTCACGAATCTGCTATGGATAGGTTATGGATACTGTTCACCTGTTACCGTATCATATACAGTGGCGCAACTGGATCAAACTTTAAGGGGGGGGGGCAAATAAAATACTTATGTAGCACCATAGGGCACAATTTAACAAGCACTAGTTCGAAAACAAGACACTTTAATTTTCCAGACCAAGTTATTATTTGGAACAATAAAATAATAAAAAAATTTATTAAGATTAAAATATTTTTTATTTTAAAAAATTTTACAAAACAAAGTCAAATTTTTTTTTAGATTTTGCCAGTTGATAAGAACTTCATCTGCAGAGGGCATCTTTTTTCGTTGAATTTGCATCATCGCCAGTCCACTTAGCCGTTTAGCCGTTCTTCGCACATTGTGCTCCTAAGATAACTTTTTAATTGTCTTAGACAACTGAATGACCGTTCTGCAGATGCTGTAGTGACCGGTAGTGTTGCAAGAATTTTTATCAAAACGTAGAAATTAGGATAAAATAACCTTTGTGAAATACTGATTGCTCTCAATGTCTCTATTGCATTACTTGGAATATCTTTTCTTTCGTTTCTTTCCAGATGTCATTTTGCTTTCCAACAAACTCATCTTTCATTTCATTTTCTGAGATGTCTTGTTTATAGAATTCTACTGTCTCAGATAAGTCTTCATATTCAGCGTTACAGATGTACATTGGCACAAGCAGTTGTATTTTACATGAAATTTTCATATGTTTATTGAAACGGTCAGTTAATTGTATAATAGTTGTATCTAAATGTAGTGTATATATACTTTGGCGGTAGAATGTTTCTGGGTCATTAGTTTCATAATTTGACCGCAATGTTTGTCAACCAGCTCTTCGAGAAATAGTAAGCGATTGTTAGATTAATAAGCTAGTAGATTTTCAGCTATCACAAAAATGTTGTGAAAGTCATTATTGTCATTTTGTCGATAATTTTTTAAAATTAGCGCTATGTCAATATTGTTCAATATACTGAATATCTATATGTGGATTATGAAGAGCTTTTGAAAAAATTAAAATTAGGTAAAATTAACGTATTGAAACGAGCACATATACAAAGATATTACAAATTTTGATTGATTAATAGCGATCTGCTTCACTAGCAGCATTTGCATCATTTCAATTACTAATTTCTTCTGGTGTGACTTTGATTGTTGGATATAATTCAAAAAAATTTATTGTGGCTTTATGACGTTCCGTCCATCGCATGTCACATAATCCTGTTAGTTTCTGATGATTACTACCAGACTCTGAAGAACTTTCAAGATTTCTTTGGAAAACGTGAGCTCTCTTTGATGATACACGAATAAAATTAATTGTCTGCTTGATTTCTTGAATTTTGGATGCCTGTGCTATTACTAGATTTCGAGCATGTGTGTACAAAGCTTTTGGGAACATGTTTCTTACATGGGCTTGCACTTTATTTATTTTTTCTGCCATTGAACCACATTCGTCATATCTTTGACCTCTCATCTTTTCTATACCAATCCCTGCTTCTTTTAATGTTTTAATTAAAATCTTAGCAATATACCTGTGGTATATTGAACTTCTTGAAAACCAATAAAACATTCATGAATACAGTCATCTTTAACAAATCTTAAAATACTTGTCATCTGTTCTTTAATAGAAAAATCAGTATTTCCATAACACTAATTACCTATTAGTTAAGTTGTAGTAACACTCATTTTACTAATTAATAAGTGGAACAGTCATGAATAATTCAATCGGAATAACATTTGACTGGCTAATTATAAATGTGAGCATGTCTTATAGTAGTAAAAACAATTTATTTATATTGTTAATTTACAATTATGTCTAGAACAGTAACAGCACAGAAAAGAATCCAGTAGCTTTGACGTTATTTACAATATTTTTCATCATTAAATAATGAGTTGCTGATATAATTTCATTTTGTATTTTCCAATTTAGATAGGTTTGTGAACTTGAAGTTGTTTGCAGATACCACTTTAAATTTTCATCGTCAGCTAATAAACGTAGCCTTAGGAATGCTATGAAATTTCTATCGTTCTCATCTGGTTCTTCGGTGGAAAGTGGTCCTGAATCGCGATGACCGCGTAAAGCAATTTCTTGTTTTCCACGATGATGCACTGTTTCTACAATAGGTATTAATCGTCCACGGTTTTTTTCATTCTGCTTTTGCGACCAATTATGCAATTGCTTTTCAATACCACTAGACCTTTGCTCATAATGTTTCAAAAATCTTCTGAAATTTTTATATAGTTCTCATACATCTGTTGACATTTGACATTTTTATTTCATCAAATCAAACAGTGAAATCAGAAAAATGAAATCAATGAAAGGAAATGATCTGGAAATCGAAAAAGAAATTTGGACTTCTTGTAATGATCACCAGTGTCAATTTGTAATAATGATATATGAGCAGATTTAAACAAATAAAAAAATTCAAGGTACCCAAACACAATATAAAGAGTAATTCTAATATTTCAAAACCGTTCCGAAATATAAAACATAATTATAAAAAAGTTAATGTACCCAAACACAATATAATGTAGGTTAAAGATATTTCAAAGAGTAATTCTAATACTTCAAAATTGTTTCGAAGTTTAAAACATGATAATACTTTAACTAACTTCTAAATTTTGAATCTTATCTTATGGAAATACCACGCCAGAAACACATACACTCAATCACGCGCACAAAAACACTCACGTAAACACACACCTGTTCATTCACACACACTCAGACAAGCACAGCACTCATTCACACACACTTACACAAGCAACCACGTTCACACACACTTAGACACACATAATGCTTACATGAACATGCTTTCCCAGATAACTAGATGGTAGTGTCGGGATCTAAGTTTGTTAAAAAGTTACGTAGCTTCCTCTTAAAGAGTTGTAGGTTTTTGATTTTATGTAACTGAGGAGGAAGCAGTTCAGTCCAAATTTTTGGTCCAGTAAGTTTAATACTTGATGAAAATAATTTAATACGTGTTCTTTGTGTGTAAAAGAATTGGGTGTCTTGTATGGGCAGATAGAATAGAATTGGTTGTTGTGTAAAGGTGGTCTAGAGGAGTAGGAAGAAGTTTATTAATAAATTTGAAAACAAGTATGGCTGTGAAATAATATATAAACCTTAATGGTAGAATATTGTTATTTGCAAAAAAGGGTTTAGTATGGGCAAAAGGATTAGTATTAAAGATAAGACGTATTGAGCGTTTTTGTGAGAGCGTAATGTTGTACAAGTGACTTTTAGGACTGTTTCCCCATACAGTTATGCAGTAGGTAAGATGGGGATAAATAAAAGCGTAGTAAACGTTTAGTAGAGCAGACTGAGAAAGTTTGTATTTTATTTTGTAGAAAATTCCAATTAGTTTATTGACCTTTTGGGAAGTTGATTGCAGGTGGTAGTTGATCTGCTCTACCTCATTAATTATCGTGTTTGTAAATAACGCCGAATCTTGATAAGGCCAACTTTTAGTTTTATTAAAAGGATCCCAGATGCTCTGCAGACCTAATTGATTATGGTGGCACTCTGGGTTCCTGACTCTGGGCTATTTTTTTATTTATGTATTTATACAACTAGGCGTGTAATTAGTTATCCGACCCCGATATACGACTGGACCAAGCAGTGTCTGACCTGTATTTTACGTTGGATGACCCCCCTTCAAGATTTGTCATCCAGTGCGGTCCACACCAGTCTAGCGATTCTACTGCTCCTATATTTCTAGGTGTACTGCTAATAAATTCATTTCTTGTCGAGCATAATGGGCCCATGTATCTATTATATATAACGATTTAATACATTATTAGACAGGTAAAACTTGCAAATTATGACCAAAAGTTATATTTGTTGTTGGTTCCACGTGTTACGCAATATATACGCTAATAAAAAATTAAATCATGTTGGAATCATCCTTACACGACGATTGGTTTTTCACCTACTACCTTAAAATAAATTTAATAACCTTTTTAATAAAAATTTATTGCTTGAAAATAAACACACAAACTATGTATATCATTTCAATGTGTACATATATGTATCGTCGTCATCATCATCATTATTCGTTTATCCACCAGCCATTTCCAGTCAACATATATATATATATCTCAATAAAAACAGAAAAAGTGATAAATTTATGTACATCAAGTCCTTATAAACTTCAAGCTGTTGGAGACACAACAGGCATGTGAGGCAGGTTGCTATGGGGACCTGACACTGCTACGTTTGGTCCCAGTAACATCTTTAAAAATATGAATACAGATCATTCATTGAAGACAAACAATTAATTTCAACTTTGTGATGGACAACAACTCAACAGAAATTACTGTATTTAAAAACAAATATACAGAGAAGTGTACCTGTCTTTGCTGTAGTAGTTGATTTTCTTCAGTATTGCTTTTTTCACTCTCAAAAGCAATTGGCAACGCCAGAATAACGAGGGATGTAGATAAGACCCACATGGTAACTTTTGCAGCATTAAAAATCCATTTCCCTCCAAAGTATGTGCCCTTGCAAGCTGCCAACAATGAGGACCTCACCTTATCTGGGAACATTTCTGTCAGTCCAACTATTCTTTCCATTACTGTCTCATCTCTGTCTAACTGAAAAGAATAAAAATAATAAGAAAAAATAAAAAAGCACTGTTAAAAAATCTAATTTCATATAGTTTAAAATACCTCGTAAAAATATTTTTTTGTTATTAAAATTTGTTTCAAAACACGTGGACATCAAAGAAAAATTATTATAGGTTGACCAGAGATTCCTTTAGAACTCTGAGCAAGAAATCAAGCTGTATATGTATTGCATGTATTTGTATGTATATTTACACAGACGCACACACACAAACATACTATGATGTAGAATAATAATTTAATTTAGGAGATATAAGTAAATATAGGTTTTATATAGATATGTGTTAAAGTAGGAATGTAATTATAATGATAGCTAATTTATAAAAGTAGTTAATGACGAGACAGCATATTTACTGGCATAAAGCAACTTAATATAAGATAATATAACGCATAATTAATCAGAGTATATAATACTTTGTATAACAAGAATGAGGTGACATACAATAGGAACTGACTGGCTAGAAGTTAGACAACTAGTTAAGCTCTATGGAGCAAGGTCTCCTAGTATTTAACAGGCGAGCCCATAAGTTAAAGAGAGTTGAGTTAGAGTTGTCTCTTTAACACGCTTAAAGCTCTTGAACACTACTTATATACTTTTACACATTATTATTTGTGTTACTCTTTATATTTTAATTCTCAATATTGAGTTTTGTTATTTACTTCATTAAAATATATTTAGTTGCAATGAAACAATAAAAATATTATTAACAATAATGGGTGAGTCTTTTCTCGTTCAATTTCGATTAATGAACTTTATAACGTTTTAAACACTAACTAACGTAAGTTGCTAATTAAAGTCATCTCTTATTATTTTATGTACATAAACAATATCAAGTTATTTAACGTTGAGTGAGCGAGTTTACAGAAACAGAAAGAATTTGCCCAAGAACAAACTGTTGTTCGTTCAGTAACCGTCATAGAATGGTGAAGAGGGAGCAATATAACAATACACACACTGTGGACTTCTTGAAAGCTTATAAAGAAAAAATTTTGTGAAAGAAACATTTGCATTGTTTATGTCGACCTAACAGGTGCTTTAAATATGATCAACAGAAGCAACATTTTTAGACTGCTGGCAAAATAGAATGCCCTCCCTGACATTTAATTTTCATGTTTACCATGCAGTCGATTTTTAACACTTTGTATTTTTGTGTTTTCTCTTTTATCATTATAATAATTCTGTTGGGTTGAACTTTAAAAAAGTAGAATTGGTCCTCAATGTTGTTTTGAAAATAAATTTTTTCCAAAGTTGTGACTGCAAGCCGAAGTTTGTAGCTAAGTAATGTAGCATGCTGGTTCTTCTAGCTGAGGAGAAGGAAGAGTTCACTTTAAACCGGCCACTGAATCTCCTAGCCCAAAAACAGAAAAAAATACATGTCTATGATAAATTAATAATCATATCTTTGGATAGGGGTGCTAATGATGACATATTGATACTTGGGCAATGGTGTAAAAAGGGCCTGACGCTGCTATTCCAGTGACCGGATTCAATTGCAAAAAGAACCCCATCTATAACATGCAATGTGTGTGATGCATTGTTTCACTTATAAAATAATACTTTAAATGTGTTATTAATTTAATACTTCTGAAAACTATTGAAAAGAGAAGGCATGCACATGTAATCTAATCTAACAATTGTCTAACATCAGTGTCAAATGTAAAAAAAACTTTGACTTTGTTTGATTTGGCTGAGGGCAATTTGGGCTGAGCTTTAGGTTTAAGTGAGGCCAAACATTAAAAAAACGTCTCGCAAAGGCATGAAATAGTTAAAAAAGTTAATTTATCATATCTTACGTCATCATCACAGTCTTCAGGGGCTGGCAAAGGATGCAGTCTAACGTCGCCGAAAGCTCCTAGATCCATTATTAACTGGCGATAATACGACGATCACCCGTGTGAGTGTTAATAAAATACGGTAGACTAATCTAGCTCTATGTGAAATTAAAACCGAGAACTTTTAAACATCGAAGAATAAATTTTTATTTTGAAAATAAACTGAGATAACTGATTTGAGCTCGTCTTCTTTTCAAGCATCCCACTGACTGAAAACAAATTTAACATAAAATTAATTTTATTTTTTGATAAAATTACAGATAGAATTTAGCATTAAAATTTTTCTATTTCATTATAAAATAATTTCAAAATTAATTTATCATATATTTCAATAAATATTTTTATTTATTTTTTAAGTATTTAAAAAATTTCAAAGTATTTTATTTGGCATTCTAACCATACTTACAATAACATAATATAAATTAACTTTCCCTAAACTTTTCAGTCATCTTCCATAAGTTGTTTATTTTATTGTGTACAGTTTCATAACACGGGGCATATATTACTTACGTAAAATAAATATGGAGTTGGAAAATTTAAAGCCCATGCAAAAGAAGGACCACATTAACAAACAGGCGATATGGGAATACTACAGGGTCTTTCTTTCTATTTTTTTTAAAAGTCAGCGCTCCGTTGCATGCACTGCGCACATGAATTATTGAAAGTTTTCTCCACTGTTCAGTGCACAATACAAAAAATTAGCAGATATGAAATATGGACTACAACACAAACACAAACATAATATATTATAAATAAGTTATAAATGAAGAAATGAACTAACTAAAACTAAAAACCAACTATCTTCCAATTTCTTTCTTTTCAATCAATGATATTCAGCCAGAGCTGGATATTGCTAGATAATTAATAAAGGTTAGATATCTAACCAGAGCTACATCTAAGATCTGGTGCAATCTTACTGGAACCTTTTTTTCATGGATACAGGCTCTGGGTGCCTAGTCTAAAGCAGATCACTATTTCATCATTTAATAATAATATTATTATTTTAATAATGGTTATAATTATATTGTTATACAAATATATTGCAATTGAATAAGCTTACTTCATATAACTATTATATATAAACATATATACCTATGCATAAATACAATTATATTTTTTATTCATGAACTTTGATTTTTAACCACATCCAAGCTTTTGGTTTTTTTGCTGGTGGGAATGTAGCTAAGGAAGTGATCTTTTGTCATCTATTTCTATTGACAATGTTTTGCGTATTTCAGGGTTTGAATCTGGTTGATGCAAGTGAGAGGTCTGAGTTTACAAGATGTCTCCTCAAATCTTGCACATCCTTATTTGTCTCTGGTTCTAACAGGTTGAATGGTATTTTGTTCTTTTTATCAGTGCACTTGATTCTAATTTTGTTTATTGAACTCAATGTGTTTTTAGCAATTTTTTATTTTGATAATTATTTGTAGTCAGAAAGAAATTACATTAGACCTCATGCAAAAACTGAGCAATCAAAGGGGCATTGACACGTTGAAAGAATCTCCTTCAGGGTTATTTTTTTTTTGCCGATTCAATTTGTTGTTTGTGATATGGTTTCAAAAGAAGAAGTCAATTTTATTCACTTGTTGTAATTATCATTGAAACCATTTTATTGTTAGGTCTTTGTGTGACAGGCGAGTTTGGAAAGTCAACAAAAAGGTACAAAGAGAGCTGCAAAGTGAAGCCCTTCAGATACGCCAATTAATACATCAATATAAAACCATGGTTAGTAATTTGATGTGATGATGGATGCAGCTGATGAATGATGTATTGATGTGATGATTGATGGGTGCATCTGATGAATGATGCATTGATGTGATGATTGATGGGTGCATCTGATGAATGATGCATTGATGTGATGATTGATGGATGCAGCTGATGAATGATGCATTGATGTGATGATGGATGCAGCTGATGAATGATGCAGCTGATGTGATGATTGATGGATGCAGCTGATGAATGATGCATTGATGTGATGATGGATGCAGCTGATGAATGATGCAGCTGATGTGATGATTGATGGGTGCATCTGATGAATGATGTATTGATGTGATGATTGATGGATGCAGCTGACGAATGATGCATTGATGTGATGGTGGATGATTCAGGGAAGGCTCGTACCTCAAAGATCGTGGGATGGTTTGTTGTTGCACCTGCTTGATTTGGAGGACAGCTCCATTCACCAAGTCACTCTCCATTAGCACATTTTTAGTGTTTTCATGATGCAAATAATTTTTTAATTCTTTTGACTTTACATCCATCATTAGTTTGCAAAATAAATTATTTATATTTTGGTAGTGAAATCATTTTATTGATGGACAGCAGATATTGGATCTTGGAGGACATGACCTACACAAATTTCATCAAATTCTCAGTCGTTTTCAGGATGTCATGCAGAGGAATGCTAATGGTTTAATCTTGATTTGATTGTTTTATCTTTAAATAGTTAAATATTCATTTTTATTTGGAATTTTCTTATCAACTCAAGAGATATTGCATAATAACTTTTATGTTTCTTAGACTTGCTGTTCATGGTAGCAGAGAAGAATTCCTCAAAATGCAATCAAATGATCAGAGAAATATCGTCATCGTCACCAACGGCCCCATCTCCATTCACTTGCGTCATCAACGTCAACGCTAAATATTTTCCACGTTTAAAACTTACCAGCAACTCCAGCTGCTCAAACACCAGCAACAACAACAGCAGCAACAACAACACTGAATTTTTATTATTTGATAGGATCATGTGTTGCCTGCCATGCAGGTGGAACTTTCTTAAACTTGTTTCTTTACCAATTTCATCTTTGTGTTCATCAGTTCAAATTAATTATTCCATGATTTTAATATAGTTGAGTATTTTTAATGTTGCTGTACAATCTGTAATATTGCTATTTCCTCTCTAAATATTGTTGCGTAACCTTCAATATTCTGCACTTAATAACAGCAATGATGGCATATTGATTGAAAATGATAATTTGAACAAGTGGAGTTGTTCAGTTCCTTTGGATCATCATGGGTCAGTGGTGGATGGATGGATGGATTGATGGATGGATAGATGAATGGGTGGTTGGATTTATGGATGTATGTATATATAAATGGATAGAAGCACATATGGGTGAATGGATGGAAATAGGTAGGAAGGGAGGTATGGTTGGATGAATGAATGGAGGAAAGGATGAATAGATAAATGGATGGGTAATTGGATGTTATAATTTTTGAAATTTTTTGATGATGTAATTTTATCACATGCAGTCCTTTATGTGAAATGTTGAACGCTGGTCTAAGAGTTCTGAATGTTCGAGGTAGGTTGGTGTACACTGTCTACTCGATGAATCCAGTGGAATGTGAGGCTGTAGTGTCCGCTGTGCTTCTTCAACAAAAGGGTTAGAAGGTCCAACTTTATTATTCATTTTTCGCTTGTTCATTTTGGACATTTATTCTTTGTCAGTTCATCGCCTGAAAACAGCTGGGTAAACTTTAAAATGCATTTTCATAAATTTGATTTTTGTCATGATTTCTTGTGCCATCTCATAATAATAATAAAAATAAAAATAATAATAATAACTATAATAATAATAACAATAATAATAATAGGTAGTTTTGAGTTGGTGGATGTGAGAAGCATGATGGGCGACATCAAATATGAGGTGGGACTGACATCATGGAAGGTTGGTTGGTTGGTGGCATATGTATATGTTAGGATGGCTCGCTGGTTAATCAGCTGGTTGGTTGGCTAAATGGATGTTTGGCTGGTTAGATGCTGGTTGGTTGGTTATTTGGCTGGTTGGATGCTGGTTGGTTGGTTGTTTGGCTGGTTGGATGCTGGCTGGTTGGTTGGTTGCGACCATTATATCATCATTTATTTCCCATTTTGCCGCATTTTAAACTTTTCTTAGCACTCCTTAAACGCCGGTGAATACGATAACATTGGTGATGGTGTCGTTCAAATAAACCTGTAATATATTAAATATTATGTTTTGCTAAATAATAAACTTTATTTTATTTTATAAGGTGCTTTAAATTAGTAAATTAAATAATATAAATTATGTTCAGTCAACTTTCTAGGTATGATAGATGTGGTAAATGTAGGTAAGTTTGATGCAGTTACTTCTTGGAATGAAAAATGGGTTAATTTTGCGTTAATTTTGCAGCTCTTTTTGCAGCTTTTTGGTAGCTGCAAATGTGGGCAAATGTCGTTTTTGAATATTCTGATGAATCGTTTGATGTACATAATGCCTTATTTTAAATGAAACAAATCCCCATCAATGTCAACTTTGACGCTTTACCCATCGAAGCTCCGAAAGCTATGAAGGATGGAAAGGCAGCAGGGCCCTCTGGACTCACAAATGACATTATCAAAGCATCTGGTACTGCAGGTATCCAAACGTTACTACAACTTTACCGTAAAGTGTGAAGAAATTGCTCAATGCCAACTGAATGGAACTATAGCATGACAGTTCCGCTATACAAAGGCGAAGGTGATCCATTGAACTGTTCATCATATCGGGGTATACGTCTGTTGAACACTCCCTGGAAATTGTCGAAAAATCATTGAGAGAAGATTAACGTCGTGCATCACAATCGGAAATTATCAATTTGGTTTCCTAGCAGGGAAATCAACAATTGATGCTATTCACATCCTTCGGCAACTGCAAGAGAAGTACCTCGCAAAGCATCAACAACTATCAGACATTTTTGTAGACCTTGAAAAAGCATTTGATCGAGTTCCCCGTGAAGCAATCAGGTGGAGTCTACGTCGACAACAGCTCATTCCAGAATATCTTGTTCGACTTGTGATGAAAATGTATATGAATACTAAGACTCTCGTCAGCACAACGGTTGGAAACACAGATGCATTTGACATCGGCGTTGGAGTTCACCAAGGCTCGATTCTCAGTCCACTGTTATTTATAACTGTGATGGAAGAAATCACAAAGCCGATACACACTGGTGACATTTGGAATCTAATATATGCTGATGATATCGTTTTAACAGCTACGTCTGAGAAGAATGCAGCACAGATGTTTGAAGATTGGAACACCAGACTCGCCGATCATGGATTCAAAGTCAACATCAGCAAAACCAAAGCAATGAACACTGGTGAACCCATCCAATCCAGAGCTACTGGACGATGGCCCTGTTCAGTTTGTAAAGCTGGTGGAGATAACAATACAATCAAGTGTCAGCAGTGTAACCAGTGGTGTCACAAACGTTGTTCAAAAATAATTGGTAATTTATCTAAAGTGTCCAATTTTGTTTGTCCTGCTTTTATCAATCCACAACAACAAATTCGAAATAGCACTGTTTTTGAAGCCATTAAGGTAGAGAAAGTCACATCGTTTCAATATCTAGGGGATGTTCTGGATTGTACTGGAACAGCTGAAGCTGCCGTTTGAGCACGCATACGTGCAGCCTGGAATAAATGGCATCTCCTTGCCTCTATATTGATGCGGCGTGACATCCCACTACCACTACGATCAAGACTTTATAAATCTGTGATACGTCCGGTGTTGTTATATGGTGCAGAAACATGGCCAATGACAACCAAACTGGAACAACAACTTCACCGAACCGATATTAAAATGGTCCGATGGATGCAACGAATTAGTCTGAAGGACCACATCAAATTTACCGAAATCCTGCGTCGTGCTGGTTTAGATGATATAAAGGACGAATGCCGGCAACACCGTCTGCGGTGGTTTGGTCATGTCAAACGAAATGGAAACAGTGCCATAACTTCTCTTGCAGATGTTGAAGTGCCTGGCACACGTCCCAAAGGCTGTCCAAAGAAGTCCTGGTCGCAAACAATCGAGCAAGACATGAAAGCTCTAAATTTAAATGAAATGGATACAACTGATCGCCTAATTTGGCGCAAAAAATTGATGGCAAAGAAAACAACGTCCTACCTCGGGAGAACTGGGTCTCTGGACGCTAAACGATGATTGATTGATTGATTGAATGCCTTATGTGAATACATTTGAAAGGTGAATAATTACTTACACTTCCTTTTTTACAAATACACTTGGAAACGTGGATAATTTCATGTAGGTAATTATACTTCGTTGTTTTTTAAAATCAATCATGGTCTAACAATTTTTTCCCCAAATTTTATTTGGTAAGGCCCGGTAATTAAATAAGACAGGCTTGTGCAGATTAACTAATTTGCAGTAGAAATAGAAGATATAATTTTTCAAGGTGATCCGTATAATAAACCCTGCAATTAGCCATAATAATATGGAATGGAATGTCCAATAATAATTCATTGATTAATTAAGCAAACATATAGGAAATCAAAATAGCAAAATGATCGTAGCTATTAAGGTTTTAGTTGTCAGATGTTATCCGCTAATAGCAATGCTTAAAAGCATATAGGTAAAGAGAAGTGTGAGAGTTTAACATAGTGACCCGGTTCCGAAGAGTAGGTTAGATGTGAGCTAAGGAATACAGGAGCATTGTATGCAACTGTTAAAAATGAAATTCAGAATAAGTCATCAAAAAAAAACATTTTCGAAAAGAATGAAAATTTAAAATATTTGACTTCGAAAGAAACCAACGTTTATGACAAAACTGCATTGACTGTCGAAATAATTTGAAAACGTTTGCATTTTACATTTAAAGTATCAGTTGCACATTTACTTTTCAAAGTTACACTTCTACATTATTATGTTAAACAAACCATATCCACTAGAGTAGCTGGACACTTAAAAAATTATGAAACCCAAATCAACCAATTTTTTCATTTCTTTTTTCATGATTCAAGCGCTACTTACTTTTTTGTGGCTGAGACTGAGGTAGATTTTGATGACGACGATGATGATGGTGATGACGATGATGATGAAAGTACATAGCGCTCGCATGTTTTGCAGTTGTTGTACCAAAGACAGACCTGGTTTGAGAATGCAGTCGAAGTGCCACACAGGTTGCGCAACCAAATCTCCGCCTCCATGTTTCCTCCTGCCAATCAAGCAATCCTCCAACAACAACATCTCACTAGATGGTTGGTGCTGCTGCTGCTGCTGATGATGATGATGTTGATGATGATGTTGGTGGTGGTATGATGCTGGTTGTGGCTGATGATTGAATGGTAATAACTGTTGGGAAGATTTTGATGAACAGCAAATGAATTACTTATGTAGAATAAAGTAAACAATGTTCTTAAAATTGAAATCAACTCAGCATGAGAATAATGCCACACAAACAAGAATCATGTGGACTGTTCATCGCCGTATTCAAAAGAGTTGAGAAGCTTGATGTTGCGACACACAAACAACAAGAAGGTTTTTTATGCCTGTCAATTATTTTGGTAAACAGTCCAAAAAGCGAATAGAAACCGACGAATAACTATCTCTTCATGTTGAAAGAAATCTAAGCTGTTGATGTTGTTTCTTTGTGATGTTATTTTTAATTGCGTTAATAATTAAAGTGTTGTCGTTAATGTATATTGTGTAGTATTTGTTTTTAATTGCTTCAATTTTGTTGAAGGCAATGATGCAGTTTGGTGAGCATATGTTGTTGTGTGGCGTCAAGGATAACCTGATATGTTTCTTCACTGACTGTTTGTTGGTATCCGTCCTGATTGTCGTTAAGTTGCTGGGTGAGCATGAAATCTTCAATTTTGAGACCATATTTTATACATTATTGTATGAATTCTATCAAATTGTTGGCATTAACCAATTTAAAGTCTAACTTTTATATTTTTCTAACTATGTTGGTGTCGTATGCGTCCAAAATGAATGTCGCTGTTGTTGGAATGTTGCAGAGGTCGTTGATGAAGATTGTGAACAGGGACGGTCCGGGTATGGAACCATGAGGAACTCAGTTGTTTACGCTGCGGAGTTTGAATTTTTGATTACTTATTGCCACATACATTTGAGATAACTGTGAAGCCACAAATGAGTCTTCCCTCTGACACCATTTGCAAAGAGTTTGTTCAGAAGCAGTTCGTGATTGAAAACATCAAATGCTTTGGTGAGATCGATGAAAATTCTTAAGGTCAAAATTTTATCGTTCAGATTTTGCATTACTTTTTGAGTGAACTCCAAGATTGCTAGTTCAGTAGAGTGATTTGCACAGAACCCATACTGGTTGTTGTTGAAAATGTTTAATTTTTTTTAGAAATGATTGCAATCTTGTATACATTAATTGTTCAAGAATTTTGGAAACAAGTTGAAATAAAAGCAATGGGGCGATAATTATTTGTTTCTTGATCATCACCTTTTTTTAATACTGGTATTATTGTTGGGCATGTTTCCAACGATGTTCATTATTTCAGATTTTGTTGTTGAGTTGAGATATATTGAGCTTGCTGCTAAATTGACTGGTCTGAATTTAACGTGTGAATTATTTGGGTTACATTGGCTTTGCAAATTTGAACTTTATCCTCTATGATGGTGCTATTGATTTATGATGGTGCTATTGATTTTGAGTTAGGAGATCTGTGGTGGACAAAGTTTTTGTTTAGAATTTCCTTATTTGCGTTCCATTTTTGCTTTGCGTTATTTGAGGTGTCTAAAAATTTTTGTTTAAAATAATTTAATTCTGCTTTTCTTTTGAAATCGTTAATTTACATTGTTTACACTGTTTACATTGCAGCCTGTTTCGTTCATTCGGTTTTGTTAAATATTTTTTGTACAACCGGTTTTGTTGTTTTGACAGGCAAATGATTTCTTTAGTTATCCATAATTTTTTGTTTTTCTCATTTTCTGGTAGGATTGGAGCAAATTCATCAAAAACGTTGTTGTTTTTGGCGAAAAATTTTGCACATGCGATGTCGATATTATTTTCACTGGTGATTGAGAACCATTGTTGTGATGAATGGGCACGACTGATTTTAATTATTGAAGAATTTGTAATTTTACGTTTATAAATGTTGTTTCGATTTAAAGTGAGGTTATAGTTTTTATGAACAGCAAATATTGGCAGATGATCGGAAAAATCTGGGATGACAATCCCGCTATTAAAAACTTGTGTTGAGTTTGTGAAGATGTTATCTAACAATGATGACGACGTTTTTTTGATGCGAATTGGTGAAGCTATTAAAAGCGTGAAACAATAAGAGGAGATTAGATTTTTGAATGTAGAAGCACTGTTTGAGCTCATATCTGTTAAGTTGAAATCTCCAACAACGTATGTTTCTTGTGAGGTTTTTACGGAAGCTAATATGTCTTCAAATCGTTTTACAAAACATTCACAGTTTGACGAGGGGGGCGGTACATAGCATCTACGTTGACTGCTTTGCCAGTTGAGAATTGTTTTTATCTAAGTTGAATGCAATGCGTGTCAGTAGTATCATCTTCAAAAAGTTTGCTATCGGAGATGTCATAGGCTAGAAAATGTCTAACGCCACCACCCTGTCTGTCAGCTTTGTTCTTGAACAAAAATTTGAAGTTAGGTAAATTTATTAAATTTGCTGTGCTTTCGTTCCGCCATGTTTCTGTTATGATTATGATGTAAAAAAAAAGTTTTGCAACTGGAGTAATAAAACTTGGAGCAAACTCATTTTGTTGTACAAACTTCGGGCATTAAGGTAAAATATAGAAAATTAATTTTTATTGTTTTAACTATTCATGTTTGATTTGATGATAGTTTTTGACAAGGTTTCAATAGAATAATACACTGAGCAGTCATGTTGAGAATCTACATTAGTCAATTGATTATTATTGTGGTTTTCTTCCATATTTACGTTTTTTGGAGTGCTTCCTTGAAAATCCATCTACGCGCCGATATGTTGCACGGCCATTTATCTGGGTTCAACATGGCTTCTGCGTCTCGGATGTCTATGCAGACTCGAAAAGCTTTTGAGATAGCATCATCTGGTTCTAGTTGAGATGATTTTTTGTTGGTGACCTCGAAGCACGTGATTGGATTTATCTTGTTTGTTTGTAGGTGAATTTTAGTGTCATCAACTGAACAGTAACTGTGAAAGTTGCTTATGTAGAAAATTGATTTTTTTTTATTAGAACTTTATTTGCTTTTTTTTTAGATTTTCTAAATTGATGTTTCTTTCTATTATTTTACAAGGTTTTGTTGTCAGTTTTGGAATTGTTTTGCTCGAGTGTAGGGCTGACGGATGATCATTTGTAACGGTGTTTTTCGGAGATGGTGTTGATCTACTTTTTTTTCGTTTATTTTTCCTAGACCTAAACACTTCAAAATGTTTGTTATCGGTTGTTACCTCTTCAGATTTACGATTTGCTCTGTCGACCCACTATTAGCAAGACCCACTTGTTTACGCGCCGTTGAATTGGTTGTCGCTAGAATTGACAAACGATCTTGTATTTGAGTTGTTCACGAATATTTGAGTTTGTTTATTTCTACTGTTGTCCGCATTTCGAAGTACCGTGTTGTTGATGTTGTGGTTTTCTTTCTGTGTTCAAGTTCTTTAGTTAGACGGTAATGAGTTTGTAACCGTCAATATGAACTACTGGTGTTTGTTAAGTTTTTCGGTTATACTCGATTGCTGGTTATTAAATAGCGTGCTAATTTCTCTGTTCGAAATTGAAGTTTATTAAATTGTTACTTGCAGGTATTTTTGTCATGTTTGCACTTACGAACATCGTGATTTTATCTTGAAGTCCGTTGATATTAAGCTGGTTTAACAGGAAAATACATTCTATAATTCTATCTTTTTTTGTATTTCCTTTTGACGAATATTTCTCTATTTTTTCACTTTTCAGACCGCCTATGTCATTTTTCAACAGCTTCAGAGCAACGTTTATTTCCTCATAATTATAAAATTCTGAAACATTAATTACCAAACATCGATTTCGAAATAATTAAAGTTGTTTGTTATAAAATATAAAATTTCGTTATCAACAATTTGCCTGTTCGCCATGTTAAAATCACTCCTATCTATATGAAACTTACATATATGCTGAATACATACAAAATTACTTCCTCAGGTGTTAATGAACGTAAAAACAGACGTGAACACGATCGTCAGGATAACAACACTAATAAGAAAATAAAACTGGCTGCTGATGATGATGCTAAAATATTGCATGGCGACATTAAACCCGGGCATAAAAATGATAACGAGGTGACAAATGATGGCAGTTATAAGATGATGGTGATTGATGATGGTGAAAGCAGACAGGATCCGTTGGAAGATTGCATGGATGATTACATCATACGTGATTCTGTAAACAGTAGTGATGAAACGACTAATCAGGAATTGCATGGTGATGGCAGAGAAAAATCTAGATTCGAGGATGCTGAACTTCACAATGAACAACAAAATCTACAACAACAATCTCCACCTCAACAACAACAACAATCTCAACGGTCTGAGACTCACTTTATAAAGTCAAAAAGAATAAATTTTATAGAGCCAGATAATCCTGATGTTCAAGTCATCAGGTTCTTTTGTGCAATAATAATAATATTACAACAATTCGTATTTGAATTATTACTTTTGAATTTGTTATTTTTGAATTTAATTGTTATTTTTCGCCTTATTAGGGAAGCAGCTTAAAAATTTTTACAGGGATTTCTATGGTCTGTTGCATTTCCCTGTGGAAAATTTGATGATAGAGAAGCTTGGCACGTACCCACATCGTCTGTATTACGTCAGTGATTTCGTCAAGAACGTCATCTCCAGCAACCACGACTCCTACGCCGTAAGATTCGATTCAATTCTCTCTATCAAGCTCATCACTCATCTTTTAAAAGTTCCTTTGCACGTTAAACCCATAAATTTATAATGAAAACTCACATTATATGAAATTAAAAATTGAATCTATATCACATCAAGTATTATATTTAAACTAAATTTTTGTCTTATTTTTTCGTGATTTCCATATCAGTTTAAATAGTTGCAAATAGTTTTGATGTCCAATTGTTGCTTTACTTTTACGAACTCTGGTTCCATCTTATTGTTTTTAAATCCACTACTATTATTGCTACGAAAATAGCAAAGCTGATGAATTTCGTTTTAAATTGTGTAACTTGAAAATATTCTTAATGTTTAAATAAAATATCAAAAACATTTCAGTTAATTTTGAAAATGCTCACAGTTTCCAAGAGCTGGTGTGAAAATGTTCAACTACCGGTCGAAGGACGACACATCGTGCAAGTTCATCATCTGTCAAGAGGTTCTTGTGCATTTTAATGAATAGTTATGTGTTAATAAATAGATTGCTACATTCAGTATCATGCAGAACTAAACTCTATTTAATTGTTAATTTTGATTCAATTTTTAAAATTTTAGGGTCTTCCACTGTTGTACAAATTCATGACCAAAAGAATAATTAATTGCTCGAAAAAAGACTTTGTGGTCCTTGCTCGCAGTTCTCGCTTGTTGATGTACAACCTGACTGCCAACATGCAAAACAAACTCAATAAATTAGGTTTGTTGTCTTATAACATTGTACATAAAACAATGATCATATAATCGCAGTGTTGTTGTTGTTGTTGCCCTGCGTCAGACATCATTGGAGGGATCCAGACGAGGCCGTAGCCAGTTAGCCACGGCCACCGGGTTACGCCAGAGATCTATTATCGTGAAATGAGTTGGGTTTTTTGGGCAGCTGAACAGATGGGGAACATCATCAGGAAGTAATTGGCATATTGGACAGATGTTGCTGATCCTACTGTCTATTTTCGATCTGTAGCTGTTGAGGGAGATGCAGTGACCAGAGCGGAGCTGGGTCAGTTTTCTTCTTAACGCTCTGGGCAAACTCTCCTCTGCCTTGTCTATTTTGGGTGTTGGAGGTGGCCATCCGTTGAACAGCACAGCGGCATGATATGTCTCCGAGGCGAGTTTCGCAGCACTACAATGCAAGGCAGATGAAGCTGCCTTTAACGCTCTGCTGTCGGTATCTGTGGGCAGAACGGTTTGCACTGTCTGTACATATTTGCTGAATAATGTGTGTTTTATATTTCTGTCGGGTCGTGGTTCTCTTGTGATGTGATGGCAAGGGTGACTGGTATTATGGCCTTGTAAAAGGAATTGAGATGATAGTAGGTCAGTATGCTGCTTTACTGATAGCATCTGGCATTCAGAGTGGAGATGTTGTTCCGATGCTATTCCGTGGCATCCGGTGATTACCCGTAAAGCAGCGTTTTGTGAGCGTTGCAGTCTGTGGTAGCTTGTGTCGGAAGTCAGTGGAGACCAGGCCGTGCAGGCATACTCAATAACTGATCGGCCAATCGCCTTGTATGTCTGCATTAGTGTTTCTTTGTCTTGGCCATAGGTGGTTCCACTGAGAGCTTTTAAAATTGAGTTTCGCTTAGAGGCCTTAGAAGCTGACATCTTGTGATGCTGCGAGAAGGAGAGCATCGTGTCAAAGATAAGGCCTAGAATTTTTGGGTTATGCTCTAGAGGAAGAGTTTGTTTATTGACTTTGACTTGCGGGTGATAATGGTTTACGATGTGTAAGAGGTAGAGTGTTATTGTGGGTTTGGATATTGAGATCTCCAAATTACGGTTGTGGAAAAAGTCATGTAACTCCGTCAGATAACTGTTAAGCCGCCGGGTCAAAATAGCTGCATCTGGACCTGTAGTGTAGATAGAGAAGTCATCCGCATATGAGATGATTTTGATGTCCGGGGGTGGTGCAGGTGTTTTTGAGACATAGAAGTTGAAAAGTGACGGGGACAACACTGAGCCTTGAGGCACTCCTGTGTGGATGATTTGTTGTTTGGAGTGCTGTTGTCGAAATGTGGTTGATGCGGTACGTCCGTGCAGGTAGCTTGACATCCAGCGTATAACAGATCTTGGGAGTGTTGTAGTTAAAAGATCCGAAAGAAGAATACGGTGGCTGACCGTGTCGAAGGCTCTAGAGAGGTCTAGGGCGGCAAGAACGGTGCAATGAGCTGGTCTTTTGTGATTAAGGCCATTTGCGATGTCGTTTGTTATCGTGGTGAGAGCAGAGGTTGTTGAGTAGTTTGGACGGAAACCGTGTTGATGATCCGCCAAAGTTAGATGCTTTGATAGGATTGGGAGAAGGCATTTTTCAAGGATCTTGACGGCTGGGCAGAGTAACGATATTGGCCTGTATGATTTTGAGTCGCTATCTGGTTTTCCAGGTTTTAACAGAGGGATGATTTTCGCTTTTCTATAGATGTCGGGAATTTTACATGTATTCAGGGAGCTATTGAAGATGTTGGTGAGGAAGGAAATACCTAGAGGACCTAAATTTTTGAGATGTATGATGGTGAGGTTGTCGGGGCCGGAGGCTTTCGAGGGCTTGGATTGCTTGATGGCCGTTGATACTTGATCTGGGGTAAAGATTTGATGGTCATGAAGAGGGAGGTTATTGATGGTCCTGGTTGTGAATCTATTTAATTTGTCGGAGATGTGTGTTTTGAATGAGGTAAAGGTTTTATTGAATAGGTTGGCCATCTGTTTATTATTTGTTATTATTATTTGTTATTGGTTTGTTATTGAAAGTGATGGCATTATTTGGGTATTGTTTAGGCTTACCGTTGAGAGCCTTGATGGTGGACCATAAGCGGTTTGTGTTGGTGGATTTATTGAATGTGCTCAGGTATTCCTTCCAGCGGGTGAGCTTTAGATTATTGATTTTTTGTTGAATGACAGTTGAGAGAGAGTTGATGTTGTCTGAAGTAGGGTCCAAGGATCTGAGACTGTCTCGCTGATCCATGAAGTCCGTGATTTCTCTGGACAGCCCTGGTCGTGAGAGAATTCTCCTTTCTGAAGGAATGTTGCGAGCGCTGGCGGACGACAAGATGTGACGAAACAATTTCTCAGCTGCCGAAGGGTCATTGGGAGATACAGATTTTGCGAAGGCAGTTTCGGCTTCTTCAGTGTATCTGGCCCAGTTGGCCTTATTGAAATTCACGATTGTTGTTTTTGGAGTTTTCGTGGGTTCCAGATCAGCGTGCAGAGTAATGTGAATAGGGATATGGTCAGAAAACAAGGTGGTAAGTACGGTCCAGTCCATAGAAGATATCAGGGAATCTGATGCTATCGAGACATCAGGAGAAGTTGGTTGGCTGTTGTTGGGGAGACGGGTCGGAGAATCAAGATTTAACGAACCGCAATCAGAGTCATCGATCTCGACTGCCAGTGCTTCACCTCGCGCGTCCTGTATAATTGCAGTGTGATTTCGCTTGCATCGTTTTGTCATCACTTATTTGATGCTCACTCAATTTACAACTGTGTGTGGCCACAGAAATTGATAAGCATTATATATTGCCTAGATGTCGTAAGTCCTTATTTGTTGGCAGGTTTTCCGACTGTCGCTAAGTTGCCAACTTATAGAGATGGGCAATTTCGTGATCAGACAGGTTTTTGTACTACATGAATACAAAATCTTTTTGTCAGAATTCAAGATTTTAGAAAATGATTTAATCTGCCGTTTTACTTTACTTGTGTGATATTTAGATAATTTTGGGATAAACTACAATTGCTTAAAAAAGATTTGTTATAGGGCCGCGAGTTTTCATGAGATGGTGACAGCTGTCCGGGTGAGGGGTGTAGAACCGTAGATGGTGCGATGGTAAAGGAGAAGGAGGATGGAAGGCGTGGACGTTGGGATGATTCGATAATTAGAGGGTGTGATTGAGATATCATGTGTCCCTTTGCAAGATAAATTTTTTTTAAGATTTTAAAAACCGCTGTTAAGAAATAAGAAAATGTTTAAATTAAAGTGATTGATTGATTTTTGATCTCGGAAGTACTTTTGTGGAAGGATAAACCCTACACTAGAACTTGTACTTGTCTTTATAATGACGAACGTAAATTAAAACATGAACGGTATGAGATTAAAAAGAGTTGCCACTATACTGAAAAAATAGCGCTAACTTATTAGCCTACTGTCTGTTTATGATCCGTCGTAATTTGTTGGTTATGTCATTCATAGTGACATAACAAATCAGATATCATCAAGTTAAACCTTTGTTTTTCCTCTCATAAATTTTCATCAACGTCAGACTGAATAACACCTCTGTACATGAACTCTGTCTTATACCTATAAAATGTAATGTGTTTGGTGAATTAACCAAAGTTCTGAGAAGGATACACGTGGTATTTTGTAATGGTCTCTGATGATTTAAATTTGAATTTAAACGATTTCCAGCTGGCAATGATTAAATTAATTCAATAATTTTTCCATTCATCAACAAAATTTATTTAATTCAGAAAATGGCTGCTTTGCCGTTGTATACAATCCAAGAATTGAATCCAATGTGAATGCGTCGAACCAATCTGAGACCATCAACGCCCCAGTAGATGACTCGGTGAATAGTGAGGATGATTTCTTCGCATTGGTTTGTCTCAAGACAGAACATGCATACGTCGCCTTGACATCTGAGTATTTAAGAAAGTATTATTTGCAAAGACTTTCAGTTCCATCGCACGAAATGGGTTAAAACGATTTTTAAATAATTTATATTATTCCGTATTTCGACTTCTTAAACTAAGCCAAACTGAAGTGGTTTACGTAATCAGATCTAAAAATGTTTAAGATATATTTTGGTAAATGTCAAAGATTTGTAAAATTAAATTTTTCTTTAGTCGGATAAAATTAAATTTAGTAACGTTTATTCGTAATAATACAATTAGCTTGATCATACTATTAATTTTTTCAGAGGCATTCCGTCCATCAAATAGCTGTAAGGAGGCTTTAGTTAATTTTGCGTTCTATTTGGAGCAAGCTGGTCTATAAAAGAACAAATTGATACATTGCACTGACTGACCGTTTTCAAATTTTCAAAAAATAATGCTGAATAAAATAAATAGAACAACAATTCATTCGGCGTTGTTACTGTTACGTATAGCCTACAAGAGTGAATTTGGATAAAGGAATATTTGTGTGTATATATATATATATATATATATATATATATATATATTTATATATTTAAATCAATATAAATCAACCGCTGTTCGATAGTCTCGCCAAAACTCTTAAAGACTGAACGGATTTATCTTATCTTGGTCTTGAAATGTTCGTGGAAGTCTAGGGAAAGTTTTAAGGTGAGAAAAATTCGAATAATTGCCAGGTAAACCCTAAAAACAGTAAATATTGTGTTACGATATCTGTATATACGAGAACTTTCTTTACTTTGTTGATCCTTTGTGATAGTGACATTTAGAGCAATGTGCTCTTTTTTTGGATTGTAATTGCGACACTTTACTGCTAAGTGAGCGAGAAATTTTCTCACTTTGATTATAATTTACGATGCCGAGGAGAAGACGACCTGATCTAGGTCACTGCAGTCAATCAAATGTGCGAAGAGTTACCTCACGTGCTAACCGCACTGATGACCAGAGAGATACAGATCAAGAAAATAGTCGTATTGCTATGTCAGAATTGCGTTATTTAGTGAGTGATAATGAAGTAGATAGGCTTAGAATAGAACGAGTTCGTGCACATCATACACAACAACAGCAAGCACAACATAATGAAGTTGAACAAATCCGCAGATGAAGTGCTTCTGTGATTCTTGAACGAGCTACTATGATCGGAAATTGATTGTTGTGCCGACAAATTGGTAACAATTGGGGAATGAAAATAATTTGTAAATATTGTAAGTCATTAAAATACACTCATGAATCTACTGGATTATATTGTGCTGGAAGCAAAGTAAAATTGCCATAAATGGTCTCACCACAAGATCTTTTACGATCATTAGTGTCTGGGATTGAAAATTATTCTAAGCATTTCTTGGCCAACATTCAAAAATATAACAGCTGTTTTCAGATGACATCATTTGGCGCTATACATGGCAATTTCATGCTCACTTTCAAGGTATTATACTATAATATATTTTTATAATATTCAATATATACTAAAATAAATATATCGAAAATAATGAATCGACAAATTTTAAAAAAATTAGAGATACAAGGACAAATTTTTCACTTACTTAGGGCACTGTTACCAGTATCTGATGCAGATTATCAATTTTTACAAATTTATTTTATGGGCAATTAAGATGCGGCAATTGATAAACGTTGAGCTCACAATCCAACAGTGAAGAGAACAATTGTCCATGAATTACAAATGTTTCTTCATCAAAATAACAATTTAGTAAACATGTTTAAAATAGCTTTGGATCGGATGCCATCTGATAGCCATAATATTATCATTCGATCTGACAAAACACCTGCCGGTGAACACACAAGGAGGTTTAATTCACCTACCATTGGCGAATTGGCTGTTGTTATCGTGTGCGCCGTCAAACCTTGAATCCTACACTACAAATGACTGCAGAAATGAGACATTAATTATGATAGAAGATATGTGTTTATTGATAGCAAATAAAGTATTGCCGTGATTGGAAATGACAGCACCAAATCGTCATAAGCACGATGCATTAAACCACGAGTTGCAAAGAGAACAACAGTACGACATTGAACCATTGGCCGAAACAGTTCGTACAAATGTTCCACAATTAAATCAACAACAAAAACTTGCTTACAACACTTTGATAAATGCTGTGAACAGTAGATCTGGTGGAATCTATTTCCTTGATGCTCCTGGAGGAACAGGAAAAACGTTCTTAATTTCATTGCTTTTGGCGAGTATCAGATCGCAAAATGATCTTGTTCTAGCGATGGCTTTATCTGGAAGAGCTGCGAAATAGCTGCGAATCTTCTAGAAGGCGGGCGAACTGCACATTCTGCTTTGAAATTACCATTAAACATGCAAATCACCGAAACACCAATTTGCAACATCGCCAAAAATAGCGCAATGGCCAAGATCCTACAGGTATGCAAATTGATTGTTTGGGATGAATGCACAATGGTCCATAAGAGATCTTCGTGACAACCAAAATATTTTTGGTGGGGCCATAATTCTGCTGTCAGATGATTTTCGTCAGACTCTTAGTTATTTTCCGATCAACTGTTGCTGATGAACTAAATGTATGCCTAAAATCATCGAATTTGTGACAGTATGTAGACACTCTAATTAACTAACTAACATGCGATTATTTTTGCAACAAGATGAAACTGCGAATGTGTTTGCGAAACAGTTGTTAGACATTGGAAATAATAAAGTTGCAGTGGACACCTCGACCGGGTTCATCACGTTACCAACAAATTTCTGTCACATCCCAGACTCAAAAGAGGAGCTTATTCAGCGTTTTTCTCAGATATAACGCAAAAATTTAATAACCATAGTTGGCTGGGTCAAGGAGCAATATTGGCGGCAAAAAATAAAAATGTCGAGGATCTCAATGTGACCATTCAGAATTTTCTTTCAGGACAGTTGGTTTCTTTTAAATCAGTCGACACTGTTATGAACCAGGATGACGTAGTCAACTATCCCACAGAGTTTTTATATTCACTGGAATTGTCTGGATTACCACCTCACAATTTGCAGTTAAAAATAGGGTCAGTTGTCATCATGCTGCGTAACATTAATCAACCTCGACTGTGCAATGGAACAAGACTGGCTGTGAAAAAGCTGATGAATAACGTCATCGAGGCAACAATCATAAAAGGAAAATACAAAGGAGAGGATGCCTTGATTCCGCAGATACCAATGATTTCAACGGATTTACCATTCGATTTTAACAACTTACAATTTCCAGTATGTCTGGCTTTTGCGATGACCCTAAATAAATCGCAAGGACAGTCGTTAGAAGTTTGCGGAATCAATTTAGAGTTTCCCTGTTTCGCGCATGGACGTCGCGTGTTCGCGCGCCGGAAAACCGTCTTTTTGTTTATATACGCACCACAAAACAAAAAAACGATAGTTTATGAGAAAGCTTTAAATTGATTACAAACTGTTTCGTAGCAGTGTGTCTGTCAGTATAAAATGTGAACATTATAAATAGCCAGTATTTAAGGAAATCTCTATTTTGTAATTAAGCGACATGATGTGTCAAAAATAATTCATTCAAAATATGCTTTTTTTTATACGTATTATTTTATACAAAAGTTTAGGTCTTATTTATCGATCGAGGAGGCTGTGACTGGGAAGGGCAATAAAGTTTATGTGACGTCCTGTTTATTTCTGAAATGTAATTAGAATTAAAAACTAGCGAAAATGGAGAGATTATTTATATTTTATTTTGCATCTTCCGGGTCCAGTCGCTCTCATTCAAACACACGATCGAGTCCGGGAGATACAAAATAAGATTAAAAAATATCGAAAGCTGCCATTGTCCTGGTTATAGCGGATGTTTGTTGAATTAAATTTAATTTAAATAAGTTAAATTTGACTCCATCAAAGAAGAGTTTCGTTTTAAAAGTAATCCTCTTGATCTCTGGCGATCGCTCACTTCTTCTTTCTCGTCCGCCACAACACTATTCAGATGATGAGTGCCAAATCTTTGTCAATTCTTTCGCAAATCATTTCATATCAAAAATAAATAATATACATCAGTCAATCAAAGACAATATAAAAACAGATAACATAACACCTTTCAAATACAGACCACAATCAACAAATATATTCGACGCCTTTCCTGCTGTTTCGGTTTCAGAGGTGTTAAAACTCATCTCGTTTCTTGCTAATAAGACATCTCCACTTGACGTTTTGCCTACTGTTCTTCTCAACAAATTTTCCTCACTCTTTGCTCCTGTGATCTCAAAACTTGCTAATTTTTCTTTTAGCAAAAGTGTTTTTCTTACCACTTTCAAAACTGCCCAAGTTCTTTCACTCTTAAAAAAATCTAATCTTGATGCATCGGACCCCTCAAACTATCGTCCCATCTCAAACTTGTCTACTTTTTTAAAAATTCTTGAACGTTTGACTTTAAACAGAATCCTTACACAGGTCACCTCTTTTTCAAATTTTCCACCTTCCCAGTCCGCCTATCGTCCTGGCTTCTCCACTGAAACTGTACTTCTCCATTTATATGATAATCTCACTAACATTTGTGGTAACCGGAGCTGTGCTGCTATGATCTGTCTAGACCTATCTGCGGTCTTTGTCACGATTAATCATCAAATACTTCTAGAAAGGCTAAAAATGGAGTTTGGCATCGCTGTCCTGGTTCAGTTCATATCTTTCAAACCGCCCCCAATTTATTAAACTTGGCACACAGGTCTTTTCTGTTTTTTGCTTATCTGCTGGAGTTCCTCAGGGCTCTGTATTAGGACCAATGCTTTTCACTATTTATACTAGTCCCTTATCTTTAACATCTTTAACAATTATGGCTTATCCTTTCATCAATATGCTGATGACAAAAGTATAGTACTGGAAATCTCCCACCAAAACATCACTTCTCAACTCGATAGACTTAACTCTTGTGTCTCATCAATAAAGAATTGGCATTTTTTTAATTTTCTTCAACTAAATGCCCAAAAATCTGAAATAATGTTTTTTGGCACACCACAGCAACTCACAAAATTTTCTCCACCCTTCAACGTTACAATTGCTGGATCAAGCCTGTCCGCATCAACAAGTCTTAAACTTTTAGGAATTACTCTTGACCCGTCTCTAACTTTCAAAACTCACACTTCTGCTCTCATCAAAATATTTAATTACATTATTTGGTCTATTCGCCATATTCGACCTTTTCTCACAGTCGAAATGCTAGCTGCCTAGCACGCTGCCTTGTGTTATCTCGCCTTGACTACTGCAACTCCCTGCTATATGGCACTCCGGCGTATCTAATTTCCTCTCTTCAGATCATTCAAAACAGATTAGCCAAACTTGTTTTAGAATTACCTCGTTCATCTTCTAGTTCAACATCTCTTGCTCACCTGCACTGGCTGCCGATTCATCAACGCATTAAGTATAAAATATTTCCGCGATGTTCAACAGCGCTCCTCAACGAATTTTGAAAACAGATGGGTCTTGAGATCTGCTCTGAACTTTGCAAGTCATGGAGAAGTAGTCAGAGAAGTAGGTAGAGAGTTCCAGAGAAAAAGACCAGAAAAAGCAAAACAGATTTGGCTAAAGAGTGTTTAACACGAGTTAAGAAAAAGCGAGAACATGAAGACGATCGTAAACCGGGGCGTTTAGGTTCAATTAATATATCTGATAAATACTTAGGAAATAATTTAGATTGAGACTTATACATGAACGTGCAAATTTTAAAATTATTCTATATTTTATAAGTAGCCAGTGCAAGAGAAGAAGATATGGAGATACATGAGAAAAGAAAGGGGTACGAGCAACTAGACGAGCAGCAGAGTTAAAAGCTTTACTTAAAGGATAGAGTATAAAGTCAGGAAGACCATAGTAGAGCGAATTACAATAATCAATCTTAGGTAAGACTAACAAAGTAACAAGGAGAAGAGTAGGATCATCAAGAAAAGGCAAAAGTTTTTTCATTCTACGTAGATGAAAGTTAGAGCTTCTAGCAACACTATTAATCCGAGGAGAGAGAGACATAGTAGAATCAAAGATAAAACCTAGACTACGAAACTTATGAAAGACATCATGAGTTTTAGAATCAGGTAAGATAATAGGAGGAATAGTAATAGAGTGTTTAGATTTATTAAAACAAATTAATTCAAACTTAAAAGGATTAAGTTTAAGACACATAGAGTCAGACCAAGCGATAATTGATGAAAGACATAGAGATAAATTATGAAGAAGACTATTGAGATTAGATGGAGGAAAAGAAGTATAAATGTAAGAATCATCAGCATATAGTTGACTAGAGAAAGAAAAGTTATTAATAATACGAGGTAGTTCAGAAGTATAGAGTATAAATAGAAGAGGGCCAAGGATAGAACCCTGAGGTACCCCGAAATAAAGAGTAGAGGAGTTCGAAGTAGAATTATTGAGAACAACAGAAGAAAAACGATTACAGAGATAAGAAGAAAACCAAGATAGACAAGAATCAGTAATATTAAAAGAAAGATACAGCAGTCTCAAGAGAATAGTATGGTCAACAGTATCAAAAGCCGAGGAAAAGTCAAGAGCAAGAAGAAGAGTAAGATTACTATTGTCACTAGAGGGAAGGATATCACTGTGTATTTTGAGTAAAGAAGTTTCAGTACTGTGAACAGGTCTGAAACCAGATTGAGACACAGGTAGCAAGAGTTAAAGTTTAAATAGGATGACAATCGATTAAAAAGTACTTTTTCTATTATTTTAGAGATGAAAGTAATATTAGTTACAGGTCTATAATTAGATAAAGAGGTAGGATCTAAGGATGAGTTTTTAAGAATAGGAATAACAATAGAATTCTTATAAGAAGTAGGAAATTTAGAGGTGGAAAAAGATAAATTAATTAATTTGAGAATGATTGGATAAAATATTGAAGAAAATTCTTTAAGTAAATTAGAAGGAAGTAGATCTAGAGAACAGGTTGTGGACGACATAGAATTAATAATTTTAGTTAGTTCTAAAAGATTTATTGGAGTAAATACAGAAAAAGATTCAGCAGTAAGTTTAGTAAAGTTATGAGAAGAAAAATTAGAATTAGATGTTCTTAAAGAAGTAATTTTATTTACAAAAAAGTCATGAAACTGTTGAGCAGAAAAAGATGAGTGAGAGGATTTTTTATGTAGAAGTTTAGATAGAACAGACCACCTATTTTTAGATGTTGAAGCAGATGTTATAGAATTTTTAAGAAAAGTAGAGTGTTTAGAAAATAGTAGATATTTATAATTAATCAATTCAGATTCATAGATAGAAAAAAGAGAGTTAGATGGATTTAACCTATAGGCTTTCTCCAGTCGTCTAACACTTTTCTTGGCTACTACACAAGCATTATCAAACCAAGGAGCCTTACTAGAATAGAGCCTATAACTAAAAGATTTAAGAGGAATAAGCTTATCAAGAATAGAAGTAATGTAGATATTAAAAGCATAGACAAAATCATCAACATGAGAAAATAAGGTAGCATCAAAAATAGTTTCAGTAAGAGATTGAAGAAAAATATCTTTATTAAGAGAAGATCAGCATCTTTTAGAAATAGACATAGATGAATTTGAAGAAAGAAAATCTAATGAAAAATCAGATTCAATAAGAAGGTGATCAGAATAAGGAACAGAGCTAGCAGAGATATTAACAGGCTTAGAAAAAGATGAAGCTATAATAAAATCAATAGCGTTACCAGAAGTATGGGTAGGAAAAGAACAATATTGAGTTAAATTAAAAAGAGACAAAATATCATTAAATCTACGAGTGTAAGAATATGATAAATTATTGAAGTGCAAATTGAAATCACCAGAGATGTAGAAAGGAATACAAAAAAAGTAGAGAGATTCAGCGAGTGAGTATAATTCATCTAAAAATAAAGTGAGAGAAGAAGAAGGAGGGCGATAGATTACAGCAATATAAAAAGATAGAGAAGAAGACTTAAGAGATACAGCAAGACATTCAAAAGAAGAAAAATTAAAGGAAGTATTAATGGAAGCAGTAAATAGAGATTTATAAAATAGACAGATACCCCCATAAGAAGAATGAGAAGATGATAGAAGATTTTTTGGAGGTCTAGAGAGTTCAAGGAAGCTGTAACCATCAGGAGTAGCAAGAATAAGAGAGGGAGAGTTAGAGTCCTCGTGCCAATGTTCAGTAAGAGTAAAAAAATCAGGTAAGGAGTAAGAGATTATTTGATTATTATTTTTTTATTAATTGATCTTATGTTAATATTAAATAGTGAAAATGTAGAGGTAGGTTGGATATTGGTACTTTTAAATCTAGTTATATTATTTAAACTAATAGAATTCGAATTATTATTATGATCATTGCGATCATCACCTTTGTTTGCCGTCATCATTGCAACTGCATCAACCAGTCAATACATCAGCTCTCGTTAATAAAGGCTTCTCACATTGCTCATCATCAATATGGAACAGTTTGCCACTCATCCTCCGTCAACAATCATCAATAGAAACGTATAAACATTTGTTTATCCGGGCGCCTCTGACGCTATGCATAGGGCGCTCATAAATGACATTATTATTATTATTATTATTATTATTATTATTATTATTATTATTATTATTGTTGTTGTTGTTGTTGTTGTGTCACGTGAAAGCACGAGAGCTGACCGAAAATTTACAGCTCGCTGTTTTTAAGCATAATTTTGGTTTTAAGTTTTTAAATTAGTTTTAAAATAGTTTTAAATATTTGCTAAATTGTAAAAAATATGTTGCCACTTAAATTTTACATAATTGTCTGTTTTATTTTAGTTTTAAACGTTTCTCGGGTATATTCAACAAAATGTCCATTCTGCAATATATCGTTTGAGTGTGTTGGTAGGCACACATGGCGTTGGGCAAAAAATACAGCCAGCTTTGATTCTATTGTTGTATACACGCCTGCTGATAGTAACGTTGATATTTCTTCGAACATTTTCAACTCAAACTTTATGGATAATTATTCAACAAATTCAGAAAATAATAACCTAATTAAATGTTGTTGCGGTAGGTTTTGCAAGGGACGTAAAGGTTTAAAAATGCACCAACGCTCATGTGCCATTCATAAGAGACTCAAACTGTCAGTGGAAATAGAGAACGGCAATGAAACGGCAAATTCAGCTTCAAAATTGGACTCGACGCCGCCAGAGGACAAGCAACAGTCGCATTCAAAGAACGCCACGCAACAGTTTCCCTCAACAAACGCCACACATCAACCTTCTTCAAATAGCACCTTGCAACAACTTCTTCCAAATAGCGTCATGCAACAGTTCTCTCCAACAAACGCCACGGAACAAATTTCTTCAACAAACGCCATGCAACATCATTCTTCAAATAACGCTGCACAACAAGTTCCTCTAACAAACGACATGCAACAACCTTCTCCATCAAACAACATGCAAGAATTTTCTCCAACAAACGCCTTACTGCAATCTCAATCAACAAAAGTCATTCAACAACTTCCCTCAACAAACGCCATACAACGATTCTCTCCAACAAATGCCATGCAGCAACCTTCTCTGGCAAACACCATGCAACAATTCTCCTCAACAAACGCCTCGCAGGAGTCTCCGCCAACAAAGCCACTTAAAACGGACAATTGGGCACCAAGTTCAGACAAAACCGCAATGCCGCTCGCAGGAGTCATACTCCCGAAAAGCCACGCTCAATGGTTAGAAGCCAACACCTACTTCCAACTACAACGACACACTCTACCGAACTTCGACAATCTAAACAACTTCACTGTTGCATTTCAGACCATGATATACAACTACTTCGCAAAAAATTATGGTACAATCAAGCATAAAGTGGAATCTGACGTCAATAATAACCATCAAATTAGATTATTAAAAAAAGAATTGAAGCACCTCAAGCAGCTGGGCCACGACAATCATCATTTTGATGCCAAAATAGGACTGGTGAGTAAACTGCTGCGATCGAAATTGGCATTGAAACAATCGGCTAACGCAAAAAAAACAAGATACAAAATCCCAGCTGAGACATCGATTCTGGTGGTATTGCAAAAAATTATTCACACCAGCTGAATGCCAGAGTCCTCAGTTCAATTCCTCAACTTGCCATAACTACTTCAGCACTGTCCTAAATAAATACAGCCACAACAAACTCCAGCTTCCAGGCTGGTTAGAAAAGCTCCCACCACCGTCTAAGCCATGTAACACAGACCCTCCCGGGTACAACGAGATTTCGTCAATAATCAGAAAATATAGAACGAGATCATCACCCTGCCCTCTTGACCAGATCTCGATTATCCCGTTCAAAAAATGTCCCATACTCAAAACTATTCTACAACAATTATTAAGTCAGTGCTGGTCAACCTCCACGATTCCTACGTGCTGGAAAAATGGATTCACCATATTAATCCATAAGAAAGGTGACGCTGACAAACCGTCAAATTTTCGACCTATAACTCTGCAACCAACACTCTACAAGATCTTCTCATCATTAATAAATAATAGAATATATCAATATTTTGAAACTAACAAAATGATTAATAAAAACATCCAAAAAGGGTTTTACTCGAAGGTTGATGGTCTAACCGAACACACTTAAATGTTAACCCATATAATTAAAGATGCGAAAAGACACCAACGAACCATCATCATTGCTTTGTTGGATCTCAGCAACGCATTTGGGAAAGTTAGCCACAGCCTTATTTCGTCTACTCTCAGCCACCACCACATCCCGCCTCAGATAATCAACCTAATTAATTATATCTACAGCGATTATTCAATCACCGTTTCTGGCTGCGAAAGTTTAACCTCTCCAATCCCAGTAAAACGAGGAGTTCTCCAAGGCGATCCCGTCTCCCCACGTTTCTGGCTGCGAAAGTTTAACCTCTCCAATCCCAGTAAAACGAGGAGTTCTCCAAGGCGATCCCGTCTCCCCATTACTTTTCAACTTAAGTTTTAACCCACTGATGAGACTGGTTGAAAAGGACGAGTTTCAGCAGTGCGATTATATGTGGGAACCTTCAGCCAATCTACACTACAGACCCTGGCTTCAGTTTGCTGATGATACCGCTATCATAGCAAATAGCACCGACAGTGCCCAAAAATTAATAGATTTAAACCAGGCGTGGTGTAGCGCAACCGGGATGTGCATGAGGATCGACAAATGCAATTCATTCGGTATGAGGAAAAGAAATGGCAGATATGAACACTTCTCTCCTCGACTAACCATCGATGATAAACCAATTCCGCCGATTGAGGCAGATGGCCACTTCGTTTACTTGGGAAAAATATACGATTACGAAGGTTGCAATGCTGAAGCCAAAAAACGTCTGATTGACAAACTTAAACACATGCTGTCTATTATAAATAAATTAAATACTACACCACAACGGAAACTGCAGTTAGCCGCAGATATATTCCATCGCAGTTGGCTTTCGAACTCCGCACCTATGATTTTCCGTTGACATGGATTGAGAACAGTTTGGACCCGTTGATCGCCGAATCAATAAGAGACTGGTTATCCTTGCCAGTCAGCAGCTGTGTCGGAGTACACTTCGCTTCCTTACAAATTAGGGGGATTAAATGTGAGATCGCTCAAACATTACACTGAAGCGTTGAGAGTTAAACTCCGCAACTACATGAAATCGCACATCAACATCATCATCATTATTGTTATTGTCATTATTATTGTTATTATCATTATGACTATCTCTTGTAAATTTTATTTGGACTGAACAATTATGTTACGATTTAACTAATTCAGTAATATACCATCATACGCCATCTATTGCGACAGACATTCAAATGTATAATAACTATATTAAGACTGATTACATTTCTCGTTGTACGCGTTTTATATCTATAATGGCGAGCATCGTAGACTACTTTCTCATTTTAATTTATTTTATTTTATTTTATTTCATTGAATATTTATTTCGCCCCTTTTTTGGAAAAAATAAAAGAGTTCCCATTATTATTATTATTAAATGGCTTTGCATGAATGTCTCTGCATTTTCATACTCACTTTCTGGCTATAATTATATCTCGGCTTTAGTCAAATTTTTGAGTAATTTTTCAATTGCCAAAAGATATTTTTTTTATCTAATCTATTGTAATTTAAAACTATTTAATGTATGTAGGTATAAATATAACTGGAGATATTTTTCGAATTTCATTACAAATTAATAATCGTAAAGACTGCATAGTAAACAAGGTTGACGTTGTTTATATCGTATCACATTGTATAGACGATACTTTTTTAGTCTAGCTTTGGTTTTTGCCAATACTTTTTATGCCGAGTATCGAACTTGATATCGTCTATGGATACCTTTTAGACAGAAAAAAAAATCGATACTCGATACATACACTTTTGAAAGTCACACGGATGTATTTTTTAATGATCATTTCAATTTTCAAAGTTTAACGGTATTCAAAACTAAGTCTTTTGCATGTTTGTTCGTAAAAATTTATTTTGTCTCCGTTGTTTCGATCAATTCATCGTTTTGACGTTATGAGGTCATTTTTATGGTACTTATTAACTACCGAATATATACGTATCATTACGTTCAATTTGTACATTACGTACAATACGTACAAATTTGATGAAAATTTGATTTCATTGAAACTAAAGAATGACACCAGACCCTGAAGCGTGCGTGGGTCCGTTCAAGGGCCAGTATAGTACAAACACACACACACACACACACACACACACATATATATATATAATATATATATATATATATTATATATATATATTATATATATATATATATATTATATATATATATATACATTAGCGAACGAACTATCGGTTTACAAAAAATTATTTGTATTTATCTTTCTATGGCTGTTTACCTTGGTTAGGTGTGCCTTGTTGTTGTTGTGCACGTGTGCGAGTTCCTTATCTATCAGCTCAGTCAGTTCCTTATCAGCAACCTGATAAGTGAACGACCATCGGAGGGTCACATCATCAATGCGTGTCTGCCTTCGATCGTTTGTACCTGTCCTGTTTTATCAATATATGTCGCTTGACAGTTTTTATTTTAAATAATTTTATTTTGGTGTTTTGGCCACCTCTCTCACTCACTCAATCATTTGAGACAAAAGAAAGTTCTTAAGTTTCGATTGGAGTTTCTTTTACTTTTATTACTTGAATGAAAAAAATCCAATCGTTAGAAATTTGAATTAAAAAGTGAGTAATTCTGATTTGATTTAGTTTTTTTTTTTAATTTTGATTTAATCTGATTAATTGATAATTTATTAACATTGACTTAAAATTAAATGGTTTAGTTTAGTAATTTAGTTCAGTTTAAAATTTTTAAATAATTGGTAATGGTAACGTAAATTTAAATATCATCATATATATTATATATACTTATACATTTTATTTAATTATTTATAAGATAAGGCTTATCAGCAAAACTTTATATTAGTGCCTCGAGACAGTGAGTATTGAATATATATAATATATTATAAATCTTATAAAAAATATATTACAAATATGTTTAAGTTTATTTATTTTTTAAAAATGAACAATTTGTAAATTGTTAGCCTGTAAACTAAGTGTAAGGTAAGCCTTGTGTAAGGTGAGACCATTTCTTTTTGAATTTAAATTTTAAAAGGTAATGTAACGAATATATTAATTATATTTTTAAATCAATTATAAATTTAAATTCTTTTTCGTTTTTAAACTTAAAATTAAATAATATAATACTCATCTTATTTTATTATTTAAATTATAAATACCATTTTTTATTATTAAATATTCTATATAGTATATATAGTTATTGTATGTTAAAACTTTAATTATTAAAACATAAAAGGGGATTATTAATTCTAATCAATTTGTTTGATAGACGATTAGTTGACTGATGTTGTGTTCATTTAAATTAATTTACTACAAATGTTATGGCTGGCTTGAATTGGTTGATCATTATTGTCTACTGAACTTATAAAAGTTATCAAGTTCTATGTGAAAAAATTGTTGTAGGGACTTGCTTTGAAATTTTAAAACTTTATCAAGTAACAATCAACAGAGTTGAGTGTAAATAAATTTTTAATTGTTATTATTGCTTCAAATATATATATAAATAATTTTTTGCAATATTCATTTTAAAGTCAGATATTTTTTATTAAAAATAATTAAGCCCTACATAACTTGCACCTACTTGCATCTGTCAACATTATCAGAATTAAACTTAAACTCCTCTCTCTTCAGGAGTTATCAATTTTTCTAGTGAGTTAGGGTTAAGGTCATTCTGCATGCATCATGTCTGGAGCAAATGAATCAGAAAATGTTTATCAGTTTGATAATGATGTTGTTGATCCAGTTATCAGAATGGTGGAAAAAACAGGCTGCTTGGAACGACATTACAGAGTCCAAGTAATTTTTTATAACTTCGTTTGACCAACTGAAACTTAATTAATTTTTTCGTTGAAGCAATATACATATATATATATATATATATATATATATATATATATATATATATATATATATATATATATCTTTATCTTTTGAAGGGACCTAGCATTGCCTAAAGTAATTAATAAGCTTGCACATTCACATTTTCATACGAATTGGAGCGTATGCCTAACGTAATTAACTAATTAATTAGTCGATCACATTAGACCACAGTGTAATGCTTTAGGTTGTTCAAAATTAGCTAATGTTAAAAGTGTATCAATTAGCAACATATAAATAAGTCTCTTAGAACTTTAAGACGTTGGACATTATTTTTGTCCAAAACATCAAAACATATAAAATTGTTTAAGAGTATATAAACTATATAAGATATAGATAAGCAATCATAGTAAACTTTTTATTTCAGGAATGCATATCTGAGAAACAAGATTGGAGGCAGTGCCAGGATGAAGTTAAGGATTTCAAAAAATGCATGAATGAGTATGAAGAACGAAAGTTTGCTAATAAAATCATGTCATAAATTTTACTTTTATTATTATTCTTTTAGTTAACATGGGGTTGTATGGGTTTGATTTTGTACCTTCATATTTATATTTTTCTTCAAATTTCCAAGAAGACATTTCAATATCTAAAGTCCTTTAACCTGTTTTTAGTGTCCGATTCCAGTTTCAAAACTTGCAAATTTCAAAACAGCTAAACAATGTCTGGATTGTTGATGTAACTTTTAATATTTGATTGCTTTACCCACTTTTTATGACTTTATTCTTTTTAGTTGAATTGTTGAATGACACCTCTGCTTCGTTTTTCTTGGCATGCCATCGGTTTATAAACTAACGTTCACCATTAACAAACTATAATTAGCACTGGTGGTTTTTAAAGCAAAATATAACATATATTACTAAAAAATGTGACTTACTGCACATGTGTATATTATATATGTATCCAAGAATAATATATGATATATATATATATATATATATATATATATATATATATAATACTGATACTTAAAGGGAAATATGATGTAACTACTATTAATTTGAGCAAAAAGTATTTGAAAGCCCAAGTATCTCTCACCACAAACAATTTTTTATTTTGCTAGTGCTTACGTTCAGTTACGACAGATTTTTTTAGTAATGTTATGAACGATGACAAGTTGTTACCATACATGCGGTTCTTTCACGGTTTCAACGTCAACGTTTTCAGGAGGTATTTCATTCGTTAATATAGCAAGTTCTGAAAAATTGTAAAACTCTTCTCGAAACATTTTGGTAAAAATGTTTAATTTTACAATGAAAAAGTCAATGGTTTGCTTTGCATCAACAAGTGCCAACAATTTTTCTTACAGCTGCAGATTCATTTCATTTATTTTGCGATAGACCCCTTACATGTAAAACATATCCTTTTTAACATTCTTCAAATCATTGCAAATTGACAAATCTTGACGTGCTTCAAGAAATTTCAAAAGGGTATCAAAAAATTCTACAAAACGAGCAAAACAATTTTTTTGAAAGCCAGAGAACCTCAGTATGCAATAAGAGCTTAACATGTTGCTCATCATTTGTTTTACTCAACTTGTATAATATCAATAGAGCAGAGTAATTATTTGTTTATTTTCCCTTCACAGATAAAAACGTCGACGAAAATGTATTACATGCTTTTTCAGTTAAAAATCCTGTCATTTCATTGTATTCGTTTTAGCGCCTTCTACCGCCCCTTTCGTTCCCAGCGCCCCCAATTTTTCTAAATTCGCTTCCGTTGAAAACCAGCGTTTACATGGTTTTTCAGTAAAAGTATGAGCTCGGATGAAATGATGGACGTCAAAATACCAACTTGTCAAAAAATAAAACTACAACTCTTTGACCTTTGGTCTTTAAAAATTTGGGAAAACCTGATTGGATGCTCGATTTTATGTTTTAAATAAATCAGTTCTATGAGGTGACCTGCGAAAGAAATTAAACAAATAAACAATTCCTTGCAACTCGGAGGTAGCTTCAACAAACTCCTCGCCAGAGCTTTCGCATTGCAAATCGCTCTCGATCTTAAATTTTATCATCACTTCGACATACCAATAAACATTTCAAAATTGGGACGTCATTTCATCTATCATTTTATTGGAATGCACACTATTGCATGTTTACAAATAAAATACATTAGATACAGACGTGTATATATATATATATGTGTGTGTGTGTGTGTGTGTGTGTGTGTGTGTGTGTGTGTGGTGTGTATGTGTGTGCGTGTGTGTTTATAAAGAACATAGATTGTATAAATTTTAAAGCACACGCATACATAAATATATATATATATGTATGTATATATATATTATATATATACATAAATTTAATGGTATTGGAATGTGTAAATAAATAAATATATTAGAATTGAGCAAGTTCAAACCGTTAACAAATTAATTTTGAAAAAACTGACAAATCGAGTCCAACTTTAGAAAACACTTCATGACAATGGTTTCTCAGTGTCAGTGAGATCGTGATCACTCAAAACGATAAAATCTTGTTTAAATCCAAAAATCTTGATGTGCATACACAGTAAGTAAATAATAAATTACTAAATTAAAATAAAGTTTTGTGTGTGTTTTTACTTTTGGTGATGCTTAGTGTTAGCAACGTCAACCGAAATTGCATAAGTAGAGCGACGTTCATCAGCATCTGCGTCGTTTCTATCAATCAATTATCCAAGGTAGTTTCAAATGCTGCTGAGAACTTCACAACTACAGGTACGATTACGTCTCAAACTGATAATAAATTGTTCGTTATTTAAAAATATATACTTGGTATAGCTTAGTAGAACTAGGAAGATTGACTAACGTAGCTTGAAACAAAATGTTGATGTTACGTAATCTAACTTAACGAAGCTAACAAATTGAACATTTTTAAATTGATGATTTAATAGGAGTCATCTAGCATTTAAAATTGAACAGCTTATTTAATGGTTTGGTCTGGGGAAGAGTGTAATAATTGTCTATGTTCACGAGCTATTGAAGAATTCGTTTTATTAAATTTGGAAGGAGATAGCATACCGCCTGATAACATAGTGATTGTTCTCGGCGTTAAGCATCAGATTGGCTCATGTTCTATAGTCTCTACACATTGCAGCGAAATTATTTCGCTGAACAGCTTGTGAAAGAGCTATTATTATATTATATTATATTATTTTGATAGTTAGCTAGATAAAATACATCTTGGTCTGAAAAGAAGTAAAATTGCAATCTACAGTCGATAATGATTTATAATTAGCAAAACACACTATCTAAATATAAAGTTAAATCATATTTGACATTTAATGAAACACACATCTTTGTAAACAGAAAATATAAACAGGCGAGCTTGCACTAGACTCACCTAACTCACTCGCATCTCAATCACAAGTCTTGCACACTCTACAAGTTCTTTAAATGCAACAGATGTGAAAAATATTGTAACAATTGACGGAAACAAATTGCATTCTTGTTTCACGCACATTACGTATGCGCCTCTGTAACAATTGATCAAATAATATAAAATGAAAGTGTGGAAGTGAAAATTGCATGTGAATAATAAAAAAATTTTGATCTTTTTTATGATTAATTGAAAATTTTTCGTAGAGATAAGCATTTGTCGAGCAGACGTTAGTGAACGTATGTCTCATCGAGGTAGCGGAGCACCAATCTGTGGCACATCTCGTACTGCTCCTGCAATTTTAAAAATAATTTTGCATACTCCTATTGAAGTATATCTATCGTTGGTTTCGTAACTATTTCAAGCAATTATTGACTTATAAAACAGAAATGAAAGAAGCATCACCTCATTAGCGATAAAACCAGGCTTCTGATGTCTTGCCATGTAGACGGTTTGAAAAATATCCACAACACCTGGAATTTATGCATCTTTTTATTTTTTCGAACGATTTGATATCAAATTATTGATGATGTGATATCAAATTATTAAATTGATATGATATCGTCAAAAAATTGAATGACATGATACATTCAAATTATTGATGATGTGATGTCAATTTTCTGAATATGTTATCATTAAATTATTGAATGATACATCATCAAATTATTTAATTAACTTCAAATTATTGAATACGATATGATATCTTTCGTACTATTGAATGATATGATATCATTAAATTATTGAATGATATACCTTCAAATTGGAGTCGTTCGATGATGGTTAGAAGAGTGGCCACCACCCCTGACTTGCCCCACCCGTCGCTGTTGTTTTAGCATTCATTTTTTTTTGTCAATTTTATAAATAAAAATTGTTCAAAGAAAGATAAAATTAAAATAAATTGGAGTTTTTTAAATGTTTCCGTCCGTATAAAATTCAGTGGTTCTAACAATGACGATGCAGAGAGCGCAGGCAGACAGAAGTGCGTGCTTCAACGCACTTCAAACTTGCGTCTCACAGGCGGCGATCTCTTGCATTTGAAGTCGTACACTGCAGCACACGCAGAATGCTTCACTATTAATTCGCTTAGTCAGCATCGAAATCAATGTTGCTTTCATTCACGGACAACATGGCATCAAGAAACATACAAATTATAAAGATGTGCAAAACTCGATGTCACCAAAAAATTAAAATCTATAATCTGTTCAAATTGTTTTAAAATGCCCGCAGCATGTATAAAAAGTCACGCAGCTCTTAATCAATAGCAACTGATTTGAACGCATTTTCAATTATACGAAGCTTTAAAAAATAATCCTCAGAGCCAAGCTGGCAGAAGTTTCTTTTCATGCACTCTTGTCAGCAAGACTAATGATTTTAAGTGAATTAGAAATTAAATCAAACAATTTCTTATATTTGAACAATTAAAAATTGTGGACCGCCGAGATCCAAATCTTCTGTACATTTTTATAAATGGAAACAAGCCAAGCAACAACGTGACGTAACAACCAACACCAACACAATTCCAATCATCTGCACGAGCAATGACGGATTCCACATCAACTGATCCAGTCTACATCATCGTTCCCAACAAGTTCTGTCTTTTAATCATCGTCAACATTATCAATGACAAACACTTTAAAAACAAACAACAAACAACGGCAGCATAATAATAATACTGATGATGGAAGTGCAATGAACCTGCAATGTATTGTGATAGGAGTTACGTTGAGCTTGCTTTTATGTTGTCGAATCTTCTGGACCTCCTTGGCCACAGCCAACAGGCAGCGTTCATTCCAGGTGGTGACGTGCAGCTGCTTCACAATCACAGTCAGCCCCGTCTGTCGTCGTCAACGTTCATTTTTTATACGTCACAATTCTAATAGAGCAACTTCAATGACAATCAATCATATGAAGATAGTTCAACATTTCTGTCGCATTTTATAATCCATTTTAATTTATTTAAAACTTCAGTTGCACCCAAAAATTGTTTTGCGCCAACCTCAACGACGGTCACGGTGAACTGACGAACGAAGTAGTCGATCTTGTTGTACTCGTCAATGAACTCAACGACGAACCTGGCGAACCTCAGGGGTCGATCGAGTGGCCAGTAACAAATGGAATCGTCCTGCAAATCATTTTTCTTCAACGTTTAATACAAGGCTGCTTTGTAGCGAAACAGAGCGTTTATAAAAAGTGCTTTAGTAAAATGAAAACATTGCCACGTTAATGTTTTGATGGATGAAACAATGCGATGCCTCGATAGATTGTTTATGAGGATGTTGAACGAGACAAGAGAATTTCAGCTGACCTTCTCATCGTCGGCATCGCTGATTGTGACGATGTGCTGGCATTTAGAATTTAATATCATTTTCCAAAAATTCTCAATGGTTTCTCTGTGAGGTGATGAAGCCAGGATGTAACTTTTCTGAAACATGTAACTCTGAAAATGAAGAAAAAAAATAATGTTAACCAAATTGAATTAAAATAATAACGTGTCCAACATATGAATGTCTAAAATATGTTGGCTTAATTTAGTATTCAACGTATAAGTTCAACGCTCAAAACGAAATGTAATTAACTTGTTTCTGAAAGACAATGTTTCTATTTGATTTATTTAGAAAGAAATGGAAGTTTCATTGGTGGATTGTAATAATGTTGGAGTTTAAAATTTCATGACAATTATCACGTGACCATCATCAGGTGAGGTCCACATATCACATGCCCATCATCATCGTCATCATGTGACGTCAACATATCACATGACCACCATCACTAACGTCAACATAAGCGGCATCAGTGTAAACAAGGTCTTCATTTTCATTTTTTTTTGGTTCAACGATGATTGGAGTTGAAACTTTTTTGTTGGGACTGCTTGTCGTGTTTGATTGAGCAATTTCCGGTGTTGTGTCGGTGGTGTTCATCGAGTTGATGAGGCGCTTAACAAAAAATTAAAAATTTATGTCAATATTTCTGATTAAATAAATAGCTAATTGAGTGTTTAATAATATTCAATACCTATTGTTTTTTCTCAATAATCGCAAAACCAACGATCATCAAAAACAACAAATTATTTTTAACAACAGAATTTTAGGTATGAAGTACATTTATAAAACTGAAAAGTTATAAATAGAAAGTGCATTAAGATTTAGGAGGGCTTCAAATACTCAAACAAAATATTTTCATCGTTTTTAAAGTATTCAATTTAAAGTGTAATATGAAGAGTTATTATTACTATGGAAAGCAGGGCCATGATGTTGACTTCATTTCAAGCAAATTGTTATTAAAAAATACTTGAATTAAGAACTTCAAGGTACATATAGTTCTGCGTGACTAGCAACCAAACGTATTATTTAATTGCAGCATGGGCGGCTACAATCGAATGTTGAGCCGCTCTAAAGCAAACACCATCCACTCCAATTAATGAAAAATCGATTTTTATTGATTTTTTACATTGGAAGATCGTTGCCTGTTTCTGAATTTTTTTTCCATTTCTCTCTTGTTTTAATTTTTGTACGAGTTTTATTAGAGCTGGTTTGAACGGATGTACGACAAATGACGTCACGGCGTAAATGTTATAAAAGTATCAATACTAATAATAAGTAAGTAACATGAGTTTTATTAAAATTACTTTTCAGGCGGTCAAATCATCATCAAAAAACATTTTTTAAGTAGAGTACGCTAACTTGAAATTCGAAGCGCAGACTTCCAACTGCAGACATTCGTCGTGTTAACCGCTCGTAGTGGCTCCGAAAGTTTCTCGTTGGCACCTCAGTGTTGCCGTACTTGACAGCTGCCAACAGCGCCCTGTGTATGAAGACGTATTGATCCTCCGTCTGCACCATGTAGTTTCGCTGGCAGCGCAGACAGGTCACATGTCCGTAGACGTCGAACGTTCGCGAGTGCTTGATGCGGTCCAACATGGAGTCGACCACGATGTACACGCCTGACCGACCGCAGCCAGCACTGGTTCCATGGAGTTTGTGTTTGTTTCCATGGAGTTTGTGTTTGTTTCCATGGAGTTTGTGTTTGTTTCCATGGAGTTTGTGTTTGTTTTCATGGAGTTTGTGTTTGTTTCCAT